GAGTTTTTTGAAGCATAGCAACACAAAAAAGGAATACTAGAGCTGTATCAGCGTATATGTACCGGTAACCGCTTTCATCGTGTGCTTTTCTATTTCATGGCAATTTATTGGTAATGTTATAAGTTCGACATTATTTTTGAAGTGAAAAGTGATTTATTTAGGCGCGTTGGGCATCTTGAACATCCAACAAAAAAAATTAACAAAAAACTCATTTTTTTGAGAGTAAAAAAAACCATTGAACTCGAGACACTGTTAACGTTACCGTTACCGACACCTCTGTTGAAGAGAATAGTTCTTTAGGCGCGTTGGGCATTTTTTGAGATGTGAAAAAAATTGAACTCGCAGAATTGTTACCGTTCCCGACACCTCTGTATATACATTTTCTCTTCTGTCGGCACTCCCGGAGTGCCACTGTTTGTTTTTGTGTTAAAGGGGTTGCAAACGAGCAGACAGATAATGGTAAGTGATTACCGCCGCCAATAAAGGGAAGGATTTTTAAGCTCCAGTAACCGATGGAAATCGACGAAAGAATTGCTCAACACCTGTTTGCTTTGTCTTTTGCACTTTTGCAAACTGCACTCCAGTCGAGTCGGCTCCGAACATGCCGAAACATGGCTGTCTTATTTGTTAATTTATTAAATTTTTTTAGGGAAGTTAGTACCTAGATACAAAAAAGTTTAAGTGTATGATTGTAATATCAAAATAATAGGTTTTGTTGTTTAAATGTATTGTCAAACCAGGCCAGCCTTAAAATACGAAATAAAATCATGATTACTTAAACATTACTATAGTGGACTTAGAATTGACCTTCTAAGTCCATTCTACTAACATCATTTTAGTCTTATCACGGCTAAGTTACTTTTGTTACCTTATTAGGAACAGTCGCCCAACTTATAAAATGTATAGGTATGTAAATGTTTTGGAATTCTTTGAAAAAACACAGTACTTAGTTTAAGTTGTCACTAGTTTAAATCACGTTAAATACTACGGAACCTGAACCTCTGCGTGGCGCGAAACGCACTTGGCGGCCATTTTGCTACTTTTGGTATGATAGTGCATTGGCCTAAGAATATGATAGTGTCCATGCCATGCATTCAGATCAAGTGGAAATACTCGTAATATTAACCGAAGGCGGTATCTTATCGACTAACATGAAACTAGTTCAACCTTGAAGGGATTTAATTGTCTCGGTTTTTTAACCTTATCGTTTGTGAATTACTAATTTTATCAATGTGTAGATTAATATTTATCTAATATGAAAATGTGGTGTAGTAAACATATTCCAAACAGTGATAAACAGTTACATAATAATTCTTAATGAATGATGTTATTATGAAAATGTTGTTTTTGAGGTGAAAACTTTTTGGGCATTTTTGAACAACAAACAAAAGAATGTATTTTTTGAGATGGGGAAAACACCATTAAACTTGCGACCCTGTTACTGTTACCGACACCTCTGTATATAAATATCTACACATTTTGGCCCCGCTTACACGAGAGTTGAGTTTGAGTTGAAATACAATGATAATTAATTTAACTATATATAATATAAACATATATTGTGTATATACGTACAACATATATTCATGTCGGAACTTTTCGAATCGAATAAAACAATAATCAAATAAAAATTCGGTTTTGGCCTACTACACCACGCTGGCCAGACGGATTGGTATAGGGTTTGTGTCAAACGCGGATACCGCACGGTGTCCACCGAGGCGGCTTGCGCCTTGGCCGGAACACCCCCGTAGGATTTGGAGGCGGAGGTGCTCGCCGAAGTTTATCGGCGAGTGGCTGACTTCCGGGCGGAGAGCGGATTTCGCCCTCCGCCCGAAGACGTGCGCGAGTAGCGCGAAGCCGCTCGCCGAGCCACCATGGTCAGATGGTCGTTCCGGCTGGAGACTCCACGCGCTGGCTTCGCCGCCGTGGAGGCTCTCCAGCCGGTCATAGCCGAGTGGGCAGGGCGGCAGCAGCTTTCCGGGCACGGTTGCTTCGGAAAGTACCTGCACTCGGTCGCTAGGAGGGAACTGAGTCCCGCCTGCCACCACTGCGACTGCAGTGAGGACTCGGCCCAGCACACGCTGGCGGTCTGCCCCGCATGGGCGACGCAGCGCCGGGCCCTCACTGCAGTCATCGGAGCAGATCTCTCGCTACCTGCCGTAATTCGCTCCATGGCCGGTAGCGACAGTTGTTTTACCGCGGTCGCAACCTTCTGCGAGGAGGTAATCTCGCAGAAGGAGGCGGCGGAGAAGGCCCGGGAGGACGACCTCCACTCGGACCTGATCCGCAGCCGGCGAACCGGGCGGCGGAGGCGCGCTTACCTGCGCCTCATGCCGCCCTGAGTGTGGCCGCGGGTGGACGGGATGGGTTCTCCCCTCCACCCGCATTAGTTGGCCAGCCGCGAGGGGGCGGCGTCCGCGTGTGCCGGACGTCGCCTAAAGAGAGGATAATTGGAGACGGAGCCCGCACCAGGAGCGGGCCGGCGCTGGGAGGGGTCCAGAAGGCGATAACTACCTGGACCCCTCCTAAACTGGAAGCGCAAAGAGGGCACACCGTGTGGTTTTAGTCGGTTCGAGTCCGACACACCACCCCGCCGCAAACCCCGGTGGGGTGACGGTCCGAGGGGATTTCCACACGTTAAAAAAAAAAAAGGGTTTGTGTCAAGTTTTCCTTCTTTTTGCAGTGCTGGTGTCATGCGTTGTTTTGCGCCCTTAGTCGGCTCTTACGACACCCACGGGATGAATTGGGGTAGTGACATTCCGTATTCTTAATCCGTCACTACACGGACTATTATTATTTGATCATATTCTTTAACTATTTTATTTATACATGTATAAGAGGACAGGTTGAATTTATCTAACTCTTTAATCTTGTGATCGATTTTTAAACGAAAGTTGAGCTAATCTGCACATTGATATTTCCAATATTGGGAAATATTTTGAATAGTAGGTGTTAAACCAATTCTTGATGTAAATGTGATAGGTGGTCTTTAATATTTTGCTTATTTCGTGATATATCTAAAAGGCTTATGAACTGATTTAATGTTAGAGGAAGGTTATGTTGGGAATCTTTTATTTCAATTTCAATGTCATTCCAAACTTGTTCTTCAGTCCTATTGTCGAGGGTTTCTTTTTACTTTTTAATATGTTTATTAACTGGTATTTCTTCTAGTTGGTAGCTGCTGTCAGTATCGTCTGTGAAGTCGGTTGGTTGTGGAGACTCTTCTATAGGAGGATTATTATTGTTAAGTTCTGATTGCGATGGTTCTGATGCGGTATTTGAATGAATCAGTTTGAAGTTTTTGTTAGTTTCTTGAGCGTTGTCTGGTTATTTAGTATTATGTACCTGTGGGTTGATGAACTCAATGGGAGGGTCTGTCTGAAGTCTGAAGGTTCGATAGTGTCTTGACTCGAATTATTTTGGTTTTGAGTTGACATCTGTTGCTGGATAGCTTGAGGACAGTATTTTCCTAAACGACCAATACCATTGCACACAAAACATTTCATGGATTAATTTGTTAAGTAGATCCTGAAGTTAGGATTCCGGAAGCCTTTTTCATCCTCAGGTGAAACGTACAATTGAAGTCGGAAACTCATAATATGAAAAAAGCCTGAGTCCGAAATACCTACCCTCCTGTACGTAATAGGAGACAATATTTTTAAATTTATTCATTTGAATTTTTCTTCAATTATTTCACGCGGGCAAGCATTCGTTAAAACTATTCGTTTGTTCCTAGTTATTAACGATCTAATTTCCAATAAATTATCTTTTACTTTGAGTTTTCTGATAATATCAATCAATTCGTCAGAAGATTGTTATTTAATCCAAATACACACATATTCTTGAGTTGGCTATACGTGAAATAAACCGGATGGACGATGGTTCGATGATTGTGGAAAGCGATAATAAGTAATCTCGTAGCATAATTCCGTCGATAGAATCAATTACGACGAAAAAAAAGGCCAAGCAGGTTTCTGGGTGAATGGTTTTGGAGGTAACGTTGGCATAACTTGCGGTGGGGGTATTTGTAAATTTTTCATGGTGGTTTAGGGGGCCCCTAATCCCAAGAGCACCCTTATAATAGTAACTGTACTAATAATCAGTACGTTTGAACGCTAAAAATACTGTTTAATAAATAATTACACGCGACGACTCGGCACATTTATTGCAATGCGATAAGACGCATGGACTGGACGGCGGTCGCTAAGTAACTGAAAATATGTTTGATGCTAGGTAATCATGTGAAATATAAAGTTACCATGAATAATTTAAATAAAAAATTGTAAAGAACGCTAAAAATACCTAGATTCTTGTCGAAAAACTTAAAAATGCACCGCAGACAGATATGGCGGGGGGTTTTGGAGGGAGTCCTTACACGATGTAATGCATGATCTGACAACGCAGCTTTTCAGATATTTCACAAAGTTTTATTGTGTACGACTGTTTCATTGTTGGACATCGGACCTACTGAAACCATGCCCTAACGACACACAGTCCTCGACACGAATTCGAAAACTATCGATTCTCACCGTTTTAAGTATCTGTAGTATAATTACTAAAAATATTTTTCATTGTACTAAAATTTTACATTTATTTTATTTTGTATCGAACTTTTATTGTATAATTTCTAGGGCATTGTTTGTTTTTATTATTTCCTTTTTTCACATTGATTATGGTACATAACTATGAAACATAGTTAAAAAGAATAAGCCGAATTTAAAATGAATTGTTCTTAGATTATTGTATTAAAACAAATTCTTGAATTTTTCAATATTATCTCTCTTAGATGACTAGAAATAAAATCGACTAATTTTGACAAAGTATCGTGGTGTGCGATAACTGACACATATTTTTCAATTTTAAATCAAAAGTATTCATACATCCCTATGATCCCCAGTTATTTTTTCACTACTTTGTTTCGTTTGTGTTTACTGTTTTCATAATATTTTCGCCGAAATTCCAGCAATCGTAGATTACAATCGTAACCTAAACATACAAACATGGATTCACTAGATGAATCTGAAGGAAAAGAGATCTATATAGATATTGAGCCTGAAGAAATGACGAACTACGCTCCAGATGCCGACACAACTTGCACTATATGTCATGCAGAATTTCTAGATCCAGAAGATTTAAATATTCACTTAGATCAAGTCCACAAAATAGCTCGTGCTGTGTTAAAAAAGTGTCAGTTATGTCCTGAAGCGTATACAGACATGATGGATTACGCTGAACACATTAGAGATAACCATTTATTGACGCTAAAGTGTTGTTCCCTCTGCTGGAGAGTATTCGAAGATTTTGATGCCCATAGAATTCACCGTAAGAAGCATTCAGTGTCGAAGTCTGATTCTATATACAGTTGTTCCCAATGTCAACAGAAGTACGCTGATCTATTTTCGTTGAGGAAACACGAATTCGAACATAAAAATTCTAAGGATGGCGTGTTAATGCATGATGCATTTCCTTATCTTTCGGTAGCTTTGAAAGTTAAGTCGATAACATTTATATCGACTCTGGACACTGACGTAGTGTATGTGTGCGTTGGCTGCGGCTTTTCCACTGTTGATATGACCATGTACCTGCGACACGTTAGGTCTAATAAATGTGAAGTATACGTGTGCCATACTTGTGGTAATGTATTTAATAAAAAAAGGAATTTAATAAAACATTTGAGTAGAGAATGTAACATGTTTGGTGAGAGGGAGAAAAAAACACGGCTGTGTCTTGATTGCAAAACTCATATCGCAGTTCGTACATACCAAAAGCATAAATCGTTTTGTAAACCAATAAAATGCCATTCCTGTAATATAACATTTAAAACGATGAACGAATGGTCTGATCATCAATCACAAAAGCATGCGGGTCACTGCATTGAAGTAGAGACGTGCCAGTTCTGTTGGAAACGTTGTGTTGGGAGAGTTGCGATGCAGAAACATATTGATAAAACGCACAGACCTATGTTTCATTTGTACAAGTATCTATGTATTTATTGCAAGAGTGTGTTTAATCATCCGCAGAAACTGTTTGCTCATTTTGTCACGAAACATAAAGATATATTTCCTTACACTTGTAAGATTTGTAATAAAAAGTTCCGTTTCAGGAAGAAGTTCACAATCCACATAAAGTTAGAACACAAAAGTGTCGGTTTTGTGGAATTTGATGAGAACTATCACGTATTCTTCTCGGATAAGAAATCGGAGACACCATTTGTACCCAAAAGTATCATTGTTGATGAATCAAAAACATCAAGTGATGAAAGGGCTACTGACATTATTGCACTAAATTCAGATTTCACGGATGCGTTAGAAACGGAGGGTAACCAAACAGAAATTTTTAATAAAGAAACACCAAAATTGAAACGAAAAAAAACTACTAAAACTCGCAAACAGAATAACCAAGAACTTATTATGTTAGAGTCTTCTGATGATGATGAACCATTGCATTCTGTAAGAAAGAGGGTGCGACTTCAAAAGAAAAGTAATCTTGTACCCGTTAAAAAAAGACGGTTACAACAAACTAACAGAAAAGCTTTAACTTGCAATATTTGTGAAAAATATTGTTACACAGTACAGAACTACAACCACCACGTAAGCCTCCACTCAAAACATGAAGTAAAAAAATGCATTAAATGCTCAAAAATATTCAGAAGCAAAGCAAAATTGAATGAACATGTTGCAACTGAACACTCATCATCACGGCTCACAGAGACATTAAAAATACTTTTAGAGAAACGCAAGACTGGTGGCTCATTAACCGAAGATTTACCTACGTCAGTCAAATTCCAACGTACACTTGTGAAAGCAAAGACAGATATTACCACAACTAGTGCCAAAATAACCGTGGTTGACCATAAATTATCAGTGCAAAAATTTTTCGAAAACTTTGTTCCGGAAGAAAGCAAAGAGGCTCAAACTGAAAGTACAGCAACCATTAAGCTGGTAACAGGCTATGCAAGAGAGCCTACTGTTAAAATGACCAAATTTAAAAATACCCCCAGCAGCACCTCTCAACGGTTAGCAATGCCTGTTAAATTTGTGGACCACTATCCAGATAAGACCAAAGTCAGTATAAAAATTGTGGAAGCTCCATGTGAAATGGATGACGCTGCAGAACACTATTCTGATCACTGCGATGACAATGGTGATATGGACAGACACGAGGCTATTCCAGAAGTTGCTGAAGAAGTTATGTTAGAAAACACAGAAGAAAGTCCGAGACAGAAACAAAATGAGGTAGCTCATAAAATAGTAATACCTAAACTGCCAACGGAATTGACGGACATAAGAATTGCACACTTATTGCCAGCAGCTCCTTATTACAAAATCGTAAAGGTTAAAGACGTCTTAGCTCAAAATGATCCACAAAATATGATAGACACAAAACCTCCTACTTCTATCAAATTGTCAGACGGCACTAAATTAGTGACAACCAATCCGTTAGCCCACTTGTTAGGCAAAAACCAGGAGGAAGTGTTAAAATCAGTGAAAAATAAATATTACAAATCAAAGAATCAAAATTTTCAAGCGTTACTGTCTAAAGCTCTCACTAGGTTGGAAAAGCCGACGTACAGAAAGAAAAGAGAAGTAAGAAACATAGAAGTTGAATCAGATGAGAATTAGAGGACTGTATCGGTGTAATAGTTTTAGTAAGACGAACTTTTACTTGTGCAGATCACTTAGTCCGAAACTAGGCGACATAAACTAACGCCTAAATACCCTAAGGGATTTGGCAAAGACGCAATAATTGTCGCCGCACTTAGTCTAAAGAAGAATATTGATTAGACAAATGGATTAGGATGTAACCAATAATAAGGAAAGAAGCTTTGCTAAGGAAAGAAGTGGAATTATATTTCCAAGTCTTCCAATTCACTGCTGATTAATTTTGTTGCGGGTTCCAAAACAGTACTTCCCGAGTGTTACAACTCGGTGTGTAGGTCCCTGCTGTTGATTCTGGTGTACCGGAGTTACAGTAGTGGACGCGTGGGAGTTATTAGTCCAATAACCGAATCTACCAAACCCATAAAACTATGTTTTTAATTAATACTATTGGTGTTGAATTTTTCGTTACGATTTTCTATTTACTGTTATGCGTATTCTTGACGAGAGTCAGTTATAATACAATATGTATATATGATAAAAGGTGTGGTGACAGATTAAGAATACGGAGTGTCACCACCCCTGTTCATCCCGTGTTTTAGGTAAATTTGCTTTTTGATGTGTAACATCTTAACTCCTGCGAGTGATTCGAGCAAAGGGACGGAAATGTGTAACAGGAAACTGGAGAAGCGCGCGTTATTTGTTTTGACAAATGAACACGGCGGTCACGGCTTCATCATCAACTGTGAAACACACTATTCCCTCATATGGCAGGTTAGATGTTAGTTGTTACACATTATTTGCGCCTAATGTAAGTCTTGTTTGTTTTTTAAGCATTAAATATATGTTGGTTAACTCTTGATCACAGTCTTCAAATAAAAGATTATGAATAATTGTTGATAAATGTATAAAAATAATGTTAAGTAAATAAATGTAATAAATAAATTATTAAACATTAAAGTGTCTCATCATTCATCAGCATTGTTTAATATCCAAAAACTTTTACACATTGCGCTGACCCTAGAGAAAATTAGGAAACGGTCAAAACATTGATAATGATGATGGAAAAACTGCAGAACCTAAGTGCCTGATGTAATGTTTTTAGTAGCAGTGATATAAACACATCTGTAGAACTGTTGTCTGCGGTATTTTCGGACCGACGCGATGCGATAAAAGAGCGTACTCCAACTCTAAGGCTAGCTCCTGAGTTGCAGGCGTTCATGGGCGGAGGTAGTCACCATCAGGTGATCCGACTGCTCCTTTGCCCGTATCATAAAAATAACGAATTTTTTATTATACATTCTATGTTTACGTTCAAACTGCTAATGTCAATACTCGTGGCTACTACGGTTTACCACTTCACCGCGGTTCACGATGAAATGGTATGTCGGAATTGAACCCGTTTAAACAAATCTTGGCCGTCTTAGACAGCCACACAATTGCGTGATGGTCTTGGCCACCTTGGTTTAGAGAGTAGCGCATCAATCTTAGGTCTGTTTTCTGGAAGAATATGGGCAGCCTTACCCATAACCCCGAGGATAGCGCTCTTGGAGGGCGAAGACCATTCATCGGTCGCCGGCGCCTAATGCTACTTCTGTAGAAGAGACTACTGGGTCCTCTCCTATTCTTATTCCACCGCCTCTTTAGCGGACATTAGTACCTCACAAAATTAACGCAACGTGTCTTCGTCACCCGCAAGAAAGACTAAAATATAGGGCAGAATCCTCGCGACTTTTAAGGGATTAAAATAACAAATATTTAAAAAAACATATTTCTTTATTGAATATAGAAACATAAATTTACTTATACATAATGTACATAATCTTAATTTGTAGACATTAGTGGCAATCCTGTTGTTACAAACTAAAATTTAGTTTAGTCCCGCCAAATAAAAGTATTCCGAAAACATGAGATTAAATTTATTTTAGTTTGACGAGACTAAAATTAAATAACTTGCTTATATTAGTCCAATTAACACTGTTCAATTTTCGAGTTTATATAAGTCTATGAATTATTATTATTATTTTGTATGACGAATAAGAAATACACAACAATTCATTACAGGCATTCGTAAAACCAAAAAAATATTTTTGCCCACCACACTTATATTTTTAAGTTGCAACACTCGTTAGTAATGTCAGAATCAAATTTAGTGCTGACAAAAAAAACCTTTTTATAAATAATAATTCACAACAGAACAATAGTGTAATTTCTGAACTGAAATAAGACAGAGGAATTCTATTACAGTGACGAGAACAACGGAATTGCCACCATTTTAATCTAGGAAATAGTATATCTACATACTAAACAAAGAGGTCGTAAGTGATTTTTAAAAAGTATCCTGTCTTTTATAGCAGTGGAAGATTGACTACATCCTTTTTTACATTGTGGAGTAAAGGTAACCGATTAACAAACAACAATATAACGGCGTAAGAACCGTTAGGTGTAACCATTGTATATTGGTACCCATATATAATGTACTCAACTTCAAGCCGCATCTGTTCAGGGATTCTCAAAGTGGTCGATTTGACCCCTTGGGGTTAAAATCGGTTTTCCAGAGGTCGATATAAACGAAAGTTAAGTTTATTGATTCTTTCGGGTGAGACTGGTGTCATTACAAACAATTGTTTTTGGACATTTACAAACCTTCTTTACAATAAAAATATATTTTAAGAACCTAAGACGATGAGAAAGCCTTACAAGGCATACGCAAAAATACATATTTTTTTTCAAATCCTTTGTATTACGCAAACGAGAGCTGTAGAGTAAAATTTACAAATGTTAAATGAGCCTTATAATGATAACAATGTATGTAATTTTGTTTACAATAGAAAATATTACCGATAGACATGCTTTATTAGAAACGTTGAAATATATCACAAAATCAACTATATTCTGTATACAAAAAATAATTTATACATAATTACCCTGCCATGCTTCGCTGTGGCATATTGTGGTGCCTCCATCAATTACATGGGGCGTTCAGGTGAGGGAGGGGGTAAAAAAATCGGCGAAAAACCCTCACGTAATTAATGGATGCCCCCTTGTGGTTGCATTGATGAGAAAAGAGGAACAAAACTTATACGAAAAATATATTAAAACTATCTTTGAAGCGTATTGTATCGATAATCGATGCAGAACTTTGAGTGTTTGAAGCGTACACAAACCAACTTTACATTTATATATGTGTGGATAAGTCCCAATGTAAGTCTTACATGTACCAACGCAAAAGTAGCTCTCGTTCATCGATCTTAAGATATATTATTCATTGTACAACAGAAAGTGTTACCTCTAAACATAATTTATATCCGAACGAAATTGGACTCTCCTGCATCAATAATAAAGTCGGTAAGTGTTTACTTGTGTATCAAATAATTATGCAGTTTGAGTCCATTGAGACTTAGCACATTTATATATCTATATTATTTATAAATAAATACTAATAGTATTTTGAACATTATTTATTTATTTACTACGAAATTCTTATCAGTAGTAGTTGCATAAAAAAATATATATTTTAAATAATAATTAAAAAAATATATATATTTTAAATAAAAATAATTTTAATAATTTATTTTCCTTTTATATATTAAGTGTACCAGAGAAATTTGTGTTGTATTTTTATCTCACCATTTATAGAGTAGTCCGTGTGGCAACGGATTAAGAATACAGAGTGTCACCACCCCTATTAATCCCATGGGGGTCGTAAGAGCCGACTAAGGGAAAAAAGTACGCAGAACAACAGCATTGCAGAGAGAAACTTAACACAAAATCTATAGTAGGCCAAAACCGCCTTTCTAAGGAGAGGCCTATGTCCAGCAGTGGACTGTTAAAGGCTGTTGATGATGATGATTTATAGAGTATAAGAAATAGAAAAATAGTCATTCTATTTTATTCTCTACTCATTTTTAGATGGATATGATCAACTAAATAATTGATAGACAATTTTGTTTGTTTAAATTAAATGGGGGTAGTTTTAGTTATAGCTTAAGTTATCTCTATCTTTTTTTCTTAGTAACCTATGAAGCAAAGAGAGTAAGATCTCTTTTCCTTTTGACTGGCCCGTTGGTTTAGTGGTTAGTGACCCTGACTGCCAAGTCGGAGGTCGTGGGTTCGATTCCCACCCAGGACAAATAATTGTGTGTTGATCAGGATCATTTGTTGTGTCTGGGTGTAATTTATATATAACAAGCGTTCCGCCCCGGCTTCGCTCGGTTGCAATATAAATACTACTAATGTGGTGTCAGTGTAGAGTAAATAATTCTACTATTGTTATGATAGGACATCTTTATAAGCAATATTTATAGGCCCGGCGACGGCCGTTTTACCCCCCGGATTTAAATCCTCTAACATCTTCTAAAATGTTCATTTTAATTATATGCTGGACAGAGCAATTTTAATCTACATAGAATAATAATTTATTGTTTAAAATTGCTTTATAAATAACTCATTATTTTTCTGTAATATTTAAAAGATAAAAATGTTTACTGTGGGTTATCGTTAGGAGATAGATATACACCATTGCGGACTTTTTTGTAGATATTTTTAAGATATACAATTCCGTAGTACATTATTTTGGTCTATCTCGTAAGGTTTAGCCAGCGTTTGCAATGTAAGCGCGCAAAATCATATTTTAAAGACAAAACTTTGTAATTCTCGGATTTTCTCTACTATAAATGCATGTATTATACATATAAACCTCCTTCTTAAATCACTATCTCTATTGGTGAAAACCACATTAAAATCCTTTGCTTTCATTAAAAGAACTAAGCGTACAACACAAAAAAGCAAATTTATTTTATACTATGTAAAGATATGTATGTATTTTTGTTAATATATAACTATATTAAGTATGTTTATCCGCAGTTTGGTGACCATAGTACAGGCTCTGCCTAGTTTGGGATCAGACCGCCGTGGGAGATGTGTGAATAGAGTATGTGATGTATGACGTGTGAGATATATGAGGCCATTATTATTTCTGTCACAGACTCTCTCTTTACTTAATAAGGTACTCAGAATATTAAGAGAGAAAGGTAGAACTTTAACTCATGAAATAAAATTCGATAAATTTGTTGATTCAAGTTTCGTTTTACTAATATCCCATAGTATTTAGTAAATAACGAATTAAACTAATAATTAGGGTATACACGGCTAAGAAACCGGACCGATATCGGGACAAATAGGGGTCCCTGATAACGCAAAGCGACCTGGTCACATCCATATTGCATTTTAGATCAGACCCCTGACTTCAACACTCTCGCGTGTTTTTTTTGTAACTAGGAGGGTACACGAGCAGACCGGTCACCCCCCTCCCCCCAAAGAACCAGAGATAGATGGAAGACAACAAAAGATATTTCTAACTCGGTGAATAGCAACGAGAGATTAGCTTAATAACGGTTTCCTGTGAAGGCGTGCTATCACTTCAGTCGAGCGTGGCCCATTTCTGACAAAGGATGGCTCTGACGGTAAATAGGTTTCTATATATAACTATTGCAGAGTCACCCTTTTTTTTGGTGTTTTCACGTAATATATTTTTACATATTGCACAGAGACCTGAAAGCCAATTCTCGTAATAAAAGTTCGGTCTCAATTCAGTTCCGATCAACTATTTATCTCTGACATAAAAGGTATTTTTAACCGACTTCAAAAAAGGAGGAGGAACTCAATTCGTCGAAATCTTTTTTACGCGCTTTATATTAGCTTCACTTGTATGTTTGTTTGTAACCGACCCCTTGGGCGTGATTTTGATTAACTTTAAACGGTCAGAATTTGTTCAAACTTTGTAGATATATCGAGGACCGATGACAATACACTAATTTAAAAAACAACACGCTTTTTAAAGAAAACCAAACTAAAAAATAGAAAATAAATTTTAATAAATTTGAAAAAAAAGCGTGGGGTGCTTTTTACTATTGACAGCAGGCAATTTTTTTAAATATTTTTTTTTATGTATGTTCACCGATTACTCCCAGACGTCTTAACAGATTTGGTAAGTTTTTTTTGTTTCAAAGGGTGTACTTCCCAGGTGGTCCATTTAAGTTTTATCGAAATTGGCAGAGTTGTTTTTGAATAATCAATAAAAATAAATATTGCGTCGATGATATTTGTGTTTATTACGAAAACTCGCTATCTCATTAGAGCAGTGAGTTTAGTTGGCCTTTTCATATATACTAATATTATTTAATTTTTAGTGCTGTTTATTGTTTGCAGTTGGTTCAACTAACAAAAAAAATATTTATAAATTATCGTAGTAAAGTATTTAACATCCAGCGTTGACTGCCATGTAATCATATCGTATTGTAACTGAAAATTATTATTATTTTTTTAAACAGATAACGCCCGCATTTGGAATATATCCCGTGTCACGAGGGACTTTACAAACATACATGAAACGAAGACAAAGAACACCCAGACTCAGAGCAACAATTTGTGGATCACACAAAGTGTTGTCCCATGTGGGGATCGAACCAACAACACTCAGCGTAGTAGTAAGCGGCGAGGTGACCGCTTAAACCACTACGTCATCCGTGCAGTCAATTAAATCAGTAACCTGCTAGTCTTACTTTATTATAAAAATACTAATACTATAAAGCTGAATAGTTTGTTTGTTTGAACGCGCTAATCTCAGGAACTACTGGTCCGATTTGAAAAATTCTTTCAGTGTTAGATAGCCCATTTATCGAGGAAGGCTATAGGCTATATATCATCACGCTAAGACCAATAGGAGCGGAGCACCAATGAAGAATGTTTCAAAAACGGAGAAAATTTATTACTATTGAGAGACGCAGACGAAGTTGCGCGGGTCAGCTAGTAAACTATAAAAATACGTTTTATGACAGTTGTGAGATCGAAAATTGATTAGAAATAAATTTCAAGCCTAACTCTTTATATTTTGATATTTATATGTATAAACAATATGTATGTTCACCTAGTACTTATATATCTGTAGGATTCATTCTTTTCTGCCATTGTGACATTTCTTAATTCAGTCTCATCTTTACCTGTCCCAAATATACACCTGCCACACACAGCTTTGTAACACCCAAAGGTTTGACTGGAAGAAAATGCCTGAGGCATTAAGTCCGCCATCTACACAAATAAATATGTTTATAATAAATATGTTGTATGTTTACACGGTACATACGCCAAAATAACATTTTTTATAATTTTTGTCTGTCTGTCTGTCTGTTTGTTCCGGGTAATCTCTGGAACGGCCGGACCGATTTGGACGGGACTTTCACTGGCAGATAACTGATGACATAAGGAGTAACTTAGGCTACTTTTTTTAGACTAGCTTCGCCCCTCGGCGTTGCCCGCGGTTATAACAACAAACGCGGGTAACACTGCGGGTCTCAGCTAGTATGCAATATGTTTGCAGGAAGAATCAATAAATAAATAAACTCTTATTACGAGAATTGGCCTTCTGTTTACTTTAAATTAGGTATCCAAGATCAAACAGGTGTGATGCTTAGGAGTTTGTTCCACGGCTTCTTCTAAACCAACTAAACCACCACTTGGTGACGGGTTGGACGTTTTTGGTGACTGTTTTTATCTAAACAATGACGTTCAAAAAGAGCTGGCTTTGTGCCTAATTTGATTTTGAAAAACTGAATTTGATAATTTAAAAAAATGACCGTGTAGTGATGTATTAGGGATACGTAGTGTTACCATCCCATTCATCCTGTGGGTGTCGTAAGAGCCGACTAAGGGAGCAAACTACGCAGCACAACAGCACTGCAAAGAGAAGGAAAACTTGACCGAAATCCTATACCAACCCGTCTGGCCAGCGTGGTATAGTAGGCCAAAACCTTCTTTCTAAAGAGAGGCCTATGTCCAGCAGTGGACTATTAGAGGCTGTTGAATATGGTAATGAATTTAAAAAAGAAACCACTGCTGCCAATTTTAAATTAAAAACATATGATAATAATTATACTTCAATTAAAAATACGATAAAAATTAAATATTTTTATTGTATTAAGAGATTTTAGTTAATTCTTTTATATATAATTTCCCGTTTCTACATATATTATATATTATTTTCAATATAAAAGTGAATTTCTACAAAGAATGTCCAAGTGAAAATAAATCCGCAGGAGTGGGATCATCTGACGGTAAGCGCTCACCACTACATTGCCGTCCTTTAAGTGCAAAAGTGGTTAGGTAATCTTAATCACACTGTGAAATATAACTAAAGGATTACTTACACCGGTCTTCTGGTATTATGTGTCGAATTACGGCGGTAATAATTTATATTATAAAATGGTCAAATTTACTTCAGTTTTGAGAAAGATTACAGGCTTTTGATACATCACGCTATGCCACTACGGAGCGCAGCAGTGACTATATAACGAATACAATATACGAAATTATTAATTTTCTTGGACATTCTAAAAAAAATTATAGCTATATTAGGATCTAGCGTCCAGAAAACGTTCTACAATTGATGTTGTATGTTGGTTTATGCAGAAATATATTTATGTAAGCGGGACTTTAATCTATACACATAAATAAAATTGAAGTGTCTGTTTGTAATGTCAAAATAATAGGTTATTTTCATGTTCACAAGGTTATTTGTACGATTCCTAAGCCTAAAAACCTGTTTAAATATTTTTTGTCTGACAGTCTGTTTGTTCCGGGTAATCTTTAAAACGGCTGGACCGATTTTGATAATATTTTACCACCAGGCAGCTGTCTATATAAGGAGTAACTTAGGCTATTTTTCCTCTCAAAAAAACCCTATAAAATTTTGCTTGGGCCGGGGATCGAACCCGAGACCTCATGGACTGTAGTCGTGTAACGTACCACACCACTAAATCAGCGTGAACCAGCTCCCAGTTTGACTGAACAGTCAAAGGCACTATTTTTGTCGTGTTATGGACGCTAGATCTATTCGAAATAAAAAGCTAAACTGTACCTAACTGTCGAAATTAAAATCATCTATGTTACTCAAACCGACTTTAATTTCCGTACTATTGTTTATTAAGTCGTCTAAATCATTAATTACCTTATTGGTAGAATTATCATTATCATTAAGACTATTGTTAATATTAGATTCAGTACTTCTCTTATCAAGTTCATCTGTTAACATCGCATCGTCTATTGAATCATTATCATTATTACTGATTCGGTCTGAATCATTATTTTGATGATTATTGTTGACATTCGATTCTAAATTACTATTATCGGTATAATTAGTGATAGATGACTTTGAGTCAAGATCATTTCCATCCATTGTTGAATTGCTTTCTAATAATTCAGAATCAAACGACTTAATTTCTAAAAGTTTCTCTTCCTTCTCTAATGAATCATTAGTACAATTATCGTTACTTTCCGAATTTTCCGTTCTATTATCATTATTTTCGTTAAAATTCTTTTTTGTGTCTGTTGAGTCTAGTGAAATGTTATCTTTAGTCAAATTAATTTCATTATTTACATTTAAATCAACTATAACATCATTAACAGTAGCAGAATCGTCAATAGAACTGACGGTATCTGTTTTATCATTATGATCACTATCATTAACACCATTATTGACTACACTTTCCTTAATCATATCACTATCATCTAGATTTAAACATTTGTTACCACAATCATCTTGACTTCTATCATTATCCACTTTATCATCATCATCATTTCCATTATTTTTGTCAATATCATCATCACCCAAATTATCAATTATACTACTTATGTCCATCCTTACCTCGTCCTGATCAGTTAAAATTGAATCAAACACTCTCTCTGGTTTCACTTTTCTCCTTTTTCTTGGCACTTTCCCTAAAAATCTGTAGGAGAATATTGTTTTAAGAGTTAAAGCAGCTAGAGATGGAACTCTCTTCTTCTTATCACACGGATTGAGAGCCACATTACAAGTGATTTCATCATCAGAGTCACTATCGTCCGAGTCCCAGTGCACATAGTCTTCTGAACAGAATTCTTTCTTTATTTCATCATGGATGTCCACCATCCCTCGGAACTCTGACTTGATGCGGAGCCCTGATATGTAAGGGTAGTAACAATTCTCATCCAGGCCGTATTCCTGCAAAATTAAGATCTTCAGTTAAAAAATAGAAATATCGTCATCAACAGCTTTTAGGCTCTGCGTTGAGGAATCAGTCAGTTAGGTGATGTAATGCTTTTTTTTTTTTTTTTTTTTTCCGTGCGGAATTCCCCTCGGATACCACCTGTCGGTGGCATGTCGGACTCGAACCGACTAAAACCGCACGCCGTCTCGGGTACTAATAGCCGGGGAACCAGGTATACCCTAGAAAGGAAGTCCCTGGTGCCCAAAGGTGATGTAATGCCTGGAGATCAGATGAACTAGATGACCCGTTCATCACATCACATCAACAGTCTATAATAGTCCACTGCTGGACATAAGCCTCTCCTTAGAAAGGACGTTTTGGCCTACTATACCACGCTGGCCAGACGGGTTGGTATAGGGTTTCTGTCAAGTTTTCCTTCTCTTTGCAGTGCTGTTGTCCTGCGTAGTTTGCATAATAAAAATATTAATAATTTTAATATGAATTTTGACAGGTCTTGTTGGTCAAGTGGTTAGCAATACCGAATGCTAAGTCATAGATCGTGAGTTCAATGGGGAATATGCACGTGACACCAAAATGGACAAAATATTTTTATTTGTAATTTTTATTGCTAAAAAAAGATACCCATACAATTATTTATTTATTATAATTTAATAGTGAAATTTAATCATCAAAAATTGGCTTTTTTAAGATTCCCTCGCAAATTTCTAAAACGCAACGCTATTCGTCACGCTTGACGTCAACCTACACTGTCAAGAGTGTCAACAAGTTGTGTGTATTTGTAATATTTGGTTTCTGGTGATTATTTGTTTCATTTTAAGTTAATAACTAATACGTTTTGAGTGTTAAATTATTAAATTCCCGTGTAGAAAGACTCAACACAATGACTGAATATACTTTGTCAGGTGCAATTTTGATATTATTTGGGCACAAAGGAACGGCACAATATTTATAATAGGTTTTTATTGGCTTTTCCATGGTAATAAGTTAATTTTTATCACTCACTTTTTAACTTTCACAAACTTTGTGAACTTCACTCCGTTGTTGACATCGAATTCGTCTGAAAGTGTAATCTGACGTCACAAAAAAAGCGCGCCAAAATGGACGTGTCCAAATTGCCCCAAAATGATAGTGATTTTAATATATTTTTTTTGCTTAACGGCTTATATTTCGTATGTGTTATATTTATTTTTGGTAATGTAGTAACTAGTAGAATCGTTTAAAAAAATAAAAAAAATACATGCATATTCCCTATTCTCATCCAGGAACATTGTGTGATAAGCACGATTATTGGCGGTGTAATTTGACTACACGGATGGTCACTTCGCCGCTTCCTATTGCCTCGAGCGTTGTGGGTTCGATTTCCACCCAGAACAAAAAATTGTGTGATGAGCACGGTCCTTTGTTCTGTGTCTGGGTGTAATTTATCTATAATATGTATGTATTTTGAAATATATAAGTATGTTTATCAGCAGTCTGGTTACCATAGTACAGCCTAGTTTGAGATCAGACCGCCGTGTGTAAGATGTGTGTGAAACATTAAAAATATTTAATATATGTATGTATGGAAAGTCCCCCGCGACCTAGGATATATTCCTAGTGACGGAGCTGTCTAAAAGAATATATTTGTAAGTATTTAGTACGAAGACATCGGATGGCAGTCTGATCGCACTAAAAATCTGATCAGGCTGCCACATCTGGATGGGCTAATAGGCAGGGAGAAGCCACTGGCTTTCCCTGAGGTAGGGTCTAGTTAGGTGCGGCGTCGATCTGGGGGGAGGGCCTGAAATCATATGGCCCGGGATGTTCCTAGTGCAGGGCGCCTAAGGACGTCGAGGTGGCGCCCTGATTGCTTTAAGACACAATCGGGCCGCCACACAGCGATTGAAGGGGGAAGCCATTTTCCCTGAGGTAGGGCCTGATTAAACGTGGTGTCGTTTTGAGAAGGACTAGAAATTACATAGTCCAGGTCCTCCAGAGTAGGACGCCCGAGGCTGGCCGGCGGGGTGGTTTTTAGTGGGATCACCACATACTCCTGGCTCCTGAAAGTCCCCAAGGAGCAGGAGATCCGAAGGGATTTTCCACCCCCTAAAAAAAGGTATCTAATACTTACATCTGAAACACAGGAGACGTCATAGTGTTCTTGCTTGACATTTGCAAGTAGAGGGTCGCAGCGTGATATCCTGACTTGGATGGGTTTCAGCTTGCTGAGGAGTTCCTTGTTGATGATCACATCACCTGAAATAGATTATATCATATTAATAGAAAGCTTTGATTGGAAAATTAGATATTAATACTTCAGATGGCTTTAGTTACAGGAATCTTCTTCCTGGATGGAAGATTCTAGAACCTATTTCCAAAAAGGAGGTAGTTCTCAAATCAAATACTTTTTTATGTTTGTTAAGATTCCTAATTCCTCCTTTCTAAGTAGAGGCCTATGTCCAGCAGTGGACTATTAAAGGATGTGTATGATGATGATGAAGATTCCTGATTTCAATAATATTAATAATTTAAATTTGAAAGGTTCCACATCCACCTCCAAGGTTAGAAATTAGTGGATGATGAATACACATTTCACATGTGATTGTGATTTCGTCATAGACAAAGATAAATAGCATTAAAATCTATCAAAATTCTTTTTATTAAGGATTACCACCTTTTTTTTAGATTTAGACCTATTAATAATTAAGTAGCGGTGATTTTGTAAATAAGTCACAGCTGCGATGATATGATTTATAAATAACTAGCTGACCCGGCGAACTCTGTTCCGCCTTAAAGGCAATAAATAAGCCGATTTTCGAATTTAGTAAGTTATTTTTTTCTTAGAAAAAAAAAATGAAGTACATTAATCATTTATTATTGTTTCTGCATTTCAGTACATAGGTTGCTCTTCACTTAAGTACCTTGTGATTCACGACATTTTTTGTTTTCTTATCAGGCCCAAAAACAAACAATGCAGATGGTCTTCCGAACCGTGAACATGCCACATATAATTGACCATGGGAAAAACATGGATGTTCGTAAAAAACAAAGTTCGTAAAAAAACAAAAAAAAAAAAAAACACTGTCGAACGGAATAAATAGTATCCTATGTCCGTCTCCTGGCTCTAAGCTACCTCCCCACCAATTTTCAGCCATATCTGTAAAGCCGTTCTTGAGTTATAAATAGTGTAACTAACACGACTTTCTTTTATATATATAGATATGATTAATGACATGTGATTATTACTCAATACTCAATACTTTATTGCTTCCACAATGTAAATACATAGGTGATATCAATTTAAATATAGTAACAATTATGGACCCTGACGGGCGCAGCACAGTTTGTTCGGGAGAGAGGAAATAATATTTTATTTATTATTTATCATAATAGTTGTATAATTTATGAATTTTATTATTTTAGTATTCTATCTTCAAAATACTCTCTTATGCTGTAGTAGCTTTTACTTACAAGAAAGAGTTTTAATTTTTTTGTGAAACTGTTATATTTATTTTCTTGTTTTATGGTTTTAGGTAACTGATTGTATATTTTGATGGACATTACAAATGGGCTGTATGAGTGCATTTTGAGTCGGGAAGCTGGTAAATTAAGTCTATCTTTGTGTCTAAGCGTCATTTTGGTTTGTATGTCCTCTCTTTTGCTGTAGAACTCTGGGTGTTGTCTAACGAATTTACAGGTTTCCAATATGTAGATACTGGGTAAGGTTAAAATTTTAGGTTCGACGAAGTGAGGTTGGCAACTGTCTGTGTCTTCTATGTTTACTAGGATTCTAACTAGTTTTTTCTGTAAAGTGAATAGTGTAGGTGCATCTGTACTATTGCTATTATTTTATTCCATCCCTATTTTGAAGTAAATTATTAGTAACAAACAATTTTTACCTTTCTTTTTCGCTGTACACGTGGACTCGTGTCTTAAAAGATTCTTCAATAGAGCATAGCTTCTGTTACATTTAAAACATTTGCCTGTAAGAAGCAAGAAGATATGTTATTCTATTATTATAATGATAAAAAAATAATTGAGCAGTCGCGGGACAATATAAAAACATTTTCGGGAAAAATATTTTCGATGTTTTACGTCTGCTCTAAAAATAAAAGAAAGAATACAAATTGTCACTACCCCAATTCATCCCGCGAGTGTCGTAAGAGCCGACTAAGGGAGCAAACTAAGCAGGACAACAGCACTGCAAAGAGAAGGAAAACTTGAAACAAACCCTATACCAACCCGTCTGGCCAGCGTGGTATAGTAGGCCAAAACCTCCTTTCTAAGGAGAGGCCTATGTCCAGCAGTGGACTAGTATAGGCTGTTGATGAGATACGTCTGCTCTGGCAGAAAATAATACTGCAGAAAATATTTTGTAGAAATAATAGAATATAATAATAAATTATACTAGCCGAGACCCGTGGTGTTACCCGCGTTTGTTGTTATACCCGCGGGCAACGCCGCGGGGCGAAGCTAGTCTAAAAAAAAGTAGCCTAAGTTACTCCTTATGTCATCAGCTATCTGCCAGTGAAAGTCCCGTCGAAATCGGTCTAGCCGTTCCAGAGATTACCCAAAACAAACACACAGACAGACAGACAAAAATTGTAAAAAATGTTATTTTGGCATATGTACCGTGTAAACATACATATGCATTTAGTAAAAAGCGGTTATTTTAATATTACAAACAGACACTCCAATTTTATTTATTTGTATAGATTTATTTCTGTAAGTAAATCTTTTCAGATATTATTACAAGTCGGACTTTACAGCTAGAAGGCGCCGGCATTTCCTAAGACTCACTCTGGGAACAAACGGGGAAACAAACCACAAAGGTGTCTTTATTTTTTTAACAAAGTTAAGTAAAAACTGTGCGAGTACAGTGTAGGGGTCTGGGTAGGCCTTTTGAGATATTCACTGAGAAGGAGCCCGCATCAGGAGCGGGCCGGCGCTGGCAGGGGTCCAGAAGGAGATAGCTACCTGGACCCCTCCTAAACTGGAAGCGCAAAGAGGGCACACCGTGTGGTTTTAGTCGGTTCGAGTCCGACACACCGCCCCGCCGAACGAGAGCCCCGGCGGGGTGACGATCCGAGGAGATTTCCACAAAAAAAAAAAAAAAAAAAAAAAAAAGGTCTTTTGAGATAGGACCATGGTTTTGAGTCGGTCTGTCCGTACAGACGGTCCGACGGCATACAAGCCCCAGCCGTGTAGCTTAACCGATATTAGTCTATAAGAACCGGTATAAGAAAAACGACCAGAGGCACGATACTACCTCCAGCCGTGGAAACACTCAAAACCACCAGAAAGTTACTAAAATATGAACTAACATTACAAGCCTACACAATATTCACATTCACATATTTACACACAAAAAAACATACAATTCAATTTCAAAAATAAACAAACACTTTCACACAGCGCCATCTAGTCCCAAACTAAGCAGAGCTTGTACTATGATTACTAGACAACCGGTATATTATACATAGAAATACCCAGACCAAATCAAACATTAAATGTTCATACACACAAATGTATGAATTGAGCGGGAATCGAACCCGCCAGCTTTGGTGTGGCAGTTCGTTACACATACCACTATGCCATCTGTCATAACAAATGTTTACATAGTATAAAATAAAGTCGCTTTGATCTTTACGGAACTTTTTTTTAAATGTTATAGTGGGCAGAGGAGCAGACGGGTCACCTGATGGAAAGTGACCATCGCCGCCCATGAACGTCTGCAACTCAGGAGTCACAAACTCGTTGCCGGCCTTTTAGGAAGGAGTACGCTCTTTTCTTGAAGGTTTGAAGGTCGTATCGGTCCGGAAATACCGCAGACGACAACCCGGTCCAGAGATTAATAATAATAATATAATAATATATTCTACCACATACACACAACGCCATCTAGTCCCAAACTAAGCAGAGCTTGTACTATGGGTACTAGACAACTGATATAAATACATATATACTTTTTTTTTGTAAATACATACATATTATATATAGAAACACCCAGACCAAATCAAACATCAAATGTTCATGCACACAAATGTTTGACTTGAGCGGGAATCGAACCCGCGACCTTTGGAATAGCAGTCCGTTACACAAACCACTACGCCATCCAGTCGTCAAATGATATTTTAGTAGAGAAAATCCGAGAATTTCAAACATTTGTCGAAAAACATACAAGTCTTTGCGCGCTTGCATTGCAAACGCTGGCTAAACCTTACGAGATAGACCAAAATCATGTACTAGGGAATTGTACTAAATCTATTTGACAATAACCGTGTAAAGGTTCTGTAAGAGATCACCGTGAGTGATACGACTGCCTATTTTAATACCAAAATGTAGATATCTGTACAATATTATACTGTAGCGGTGTACAATAAAGGTGTATAAATAAACTAACAAAGCGTCATAGTCTACTCACCACCAGGCCTGTTGTCTTCTCCGAGGCATTTGTGACCTTCCAAAAGATTGTTTGTAGGGAAAAGGTGCCAACAAACATCACACTTCACGTCCGGTACTTCGACAAACGGTATGCATTCGTACTCTTCAAAGTGACTGAAAAAAAAAACCATAGATTTCATAAATACTCAAAGTAAAAAAATATACTACAGCACCATCTAACGGAGATATACCGAACTACTGTTAATCCTGTATCGCGACATGAAAAGTTCTTACGTCGATAAGCATATATACAACATCAACCGTTGGGCCGCGGGCTCGTCCGGTCCGAGGATCCTCCCTTTGTGTTGGAGGGACATGACACCCCGTCCTCCATGACATTCCATCATCAAGACTTAATGAATAAAGTACATGACTGTGAAGACAGATCAGTATTTTTTCATTAAACCTTCAAAACGATAGACGCGGTACATTTTAGTGTGAAATACGTCATACCTTGAAATCATTTATATTGTGACAATTACTAAAGAAAAGATTATTATTATTACATTATTATTACTAGCTGACCCGCGCAACTTCATCTGCGTCTCTCAATAGTAATGAATTTTCTCCGTTTTTGAAACATTCTTCATTGGTGCTCCGCTCCTATTGGTCTTAGCGTGATGATATATAGCCTATAGCCTTCCTCGATAGGCTATCTAATACTGAAAGAATTTTTCAAATCGGACCAGTAGTTCCTGACGTTCAAACAAACAAACAAACAAACAAACTCTTCAGCTTTATAATATTAGTATAGATTTAATGCTGGTGCTCGGTGCCATTCCATCTCACAAACTATTGTAGGAATACAATAATACCAAAAATATTCCGTATGTACAACAATGTGTTCAGTGACATTTTTTTTTTGTTAAATGAAAAATTGTTTCAAAAACGAACTCAATAGTGGTTTTTTCCGCCCGGATAACAACCACCGGCGGGATGGTCTTGTCGGACTCGAACCGGCCAAAAACCAGGTGTACCCTAGAAAGGACATCCCTGGTATCAAAAACGCTGGGACCATGGTAATCTTCTCTGTATCGTTCCAATTTTATTTTTATTTTTTATTTTTATTTATTTTATTTTTTCTTACAATATCTTTACAGTAGTATTCCAAGGCGATATTGTAGCCACATTAATTAAACTTAAGCCAAACTAAACCAAATTACAAACTAAATTAACAAATTTTACTTAGTGCTATAATTGTAAATTCACTCAAAGAACAACAAAATATATCCACATCGTCAGCTATGAGGTTGAGTGTGCGCAGCGCGCGCGTCAAAGGTGCCTCGCGTAGTAAGTTAGTGCGTGCGCGCGGCACCACCAGAAGGCGCGGTCGCCGCCGACGTCCCGCGTAGCCGTCTGGGACACACAGACCCACCCTCTCTAATACATCTGCATTATGTATTCCCCCTCTAATCACATTAAAGATATAGGTTACGAGTGTGAGTTCCCTCCTGACCCTCAGTTCATTATATCCAACCATACCTAATATAAACAGGGTAGGATACATTAACGGATAAAAAGGATAGACTCCGTACAACTTCATGTAAATAAATCTAATAAATTTATTTTGCACCCGCTCCAACATGAGACTATATTTAGTCTCATGTGGAGCCCAGATAACTGCATTACACTCCAGTTGGCTCCTAACTAAAGCATTATATAATGCTGTAACAGCTTTTATATTGGTAAAATCTTTAGCCATACGAAGTACCAACCCCAAGTTCCTATAAGCTTTTTTACAGACTTTGAGTACGTGATCACGAAACGCTAGCTCAGTGGTAAAACGCACTCCCAAATCCCTCACTTCAGTTACCCTGGTCATCTCAGTCCCCTCCATCGTGTACTTGTGTTGGATAGGTGTGCGTGCACGTGAAATTTTAATATAAGTACAGCCGAAGTAAGTACAACTCAATGGTGGCCTAGTCTCTTCTTCCCACTATTGGACACATACAAATAGCAGTCTACTTTTTTATTTATGCCCGCGCTAGGAATATATCCTTTGTTCCAGGGGACTTTACAATCATACATGAAACAGACAAAAAGAACACCCAGACTCAGAACAACAATTTGTGGATCACACAAAGTGTCATCCCATGTGGGGATCGGATCCACAACACTCAGCGCAGTAGTGAGCGGCGTGGCGACCGCTTAAACCATTACGCCATCCGTGCAGTTGATTTAATTAAATAATTTTCCCTCTTTGTTTCTATAAGAGTTTTATACTAATACTAGTTGTTGTAATTAGCTTAAGTTCATTGTAAATGCAACCTAACCCAAAAAAACAGCTGTTCAGTTTCCTTAAAACAAATAAATAATAATAATAATAATTCTGACATCTGACACACAACGCCATCTAGTTTTAAACGGAGCAAAGCTAAAAATGAATGCTGATTTAAGAACACACTTACTTATCATAATCGGATAACTTTTTGAAGTCGGTATCACAAATTCTGCAGTTGTACGGTAAACTTCTGGACTTGTGTCTCTTCTGGTGCGTGGCGAGCTCTTCTGTTGTTGGGAACCAATCACCACAAGGATTGCACGCGAGTCTAGAGAATACTTATTGTGAGGCAGTGTTAAGAAGATATTTATCTACAGGTGTTACAAGAAGTTTAAGTTAAATTTGAGGAGTTTTGCTTGAAAAGAAATGAAAATTCTTCGAGATATACCTGAAGGCCAATTCTCGTAATAAAAGTTCGGTCTCAATTCATTTCCGATGTACTTTCGAGCTCTGTCATAAAAGGTGTTCTCGTAGTAAAGTATTAAACATCCAATGTTGACTGTAATGTGATTATATTGTATTGTATAGTGTTCGTGTGGTGACGGATTAAGAATACAGATTGTCACCACCCCTATTCATCCCCTGGGTGTTGTAAGAGTCAACTAAGGGAAAAAACTACGCAGAACAACAACACTGCAGAGAGAAGGAAAACTTGACACAAACCCTATACCAACCCGTCTGGCCAGCGTGGTATAGTAGGCCAAAACCTCCTTTCTAAGTAGAGGCTTATGTCCAGCAGTGGACTATTAAAGGCTGTTGATGATGATGAACCGAAAATTGAATCGGTAATCTGCTAATCTTAGTAATACTTTACTATTTTACTACAAAAATACCTTTTATGACTGGTAACATCGAAAGTTGATCGGAACTGAATTGTGACCGAACTTTTATTACGAGAATTGTCCGTCTGATGTCGGCTGCTAAACATATATTAAGAACTTTCACCCATCTATATCTTCACCTCGATCTGAGTATACAGGTCATACTTAGTTTAAATTGTTTACATTAAAATTGTCCGTGTGGTGACGGATTAAGAATACAGAGTGTCACCACCCCTATTCATCCCGTGGGTGTCATAAGAGACGACTAAGGGAGAAAACTACGCAGAGCAACAGCACTGCAGAGAGAAGGAAAACTTGACACAAACCCTATACCAACCCGTCTGGCCAGCGAGGTATAGTAGGCCAAAACCTCCTTTCTAAGGAGAGGCTTGTGTCCAGCAGTGGACTATTAAAGGCTGTTGATGATGATGACATTAAAAATTATTGATGTTGAAATTGTCACCCATCGAAATCCAGGCCGCAGCGACCTGCGTGTTGTGTTACTTCACATTAATTGTATATGTCTGACTCCTGAACTATGTACTATAAGCTGTACGCATTGTCTCATAAAAAATTAGATTATTGCCAATTTAAAAAAAACTGTGTTTGTGTGTAACGATGATTTACCTGGTGTTGGTAAACCCGACGGTGTGCGACCTCAGGTGGCTGGCTCGCGCTTGCGTAGTCTTGCTGCTGTACCCACATATGTCGCAAGGGTACATCTCCTTGGCGGGAGATGGAGAACTCTTGGGCAGCGAAACGACCGGAGACCTCAAAGTCCTGGTCGGTTTGGACTTGGGTTGAAGGCGTGGTGATGACTTCGGTGAAAGCTTTTTTGGTGGTGTTGGTGTTTTTATGTTGAGTCTGGTGACAGAGTAAAGTTGTAAGTACGACCAGCCTGATGTTACATAAAAGCCAGTTTTATTCGTGTCAGATCTATGCTTCGATTATAGTAATACCGTGCTCTAGCGTGGGAGAGCCATGCTTCGGCACGAATGGGCCGGCTCGACCGGAGTGATACCACGGCCTCACAGAAAACCGATGTTAAGCAATTCTTTCGTTGCCTTTCACTGAGTGAGTGCCGGAGCCCAAATCCCCGAGTCCCGCTGACTCGAGCGGGAGGGACACCAAGGGCGGTTACGCACTTGTGACTTTTGAGTTGCAGGTGTCCATGGGCGGCGGTAGTAGCTTACCATCACCGTCTGCTCGTTTGCCCCTTATACCAAAAAAAAAATACTACGGACTTACAGAAAAACCGGAGGTCAGCGGATCCCAAATACCCCACACCCTAAATCTGGCGGGGGGGGCTCAAAGGCAAAGAGCTAATAAATGTTAGCGAACAAGGTGCTATTGCATACGGTTGGTACAGAAAGAAAGAAGATTGTTTTGGTCTTGCATCTCTCTCTGCTCACAGATGATGATGCTTCAGTATCAGCCAATCAGTGCAGAGAACAAAGAGAGGGGAAAAACTAAAACAGTCTCTTATCTCTGTCTACCGCACGTACGCTACCACTTACAGAGGAATATAAGGTTCGTTTCCTCTACTCATATTACTTCAACGCTCAAAGGACGGCAACGTATATATATGACGGCGGCCATCTTGCACCGATTGTCATCAAACATAGCTTAGAACAATCCCGTCAATTCATCTTTCAAACAAAAAGAAAACAAAATCAAAATCGGTTCATCCATTCAGGAGCTACGATGCCACAGACAGACACGTCAAACTTATAAAACCCTGTCGTTTTTGCGTCGGGGGTTACAAATTTATTTTAAACAGTTTTTGTGGAGTTAAAGGTAAATAATGTTGATCAGCTTGTTTGCTGTACTGTACTTACTTGACCTTTTTCGATGGATTCTCCGATTGGATAGAATCTTTATCCCGCAAACGTTTCAAACAACCTGTCACCGGTTGTTTATCCGTCTGTAAATAAAATAAAAATACATGTAGGGGAGTACGACAGGCGGCGCTTCCAGGGAGCAAAGGGAACATGGGGTTCCCACACGTGGAGAGGGGAGGGTCTTCTACTCGTCTGTAGATGGCCCGAGGTATGTCGGGGCACCAGGGACTTCCTTTCTAGGGTATACCTGGTTCCCCGGCTATTAGTATCCGAGACGGCGTGCGGTTTTAGTCGTTTCGAGTCCGACATTCCACCGGTGGTATCCGAAGGGATTTCCGCACGGAAAAAGAAAAAACAAAAAAGGGGAGTACGACAACCACACTAATATTATAAGGGCGAAAGTTTGTATGTATGTTTGTTACTTCTTCACACTCAAGCGGCTGGACCAATTTTGACAAAATCTGGTGTGGAGATAGCAGACACCCTGGATTAACACAAAGGCTACGTTTTAATCCGAAAAGATTATATAACACAGATTACACACGGCCCGTCTGGTCCCAAACTAGGCCGAACCTATTATTTTGACATTACAAACAGACACTTCAATTTTATTTATTAGTATAGATGTTTATGACAATATTGTTAGACAAGTAATCTTGTGACTGTTCGTGGGTTTGATTCCCAAGCTGGACATGTAATTGTGTGATGAGCATCAATTGTACTGTCCGGGTGTAATTTATATATAATATGTATGCATTTAGAAATATATTAGTATGTTTATCAGCGGTCTGGTTGTAGTAAAAGAGACTCTGTTTAATTTTGAATCAGACGGCCCTAAGTGTCAATATATTATTTTTATAATAATAATAATATATAATAATAATCTACTACATTCCCACAATGCCATCTAGTCCCAAACTAAACAGAGCTTGTACTATGGCTACTAAACAACTGATGAAATGAAATGAAATGAAATGATAATGAAATGATAATTTAATTGCAGAAATATGGTACATGGGCTGTTTATAGTTATTAGAAGAGAATCACATATTTCGTCAGTCTGTTCTGACATGCAAAATTTGAAACATACATGCATATTACAACAAAAGATTGATTTAATAACAAACTACTAAGCTCATGTCAATAAACAATTTACATAATGTCAAATATATAATTGCAATGTCAAATATTTAATCCGATAATTTAATTCTAATATAGAACACAATATACAATAAAATATTATCAAGTGCTTTTGTATTTATCGCTCGTTTAGGTATTCGGTCACTGAGTATATCATTTTTTCCAAAAGCCATGTTTTCAATTTCCTTTTAAATTTCAGTAGGGGCAACGCCTTTATGGTTGGTGGCAAGCTATTAAATATTTTGATACACATATTATAACAATTTTTTTGGAATAGTGTAGTTCTGGGAACAAAATCCAGGACTAGTCTTTCACTGCCCCGAGTGTTGCGTGGGAACATATCTTTTGCCTTTTTAAATAAACCAGGGTTACTTTTAACAAAGACACTTACTTCAAAGATGTACAAACAGGGCAACGGTAATATTTCATATTTTCTAAAATAAAGTTTGCAAGATTCATAAGGAGGAATGCCCACCATAGCCCGAACACATCTCTTCTGGGATAAAAACGCTCGAGTAGCATCTACTGAGTTTCCCCACAACAATAGACCGTATCTCAATACAGAACCTACGTGACCATGATAGGCGAGAAGTACTGTCTGCTGAGTAGCGGTTTTTCTTAGTCGGTTAAGCACGTAAACAAAACTATTAACTCTTTTGCAGACTGAATCGACGTGTGTCTTCCAGTTGCAATATTTATCTAATGATAATCCTAGAAACCTTACGCATTCCGTTTCCTCTATAACAGTATCGCCATATCTTATTTCTCTAAGATTTAGTTTTGAGCTTTGTGTTTGGAATTGTATGAAATTGGTTTTGGAAAGATTAGCATTTAAGTTATTATTTTTTAGCCATTCTATTACGGATTTTATTGTATTATTAATATCAATGTCATAATTTGTACCAATTTTAGATGTCAATATAATTGAAATGTCGTCAGCAAATAATATACATTTATGAGTTGTTATGTCTGGTAAGTCATTAATATAGACTAAGAATAGTAATGGTCCCAATATACTTCCTTGAGGAACCCCATATTTGTTAGTTAAAAGTGCGGACCTCTCCCTAGTGATCACTGAATTATCATTTTTAATTATATCCACACATTGTTCGCGATTCTTCAGGTAACATTTAATCCATTCATGTGCTGGGCCTCGAATTCCGTAATTCTCAAGTTTTTCAAGTAGCAGCTGATGCGAAACATGGTCAAAGGCTTTTGTCATGTCAAAGAATATTACTATTGTAGGTTTTTTAGTGTCTACATTTTTCAGGACATTGTAGATTAATTGAAAAGCTGCTAGTGTAGTTGATTTGCCTCTCTGGAACCCATTTTGTTCTTCTTTTATAAATTTAAACCTATTTAGGTACGTAGTCAGCCTTTTATGCATCGCTTTCTCAAATACTTTTGACAAGATCGGTATTAATGTAATGGGTCTATAATTGCTGAGTTCAAGTTTGTCGCCTTTTTTGTATAATGGTTTCACTATGGATTTTTTTAAACTTTCAGGAAATACACCTGTTTCAAAAGAGAGGTTAATTAAATGTGTAATGACAGGTGCTATTTCATAAACACATTGTTTGAGTATATAAGTTGTCACCTCGTCAATTCCTACGGAATTGGTATTGTTTAAGGACATTATTATATTCTTTACCTCTGTAAAATCCACAGGTTCTAAGAATATACTACTCAGGGCTCTAGTTTTATTTGTGTTGTGAGTCTTTTTTACGTTTCTAGTGGTTGATGCTATAAGATGTTCATTGAATCGATTTGCTATATCTATTGGCTGTTGAATTAGTTTACCATCCACTCTAATTTCTGATATTATATCGTGTGTAAAAATGTTGCCGACATCGTCGTTGATAATTTTCCACGCAGTTCTACATATATTTGTGGAGTTCTGTAAAATGTTTTCATTGTAAATCTTTTGTGATTTATTGATACATTTTCGTAAGATTTTTGAGTATTGATGATATTTACTTTTACACTCTTTTGTTTTCTGAGTGTAGAATCTCATACGCAAGGATCTCTTTGTTTTTAAGCTACTTCTTAAGCCTCTTGTTATCCATTTTAAATCTCGTTTCTTTGTGATAAGCCGTTTTTGAAATGCAGGAAAACATAAATTATAAAAAAGGCAAAAGTCGTCATAGAAGAAATCGAACGCTACATTTAGGTCAGTATTGGAAAACGCATCCTTAAAACTTAAACTTTGAAGACATTCACAAAATTTTCTAACATTTTCTTTTGAGTAATCACGCCTGGTTACCGTTATCTTGGTAGGTTGCGAAATATCTTTTGCCATAGGGATGCTTAAAAGTTGAGCGTCGTGATCAGAGAGACCCAGTTTGAGAACTTCACCTTTAGCTTGTTTCATATTACATATTACATGGTCAATACAAGTATTAATTCTAGTCGGTTCCTTTATCAGAGAAGTCAAATTATAATTTCGTAAAATGTCATTTAAATTTTGTACAATTCTATTATTAATAAGTATATTTATATTTAGGTCTCCTACAAGTATCAGTTTGCGTTTTATATTGCGATAGCATAAGAGTTTGAACATCAATGTATCAAGGTGCTTCAAAAAGAGGTCTACATTTGACTGAGGTGTTCGATATATACATATTATAATTAGTTGTAATTTATTGATTTCTATACCACAACACTCAAACACTTTCTCTCGTGAAAACGATCTTATGCCTAACAATTCATTATATTTAATACCTTTTTGAATATATATGCAAACTCCCCCTCTTGATTTTGATCTACAATATATTGCTCCTAATTCGTATCCAGTTAATCTGGAGTTCCGTATGTCTGCATCTTTTAAAAATGTTTCAGAGAAACATAATACCTCAGGTAGTTTATTATTGTTATGAATAAATATACGATATAAATAAATATACATATATGATATAAATAAATATACATTTTTTTTTGTAAATACATACATATTATACATAGAAACACCCAGACCAAATCAATCCTTAAATGTTCATGCACACAAATGTTTGACTTGAGCGGGAATCGAACCCGCGACCTTTGGAATAGCAGTCCGTTACACAAACCACTACGCCATTCGGTCGTCGATATATTTATGATAAAATATTATAAAGCTAAAGAGTTTGTTTGTTTGTTTGAACGCGCTAATCTCAGGAACTACTGGTCCGATTTAAAAAATTCTTTCAGTGTTAGATAGCCCATTTATCGAGGAAGGCTATATATCATCACGCTTAGACCAATAGGAGCGGAGCACCAATGAAGAATGTGTCAAAAACGGAGAAAATTTATTACTATTGAGAGACGCAGACGAAGTTGCGCGGGTCAGCTAGTTTATGATAAAATAAATAAACTATGATAGTATTTAAATTTTTACCTTTGAATTACTATCCTTCTTCAAAATAGATTTTGGAGTTCTTGATGGTATGGTCTTATCCTGAAAAGAAGGCAACAATTCATAAATATAATAATTTGAATCTTCAGGAGAGAAAGATTTCAAAGGCCGCGGAATTCAGCGTAGGAATTGTAATAACTAAAGTAAATAGGCAATGAGCTTTATTACTATACGCATAAGATCGGAAATAGATTGTCGCACGATATTGTTTACTTTTTTTATATATCTATATATAATCTTACACATCTCACACGGCCGTCTGATCCCCAACTAGGCAGAGCCTGTGCTATGGTAACCAGACTGCTGATAAACATACTTATATATTTTTAAATATAGATAAATTACACCCAGACACAGAACAAATGACACAATTATTTGTCCAGGGTGGGAATCGAACCCACGACCTCCGATTTAGCAATCAGGGTCACTGAGACCAAAATAGAATTATTTACTTAAAAGGCGTCTGTTGGCCACAATAGTTTGGTAAACCTTGATTTAATACATACTCTTGTTTCTTAGAAACTGAAAAGTTCTCATAAGGAGGAAAACTTGTTATATAAATGACGTTTTGGTAAGACAGATCAGTTTGAGTTACGGTGCGATAAACTGCAAAGCGATCTAAGCGAACAAAAGAGTAACCTAGCGATCTAAGCGAACAGAAGTGTAACCTAGCGATCTAAGCGAACAGAAGAGTAACCTAGCGACCTCTGCGTTCATTTTCGACTACTATTGATACTGTATTTGACATATATTGAATATTGTATTTATATAAGTAGGTATTGCTAGGACTGACTGCTGTATATAATTAACACTACTTTGTTTTATAACTATCAAAGGAATCCTGTTGTGCTGTATAGTTTTTTTTTGTTTCCTTTACACTTTTTTCTCACCAAATCTGCCTATTCTATTTGTCCATCCAAAGGTTGCCTGTAAGAGATTGCTTTTTAGCGATAAGGCCGCCATTTGTACATGGTTATTAACTTGGAATACTATTGTATGTACAATATCCTGAACTAGTGTACAACAAAGATTCTATTCTATTGATTGGAGTTATTTAAGTGGTCCGTGTGGTGACGGATTAAGATAAGTGTCACCACCCCTATTCATCCCGTGGGTGTCGTAAGAGCCGACTAAGGGAAAAAACTACGCAGGACAACAGCACTGCAGAGAGAAGGAAAACTTGACACAAACCCTATACCAACCCGTCTGGCCAGCGTGGTATAGTAGGCCAAAACCTCCTTTCTAAGGAGAGGCTTATGTCCAGCAGTGGACTATTAAAGGCTGTTGATGATGAAGTGTAAATAAAGCTTCTTAAGAGGTCCCAAGGTATTTTAGTCCAAATTAACGAACTGAATGACGTAACAGTATGTTTGGATCAAATCTGTTTTTTTGTGTATATTCTGTACTCACCTTCAGACTGCTGAGGGTGATGTCTTCATCTCTACTCCTGCTGTGTCGTGTGACACGCAAATTTGAGTCTAGTCTATTGTGACGTGTAGAACGTTCTTGGTCCTCCGAGTTTCCGTGACGATGCCTACGTTCTGGCTCTTCCGAGTTTTTATGACGTAATCTGCGCTCTTCTGTTTCTAAGTTTTCTAGCTGTTGAGAGGATATTAAATAGTTTAAAAACTGAAAATAACTATTTAATTGAATATAGATCTATTCAATTATCAACTAAAACAATATAAATGAAGAAATCATAATTAACAATTTGTTTTATTTTCCCTTACGATTTTTAATCCGTAAGTCACGTGATTGAAAAGTTATGTCTGCACGAATGGCGTATTGGTTTAAGCGGTCGCCTCGCCGTTTCCTACTGCGCCAAGTGTTGTAAGTTCGATTCCAACATGGAACAACACTTTGTGGGATCCACAAATTGCCGATCTAAGTCTGGGTGTTCTTTGTGTTCGTTTGGATGGTTACTAAACCGATTTTAAAAATTCTTTATCCAATGGAAAAGCTATATTATTAGCGAGTAACATAGACTACTATCTACCGCGATTACCGACACACACGCGGGCGAAGCCGCGGGCAAAAGCTAGCGTGTGTGCATAATATGTGTGTGTGCATAATATGTGTGTGTGAATAATGTATGTGTGTGTGTGCATAATGTATGTGTGGTGTGTGTGTTTTTGGTTAGTTAAGATTTATTTCACTATATTAATAATCATATACGCGGTATCATCACAGTTTAGTTTTAATAGCTATTCCGTTAAACATTTATATTGTTTGAGAAAAAATCTAAAATGGAGTAGTCTGATTTTCTTTTTATATTAAAGACAGCGCCCGCATTAGGAATATATCCTGAGTCGTGGAGGACTTTATAAACATACACGAAAGGGACACAAAGAACACCCAGACTCAGAACGACAATTTGTGGATCACACAAAGTGTCGCCCCATGTGGGGATCGAACTCGCAACACTCAGCGTAGGAGGAAGCGGCATGGCAACCGCTTAAACCACTACGCGATTCCTGCAGTCAGATTGCATCAAAAGCAACTTAAACAGAATTATATAATACCTTTATGCGTACCACGGGCTCTCTTTTAACTTTCACCTTCTTGTGTTTGGACAATGGCTCACCATCGGAATCCTCGTTCCCAAAAATTGGCTCAGTCACACCCAGGATGCAGTCACCAGCGTCGGGCTGAAAAATATGATAGTAATAATATTTTTTGCGCATAGCGCCATCTAGTTTCAAACTAAGCAGAGCTTGTACTATGAAAGTTAGATTGACTTATGGAAAATTTGTATACTATAGTTAAACCGCCGTAAGCTTGGCCCTCCTGATGGTTTGGGGGACGCGGGGCGGGGGTGCATTCAACCAATTAGCTAGTGCGTCGCTGTCGCAGTGACTGACGTGAAAGCATAGCTGTACGTGTTATTTTTCTTAAGACTGCTACACACGGTATTATTTTGCAACATGGATAATCTGCCGACTCTGCGTCACAAAAAGATTTAAAAACTTGAAGTTCGGCTTACAGAGGTTCTAATGTTAAAGTTCTAATAAAGAATATTTATTATTTTACTTAATTTTTAAATTGTATCTGAATATAATTTACATGATGAAGATAAGGTGATTTTATTAAAATTATTTTACAGTATTAAATTTTACAATTAATCATAAAAACTTACAATACACTGACATTATAATACATGGAACTAATATTCGCAGATTTTACAAGCATTTGGTCCAACTCGGGAGTTGAACCCGAGACACAGTAGCCGAATACGATACCACTACACCACCGAGGCAGTCAGAATGATAAATAGATATAATAAAAATTACTAGTGGTCGCCCAGTGGACGAAATTCGACCATAATTCATTTGATTTTTAAGTTTGAACTTTATAAGCGTTCTTCCGTGTGGTGACGGATTAAGAATACGTAGTGTCACCACCCCTATTCATCCTGTGGGTGTTGTAATAGGTGACTAAGAGAGCTGACGCAGGACAACCACCACTGCAAAGAGAAAGAAAACTTGACACAAACCCTATACCAACCCGTCTGGCCAGTGTGGTATAGTAGGCCAAAACCTCCTTTCTAAGGAGAGGCCTTTGTCCAGCAGTGGACTAGTAAAGGCTGTTGATGTGATGATTATGTGAATGTATCATAACCTACTCCTGAGGGGTTTATGTGGCGGAAGAATGCAATTGGGATTCTCGATCCCCTGGCTATTGGCAAGGAGAGAAACACTGGGGTGGTTTTTAGTCGATAAGAGTCCGACAGATCTCTTTGCCCTCCCTTAAAGTATCTGTAAGGGAGGTATCCCTTACAGATACTTTAAGGGATTGTAGTTGCTATCAATGTCATAACCCAAACCTATTTTCAAGATATTGGACTATTTTTTTTTTTAAATCACTTTTTTTTAAATACCATTTTTTGGAACTTATATTCTTTATTTTATGTTTTTTTTTACTGTTTTAGTGTAGTTGATAAATTGTTTTATAATTTCAATTACTAAAATTGTAGTTAACTTAACAAACTAGGTAGATGGATAATAATAGGAAAAAGAAATAAATTTGTAAACATTTTTAGTTTCTTTGACAAATAAAAAAAAAAACTATGACAGTTAAACTGCAGATTTGTTAAAAACATGAAAGTATTCTCAGTTGTCTAACAAGTTATAATAGTCTAGGATAGTATAGATAGTTCAACTCAGTTGTGCGCGCGGCCCTATGTGTGCGTGGGCTTGTAAATATACAACTTTCATTCGTGTGGCAGTCGTCGTCCGACTGCCGCGTCACTGCCACACGAATGAAAGTTGTATGTTTACAAGCCCACGCACACATAGGGCCGCGCGCACAACTGAGTTGAACTATCTATATCAGAATTCATAGAAAAAAACTTAAGATGAAAAACTGGGAGTTTTATGAATTAGCATACAATGTTTTAGCATTTATTTGAAGACTTGGCTGGTATTTTTGGACTGTTTCGTTTTCTATTCGTGACTAACTATTGCTAAGTGGACTTTGATTTGCGCTTCTGATACTGTTGACCTGACCTGAGACCTAATGTTATTGTTTAAGATGATGAATGATACGAACAAGGAATATGTTCATATTTTGATGTCTTATGGATAGTGCCAATGTGTATGCGTATTGTAACCCTGTATATATATTTATTTATGTAATACTTCCTGCAAATACATGAAATAGGCATTTTCTTCCAGTTAAACTTTGGGTGATGCAGACCTGTGTGTGGCAGGTGTATAATGGAAGCTAATGAATAAATGTCTATCACAATAAATATACTATTTAGAGATATTAGGTTACATAACAGTTGAAATATATACATACATATGTACATATTATACATTACACAAAGTAAATATACATAGTAAATAAAATTGGAGTGTCTGTTTGTAACATTAAAATAACCGCTTTTTACTAAATGCATATGTATGTTTACACGGTACATATGCCAAAATAACATTTTTTACAATTTTTGTCTGTCTGTCTGTCTCTTTGTTCCGGGTAATATCTGGAACGGCTGGCCCGATTTCGACGGGACTTTCACTGACAGATAGCTGATGACATAAGGAGTAACTTAGGCTACTTTTTTTAAACTAGCTTCGCCCCGCGGTTATAACAACAAACGCGGGTAATACCGCGGGTCTCAGCTAGTATACTTTATATCTGTACGTAGATGGATTAAGAATACGGATTGTCATCATCCCGTCATTCATGCAGTGGGTGTAGTATGAGCCGACTAAGGGAGCAAACTATGCAGCACAACAAAACTGCAAAGAGAAGGAAAACTTGACACAAACCCTATACCAACCCGTCTGGCCAGAGTGGTATAGTAGGCCAAAATCTTTCTAAGGAGAGGCCTATGTCCAGCAGTGGACTATTACAGGCTGTTTATGATGATGATTCCTATTAATCATGTGGGTTTCCTCAGAGCTGACTAAGGAAGCATTCTACACAGGATCACGGCACTACAAAGAAAAGCAAAACTCGTAACAATCAAACCTGTCTAGCCAGTGTGGTATAGTAGGCCAAAACCTTTCCAACTAGAGGCCTATGCAGCCTTTCTAAGAAATGGGACTTCTAAAAGCTGTTGATGATGAATTAAAGAAATATACTTACAGCTCCTCTGGGCATGGATTGAGGAGGCAGACCGAGCCTCAGTCTTGTCCGTTTGTTTGTCTGACGGCACATGTCCAGGAACTCGTAGAAATCGTTGACTTTGTCTACACATAGCTCACATATCAATGGAGGCATCTTATCATCTTGATGTACCTACAAAATAAGAAAGTTACAGTTTATTTTTTTATTTGACAGATTTCTTAGTAAGGATGGCGTAAAAACACAATAACGTGATATTTCATATGATTTATGCGACTGATTTACAAAACTACTGCTACTTAATTATTATTATCACGGTAGCGCGAGACTCGCGAAAGCGAAAGAAAACACCAAAAAAAAGGTTGTAATCTTTGATAAAAAGAATTTTGGTTGATTTTAATGGCATTTATTTTTGTCCATGACTATGAAATTGTTGTGACTAAAACAAATCATTTCATCCAAGAAACATGATTTAAAAGTAGCAATAATTTCCATGCCTACCTCTTAGTATAGTGGTTAGTGACCCTGACTTCTAAGCTAGAGGTCATGGGTTTCATTTTGGAAAAGAACCTGAACAAATAATTGTGTGATCAGCATGATCATTTGCGTCTGGGTGTAATTTATCTATAATATGTTTGTATTTAGCAATATATGCATATGTTTATCAGCAGTCTGGGTACCATAGTACAGGCTCTGCCTAGTTTGGGATGGCCAAGATGGCCGTGTGTGTGGGTATTATTATTATAAACCTAGTTTCTGCCCGCAGCTTCCCCTGAGTGTGTGAGGGGAAAAAGGATCACATGTTACCGTAATGGTAACGTGTGATCCTTTATCCCCCAGTTTACCGTTGATACTAATCATTACATTTCAGTAAATTTCTCATCAATCATGAATTATACACCTAAACGATTTTCAGGCATCACTGTTGATTGGTGAAACTGTGCAAAAATTTGTTTGGTCCTTATTGAGTTTTTCAAGTTTATAGAAACAGACAGACACGGAGTACGTGAAGTCCCCTGTGTCTGTCTGTTATAATAAGTAAGGATAATCTTCCTGACAGATAGCTAATAATATAGGAAGCAATTAGGCTACTCTTTTTAATAAATAAAACGGAAGTGTCTGTTTGTAATGTCAAAATAATAGGGTTTTTTCATGCTCACATGGTTATTTGCACAATACCTTTGCCAAAAAACAGTTTAAATATTTTTTGTCTATCTATCTCTCTGTTACTGGACCGATTTTGATAATATTTTACTACCAAGTAGCTGTCTATATAAGGCTAAGTTGTATATAATAATAGAGCTCCATGAAATTTTGCCCAGTAAGGGAATCAAACCCGAGGCCTCATAGACTGCACTAAGGCGGCGCTTTTCAAATTCCACGCGAACGAAGTCGCGGGTACCAGCTAGTTACAAACTTCACTGTATCACATTGTGGTGGCAAAAAGTTATACATTAGTCAAAATTTAAGCTCAATTGGAACAGAAGTTTTTGAGTTTTCGAAGTGTACACAAACCAAATTAATATTTTTATATACTTTTATTTTTTGTTGTTGATTAATTTTCAAAAGAATTAATAATTAAAAACATACCTTAAGTAATATTAATGTATTTATGATCAATAGATGATCAATCGGTAACCTAAATAGATAAAAATGTATTTTCTATAATAATTGTTTTTATATAACAGTGGAGTTTCGAAATATTTTACAAACTTTCTTTTAGTTGTTTGACAACAAACATTATTTACGATTTATATGAATTTGGTGTGACAAAATATCTGCGAAGATGACAGATATTTCTCCTAAAAGATATTTGAATAGTGTTTTCTTATTAAAATTACCTCTATTTGGACGCAATCGCGTATTTTTTGTTTGAGTTCCACCTCAGATCCATCCAAATCGACAATGTTTTGAATGATCGGCATTTTGTAGCCTGCTCCACCACCACAAAGTCGACATGCTCGATATATTTCGTATATCGACTCCGTATCCTTGTTAGAACCCAACATGCGGTCCATAATTAATAATTACTGTGTATTTTAATAAAATGCTGACAACGACGACGATTGCCGCTTTTCCGCCATTATCAGTGATACCACATTTAAACCAAATTAACGTAGAGATGTTATCAACACTTCCAAATTGATTCCGATTTAGTCGACTTCTCCTTTGGGTATCTTAAAGTACTTCTCTATGAGGAAAAAAATGCTTTTCGCAATGGTTTCGCGATAAGTCGCGCAACAATGACGTCATATCTAAAAATAATTTGATGACGACATTCCACTTCTTAGAATAGGTAGTATTATAAACCATTTTGAAAGTCGATCATGAGTCATGTTTTCTATATTTTTGATATTTTCTTTTAATTCACTAATACATTTTTAACATAACTCCAACTATTCAAACCTACTAGCAGTTGAACTGTCATTGTATAGACTCCACTTATAATTATATGCCTTAGCCTTTGTGAGGCCCTTGTCTTTGTGGAATTAGTATTAATGATAATGCTTGAAACAAAAAATGCAACCGATTTGTGCATCAAACTTTATAACCTTTGCAAGTATTTTTTATTATATACATGGATTTATATCTGTTAGTAGTATGAATATTGTAAACGTATTTTGTAGGTTTATGTTTATATATATTAATTGTCTAGAGTATTATAAAGTACATCACAGACTAACCTAAATCAGATTTGACAATATCCGGGTAAGGGTCTGCTGTAAGAGACTTCCTATTGTAGTACCAAAATGAACATGTAAATCCATGTATTTAAAATAAAGCACAATAAAACTGTATAATAAAAGATGTATAAATAAATAAATAAACGTTTTTCTACTTGGGTTGTTGCGAGAGTGCGCGAGGTCCCTGCATGAGTGAGGTCCTGGACGGTTACCATGGTCGCCATCCCCAAAAGCTGCCACTGATCACCATTATATAATGGAAACTTATAGCTGGATTATAGCTAATGGTCGTATTCATATGTTTTAAAATTTATTAAACTCTAACTATGTTGCACCCGTGCGAAAAAACAAAACCTTGTCGGATATCGATCATGCTTTATACAAATTAACGTCAATCATTCAAGAGAGTTGTTGGATGTCTACCCCGGAAGACAACGTTCGTCCCCCTAGGAGCAAAACATATTCAGACCACATACGTAAAAAAATACTCGAAAAAAGGAGGCTACGTCGAGTATGGCACACCAGCAGGCATCCAAATGATTAAAAAAAAATTGAACACAACCATCCGATAGCTGAAAGCCCCTACGGACCCATGACGGCAAGTGGATCAAAACAGCTCGTGACAAAGCGAAAACCTTCGCAAAACATCTCAGTCAAGTTTTTACCCCAAATGAGTCGTCACTGAATGCAGATAAAACGTACATTGACTTGACCCTAAACCAAGACCTTCAACTTGACACGCCCCCTAAAATTGGTGACACCAAGAGAAGTAATTAAAAGCCTCAAGTCACTCAAAAACAATAAAGCACCAGGGTTTGACCTAATTGACAAAAAGGTACTAAAAGAATCGCCTCCTAAAGTAGCCGTTTACTTAAGCATGGTATTCAACGCAATAATGAGAATTGGATACTTCCCAGACCTATGGAAAGTTTCAAACATTATAATGATCCACAAATCCAGAAAACCTATTCACGAAGTCACATCATATAGGCCAATCAGCTTCCTGCCTATAATGTCAAAGTTATTTGAAAAGTCGCTCTTGCACAGAATTATGAATTCTATAAATGAAAAACTAATCATCCCAGAGAACCAGTTTGGCTTTAGGAAGGAACATGCGACAGTGGAACAAGTGCATAGAGTGTGTAGAGAAATTAGGAAGGCAATGGAAAAGAAAGAGTACTGCTCCTCAGTCTTTCTCGATATTCAGCAAGCCTTTGACAGAGTCTGGCACAATGGTCTTCAATACAAAATAATATCTGTGTTACCACACACTTTCTATAACACCCTGAAATCTTACTTATCTGACAGAATCTTCAAAGTGAGAGAGAAGGACTGTACCTCCAATTTCTATGAACTATTGGCAGGAGTCCCACAAGGGTCGGTGCTGGGACCAGTTCTGTATACACTGTATACGTATGACTTGTCATAAACCCCAGGAGTAACCTTTGTAACCTTTGCTGATGACACAGCCCTACTCGCCTCGAATAAATGCCCCATTCACATCACATCAACAGCCTATACTAGTCCACTGCTGGACATAGGCCTCTCCTTAGAAAGGAGGTTTTGGCCTACTATACCACGGTGGCCAGACGGGTTGGTATAGGGTTTGTTTCAAGTTTTCCTTCTCTTTGCAGTGCTGTTGTCCTGCTTAGTTTGCTCCCTTAGTCGGCTCTTACGACACCCACGGGATGAATTGAATGAATTGGATGAATTGATGAATTTAATGCCCCATTAAATCATAAGAATACCAGTGGTTCATGAAGCTTTGGATATACCAACGGTCAGGGAGGAAATAGAAGCCCATAGAGTTAGCTACAAGTGGAGGTTATCACAGCACCCGAACCAGCCAGCGGGACAGCTCACTATACCTGAAACCATACGTTGGCTCAAAAAGCGGCGCGACATATTTGACGCCTAGAGGATTTCTCCATTGGAAGCGACGCCATGAACGCCAACAGTGCCCACACCTCATCTGCTTATAGTCACAATATGACTGATCGCAAGACAACAAAAAAAAAATTGTGAGTGCAATAAGAGTAATTAACCAACTACTTTTATTTATTGTGTACTACAGGACATATTAAATCTAATATTCATAGAACCGCTTTGCAAAAATTAAAATGATTATAGCAGTAGATGTCAGAGATTTAAAATGCGGGATTTAAAATCTCTGATACTGCTATAATCATTTTAATTAAATGCCAAAAATGGCAATATTGATCTACATGAAATGCAAAACGTAGCTTACGTATTTTTTTTTGATAAGGAATAATGCTGTATTGTTAAAAATAGCTTCGTAAATAACCCTTATATTTTGTGATATGTAAAAGATAAAAATGGTTATTGTGGTTTATCCTTAGAAGAGCGACATATGCCATCGTTGACTTTTTTGTAGATTTTTTAAGATATACATTATTTTACGAGCTTACATTGCAGACGCTGGCTAATCCTTATCAGATAGACCAAAATAATGTACTATGGAATTGTTTATCTAAAAAAGATCTACAAAAAAGGTCCGCGATGGTATAAGTCTCTAATTGTTAAGAAGGTTATATACATCAGTTACAAATTGTCTATCTTTAATATGATGATGTTACCTAGCAACTGTTGTTTTTTTTTGTAGTCAAGAATAAATTTGTCAATAACAGAAACTTGCTTTCCATATTATATTTTATTTTTATTATATTAAAGTGGTAGCAGAGCGTGGTTACAATGGAGCAAGCATTAAATGCGAGTAAGATTCAAATTGGGAAACTAGATTCCAATAATTATAAAACATGGAGATTCAAAATTCTAATCGTGCTAAAGGCAATACCAGGAGGCATGTTCATCCTCGAAGGGAAGAAGGTAAGACCATCCTTGGCGCTTTCGGCTACTGGCGATGCAAAGGCTAGTTATGAAAAAGACCTCCAAAGTTTTGAAAATTTGAATAGCGCAATTTTAATTCTGTTGACAACAAACATGTCAGATGATATTTTACAAAAGTTTTTGCGATTTGATTCTGCTAAAGATATGTGGGATGAGCTAGAGCGCACCTATGGAGGTACGTGTGTAGACAAGACATACAACTTATGCCTGAAATTCTTCAGTTACAAAAAGGACCCAGAACATGACATAATTACACATGTGTCAATTTTAAAGAATATTTGGAGCGAGCTATGTACGGAATTGCAGTGTGAAACAAAATTACCTGAAATTCTTTTAATATGCAAGATACTAGATACATTACCTCCAGAATATCTTGGTTTTAAGTCCAGTTGGCTGTTGATTTCAAAAATGGAAAGATCAGTTGAAAATCTGACAAGTCAATTGTGTGCACAAGAGAGAGTCCTGCGTCAAGACACAAATGTCACAGAGGAGACTAGTGCAGAAGCTTTGTATACAAAAACAAATAAGGGTAAGAAAAAGAAGAATTTTAACGAGCCTAAATGCAATTATTGCAAGGAAAAGGGACATAGAGTTAGAAATTGTAAGCGGTGGATCCAAGATGGAAGGCCGCCCAAGGAAACCAAGACCGCAAACACGAACCTGACTGTTATGACAATAGATTCGGCTGATTTTGGAGAAAGGAAAGATTTAGAGAATTGGTTCATTGATAATGGGGCTACCAATCATGTTACCAATCGAAATGATCTCTTTCAGACCTTCAAATATTTCAAGAGCCGTCATACAGTGACTGGCGCGAATGGCCAATATATTGAAGCCCTAGGCATCGGAAATATTCTTGCAGAGGCTGATGTAAACGGAAATGCAATACCGATACTACTGAAGAATGTCTGGTACGTACCCAGCATTAGCAGGAATTTATTTTCAGTACTTGCAACCCACGACATATCTGACAACAGTGTTTTTGAATCTACCACACTAAAATGTACACTAAAGATTAATGGACAGGTAAAGCTGATTGGCACCCGCAGCAAGTTTGGAGGACTCTTTAAAATTAATATAAGATGTCTGGAACCAACTGTACGAGTCAATCAGGTGTCCACAAACACAAATTTGTTACAGCTATATCATGAAAGATTTGGACATCAAAATAAAAGCCATGTGAAGAAGGTGATTGAAAATGAGTTTCATATAAAAGTACCAGTAACCAAGGAACTCTGTGAAGGTTGCATCTATGGCAAATCCCATAGACTTAAGTTTGGGACCCGAGAGAAAGCAACGAGACCTGGAGAACTTGTATATGCTGATGTTTGTGGACCCTTCCCATATTCTATCACAAAGTTGCGATATTTTGTTCTCTTCAAAGATGATTATACAAGGTACAGATTTGTGTATTTTATGAGGGAAAAAGCTGAAGTACACGCGAAATTGCTACTTATGCTTACTGAAGTAAAAGCATCAGGAGTTGTCATAAAAGAACTTCTTAGCGACAACGGTGGTGAGTTTGTCAACGCGAAGGTACAAGCTACTCTCAAGAAGGAAGGTATTGTGCAAAGATTGACAATGCCCTATACGCCACAACAAAATCCAACAGAGCGAGACAACAGGACCGTTGTGGAAATGGCGCGGAGTCTAATGTACGCACATGCAAAAATTCCTCCTGCACTTTGGGCTGAAATGATATCTGCTGCGGTGTACATCTTAAACAGAACAGGCCCAACCTCTGTGGATGGAAAATCACCGTATGAGTTATGGCACCAGAAGAAACCCAGACTGAGTCATTTAAGAATAATAGGATCCATTTGTTATCCACATGTTCCCAAGCAAAGACGAAAGAAGTTAGACAAGAAGGCACAAAAAGGAATATTAATTGGATATGACTCTGACAATGGCTACCGTATTTGGGACAGCAACTCTTTCAAACTGATTCGTTCCAGAGATGTCACTTTTAATGAGAATCCTTTATTGGGTCACTTTGAAGAGATTGACGAGCCTGTTGCCATTCAGAACAAAACTGCTGATAAAAATTCCAACACCCTGTTTGACTTCGTCATTCCTCGTCAGCATGAATGTTACACGCCGGCCGACACGAGCAACATCCAGCAGACATTGACAAGTCATGATGAAAGTATCGCATCGTCTTCTCAGCAAGATGAACATGCTGCTGAATCATCATGTGCAGAGATTGAAACTGCGAGTGAAGATGACGTGCCAGAGGCTGAAACATTTTTAGAGGCGGAGGAATCCTTTTACGAGCCTATATCCGAAGAAGAGGTTAGCGATGTAATCGAGACAGATCGTCAAGTCAACGATATAAATGAATCGAGGCCAGACCGTAGAGACGATTCGTCTTTATCTGCATCTGAGATCGAGGCTGAAGGCAGGATGACGCTACGAGACCGATCAAATCTCAGGCCACCGGCTAGATACATAGACTTCATTTGCAACATTTGTATGAATGGCAATTCGATAAGCGATGAAAATCGAAAAGAGCCAAGTACATTTCAAGAAGTGATGGCATCTAAAGATTTTGATGAATGGAAAAAGGCAATGGATAATGAAATTAATTCTCTAAAAGAAAATGAAACATGGGAAATGGTAGATTTACCCAAGGGCAGAAAAGCGATCTCAAGCAAGTGGATTTTTAAGATCAAGACGAATCCTGACGGATCGATTGATAAATACAAAGCCAGACTTGTAATAAGAGGTTTTTCACAGAAGAAGGGTTTAGATTATTATGAAACCTTTAGTCCTGTTGCAAAGACAAGTACCATAAGAGCATTACTCAGTATAGCTGCTCAAGAAAATCTCTCTCTATGTCAGTTCGACGTTTCAACTGCCTTTCTATATGGCAAATTGAAAGAGGATATTTATATGAAGCCTCCAGAAGGATATTCAAACAATGATGGTAAAGTTTGCAAACTTAAACGAAGTCTCTATGGACTTAAACAAGCACCGAGGTGCTGGAACTCTACTATTACTGAGCACATCCTCAAAGTTGGCTTCATACAGAGTGAGGGTGACCCCTGCTTGTTTAAAAGAGAGGGAAAGAACAAGTTATTAATAGCTTTATATGTTGATGACGGATTGATAGCGTCAGCAAGTTCAAAAGAAACTGAAAAGTTTTTGGACGAAATGCGTCAACGCTTCAAAATCACAACGAAATGCGGTTCCTATTTTCTTGGAATTGAAATAGAACGTAAAGTTGATAGGTCAATCAAAATTGATCAAAAGAGCTATGCAAAGAAGCTACTGCAAAGATTTGGCATGCAGAATTGCAAAGCTGCAGTAACCCCAATTGTTAAAGATAACGTGCTAGCTTCGAAAGACATTACGGATATCCATGACTTTCCATATCGACAGGTTGTTGGAGCATTATCCTATTTGATGGTTGGCACTAGACCTGACATTGCTTTTGCAGTTGGAATAGTGTCACGGAAGCTAGATAATCCAACATCAGAAGATGTAGCGAGAGTTAAGCGAATTCTACGCTATGTTAAAGGCACCCTAGAGTATGGTATAACATACAAATCTTCCACTGTAGAACGAGGCTTAAGATGCTACAGTGATGCTGATCATGGTGGTGATGAGACGACTGGACGCTCCACCAGCGGCATGATTTGCCTCAACGCCAATGGTGCAATAGCATGGCAGAGTAAACGTCAGACTACTGTCGCAATATCTTCTACAGAAGCTGAAATAATTGCAGCAAGTGAGGCCGCCAGAGAAGTTATATGGCTTAAACGGATCATGAACTTCATGCAGAGTAATACTCAGAAGGAGATTACACCACTCTTTATAGATAATGAATCCGCTATAAGATTAGCTTATGATCCACCTTACGAAGCACACCAGCGAACAAAGCATATAAGGCTTAAACATTTTTTCGTAAGGCAGTGTGTCCTAGAAAAGGATATAAAAGTTGAGAAGGTTGATACCAAGAATCAACTGGCAGACTTCTTGACAAAGCCATTATTTAAGCCTAGGCTTCTAGAACTATGTAAGCTAGCTGGAGCCTCCACTTAACCAACAGTTGCTTGAAGAGGAGACGGAATGTTAAGAAGGTTATATACATCAGTTACAAATTGTCTATCTTTAATATGATGATGTTACCTAGCAACTGTTGTTTTTTTTTGTAGTCAAGAATAAAGAACAATGGCAGAAACATATTTACCTAAAACTGAAGCGTTTAAAAAATTGACTAACAGTAAACTTACTAAATATTTTTTCTATGATTTATGATTATACCGCCATGTGTTGTATAAGTCTTATAAGAGATTGGATATTTTTAAAGATTTTATTTGACCTAAGTACGTAATGTCAGAATCGCCATCACGTATAACTGACTAGGGATGCGTAATGACATTATTATATTATGGAACGTTTTATCAATAATCGATTGTTATAACTTTGACTTAAATATCTATCGAAGGTTCACCTATTATGAATATGAATTTGCTTCTGCCCACGGGCTCACTCGTACGCTACCGTAACTAGTACCGTAGTGACTAAATAAACCTAATTAGAAATAATTTAGAATATTTTTGACTCTTTTTAAAAGATTTTTGCCACACCAAAATAAATAGAATATAGAATATAGAGATATATAGAATAAATAGGAAAATAACGTAACTAACGTTATTTTCCTACGAAAAAATATTAAAACAATATACTGCTTAGTGTGATGAGAAAAAGACATAGAAAGGTTGATAACAGCACATAAATACACATACATCGATATTTTTAAAACGTGGATATGTCGTCGTCGCACTACTAGTCTTGTCGTTTCACACTTACTCGCATGACTTACATTCCATTTCTCACAAGGCAATTGTAGTTTGTTTGGTTGTTTTATTTTTGTTTAGTAGATATTAAACTCTCATATATGTTTATTTTAATTTTATATAGTGTTACTCCATTATGCATGATGTGATGCCTTAAAATGTTGTGCATTAATCTCAATAGAATGGATGCATGCTTTAGATTTTAGTAAATAATGTCACAACTACTGGCTGTCGAATAAATAAATAAATGCATCCGCCTTGTGTAAATGTGTATTGACGTGCATTTATTCAAATTATTATTAATAATTAATTTATATATAGCTAGTATTACACCTGCTTGGAAAGCGAAGATTGTTTTCTATTGTTTACCAATACGTGCCAAGCAAATACCCTTTTAGAGAGTCGGCTAACAGTTTCTACAGCAAAATAGGGTTGCTTATGAGTAATAATAATGATGAATAATATTTTCGATTAAATGACACGCAACGCCATCTAGTTTCAAACAAAACATTGACAATATTTTAGTACTTAACCTCGAAACATTCAAAATCCAATATCTTTTTTCCTAGACTTCTTTCGCTAGTAATTTTTTTATGAGAATGTTCAAGAATAAATTCTCAAGGGTTATAGGCATTTTTGATATTTAAACGCTGTCATTTCACTTCAAATAAAATGATGTATGGGGACCTGCCATTGTCCTTTGTCAATAACAGAAACTTGCTTTCCATATTATATTTTATTTTTATTATATTAAAGCTAATAAGGATAACCCACAGTAACCAATCTTTCCTTTTAAATATTACAAAAAAAATAATAGGTTATTTACAAAGTTACATTATTATATCCTTCTCAATTAAATAAGTTAAATACGTTGTGCATTTTATGTAAATTAAATTTGCTCTAAACAGAATATCATTAAAATGAATATTTTACAAGATATTAGTCGAGACAGGATACAGCGGCCAGCAGAATCGAAGCGGGCCTATAAATATTGCATTTAAAAATGTAATGTAGTATAGTCCTATCAAAATAATAGTGTACCTAATTATTAGTAGTATCTACCTTGCAACCGTTTGAAGTCGGGGCGGATCGCTTGTGTATTATATATCAAAAACCCGCCACTTGAATCACTCCCTCTGGTGGTGAAAAGCGCATTGAAATCCATTGCATAGTTTAAAAGATCTAAGCGTAGAAAAAAAGCGACTTCATTTTATACTACGTACTTTTTCGGTTTGGTCTGCACGAACTAACAAAAGTATACTTTGTTACTTTCTCTGAAAAGAACATAATAAATACAAGACTGAATTTTTGTTATTAACTAGCACTCACAAGAAATTAATCTATTCAATATCGTTATCAGTTATATAAATATAAGTATTTATGTAAACACTACTGTTGCTTAAATGTTGCATAACCTTGAGAAATAAACCGTTGTGCAATTTCTGACACTACTTATCATAGTGCTAAATATGAATAAATCGTAACTCTCAAGTTTCAATTACTTCAATTGTGTACTGATTATGACTAATTTCAATTCAGTCCCGGGTAAACACTTGGTTTAAATGTATTTTCACATCATACATGTATTCCAATGAAACCTGTTCCATCAAAAACAATTTTGTTAGAAAGGTAGATATATGATTAAAAAGAACCATTTTGTATTTGACTAGTTCATGAGTTATTTATCTAAATCAAAAGAATGTGTTTAATGATTAATTCAATGTTTTAAATAAACATAAATGTGTAATAAAATCAAAAGTGAAAATCGATTAATCGACTACAAATGCAAAACGTATAAAATACAACTTCAAAGATGGCAACAATTTAATGTTGCAATCACGGGCTGGACGCATTTCACGAATTTTAATATCCTGTCCTAGCTGTCTGTTTTCTCTGTGGGAGTGCAATCAGTCAAGTCAACATTTCCTTTACCCAACGCGCAAATAATTTTTGGGTGTTTGTGTTGTTTATCATCAATAAAGTTTTGTCCACATGTGTTAATAAGTGTTTTCTGCAATAATATTGCGAGATAGTGTCGGCGTGAGCCGAATTCAACTTTTCCTTTTTTTTTTCATGTAAGTATTGCTTATTTCGAATAGTGTAACCGCCACTTGCACTAATTACAATATTTTGGTTTTTTGTAATTATTACGCATTTATGTAGGTATATCTTAAAATAACCACTACACCAGAGTAATAACAGAAAATTAACCTCTCCGGTTGAATTAACCTCAATAAAACTAAATATCAAAATGCCCTTTTTAATTTTTAGACCCTCTGTGAAATAGGTTTTTGTACAGTTTACGTCATATGGAAATTGTTAAAATTTAAGTCATATTACAAAACCGAAATTTCAGTAATTACAATATTTAAACAGTATTTTTTGATACTAATCATTGTAAAAATAAATGTTCTGAAAATTTTACGCAGTGTAAAAAAAAGTGAGGTTAGAAAGATTGTTTTTTTTTTTCAGGTTTTCTTATGCGAATTCTACGTTTTAAACAGATTATAAAATAGGATTATCTCAAATGTTTTTTTTTTAATACGTGTGACTCGTATACTGTTTGTTATTGTTTGAAAAATTATTTTGTGTGCACTTAAAAAAAACATTGTGCAATGTTTATGGTCTATACACAAAAACTTTATGTTGTCTCTGAATATAAATAAAGCAAGACAATTATGTATTGAATCACAATAACTTTTACACTTTCGCATCCCATAATATATAGTTATTTGGAACGGGAATAATGTACGTAATACTTAGACAGTGGAGGTCAGAGCTGACGCGTCGTAAAAAGTACTCCCTAAACCTATTCCTGGATCGCAATTCCCAGGCGCAGTCGTAGTCACATGTGTTTTCCTGATTTATCACTTGGTAGACCCCGCACCCGCATGGTGAATCCATAGAATGCCTAGCAATAGGTCTTCAGCAGTGTGTTGATTGCCGTAATAAATGTATAATTATAAATTATGAATAATTTTGAATAATTTTTAATTCATATTTGTGAACTCATCTTTTTACTTTTTGTTAAGTGGATACTGACTACTATTAGTAACATGAGGACTACAAAAAGCACAAAGATGTTCAGTTTCAATAACAGTTTGTTATTCTGTGTGTCATAATTATAAAAATATTTTAATACACCTCACAAACGGCTGTCTATTCCCAAATTATACAGAGCCTGTACTACGGTAACCTGTCTACAGATAAACATATTTATTTATTATTAAATTCATAATATTACAGTCTAGTTATTGTCGCGGCTTCTTGTTTCGTGTTTCTAACTGTGAAAATGGTGAACTTCCATAAAACCATTCATTCCTTATTTTACACCCTCTAAGGGGGTAACAGGTGAAATTTTCAAAAATCTTTATCCATAGTTTGTTATGGTTTAGGCTCTGTGTTTATGAATCAGTCAGGGCAAGTCATTTTTTATCTAGAGATAAGTTGTGTTGGAGTGGAACCTACCACTTCTGTCTCAGCATTCAATATCGCTCAGCCAAAACACATGTGTCAAGAAATAAGCAACCTTTAGTCAATTTTTAAATGTTTAAAAATAAAACTCCCTCATTAGGAAAATATCCTGTGTTGTGTAGGACTTCATAAACAAACAGGAAACATAAACAAAGAACAGCCTGACTCAGGACAAGAACTTGTATACACAAAGTCACGTCCCAGGTGGAGATTGAACTCCTCAGCGTAGTAGGAAGCAGAACTTTTATAACAAAAATTGGCCTTCTGATTGTAATGTAGCTCGTAAAAAATATTTTCACAGGTTCTTCCTTTTATAAGACAATACTAGAACATTACTTTTAAAACATCAAGACTTTCACTTATATCAATATTTTAGCTGACCTGCGCAATTTCGTCTGCGTCTCTCAATAGTAATAAATTTTCTCCGTTTTTGAAACATTCTTCATTGGTGCTCCGCTCCTATTGGTCTTAGCGTGATAATATATAGCCTATAGCCTTCCTCGATAAATGAGCTATCTAACACTGAAATAATTTTTTAAATCGGACCAGTAGTTCCTGAGATTAGCGCGTTCAAACAAACAAACAAACTCTTCAGCTTTATAATATTAGTATAGAATTAAATTTGACCTTGTGTTTTTATTTAATCACGTAATGTATTTGACTTTATTGCAATACCTAACACCACCGTTGTGACCCTCATTGCTAGAAATCTAGTGTAATCTAGTTTGTCATGACCTTATTTGCATAAATCTGACTGCCTCGGTAGTGCAGTGGTAACGTATGTGACTGCCTGTTTGTGTGATCTTCAAATATTGATTTCAGAGGGGCGTTTCCTGTGTATAGTATGTATGTATGTATATTTACAAAAAGAAGTACAAAAGTATTGTATCAGTCAATCTAGCTTTCATAGTAGAAGCTCTGCTTAGTTTGAAACTAGATGGCGTTGTTTGTCAGATGTCTGATAAAAAAAAGAACAGTGCCACTCCCGGAGTGCAACTGACAGAAGTGAAGTGTTTTTTTTTTTTGATAAAAACAGGAATGTCTTTTGTTTTTTCGATTTGAAAAGTTCCATCATGAATATATATCTATGTTACGTATATACAGAGGCGTCGGTAACGGTAACAGTGTCGCGAGTTCAATGGTTTCTCCCATCTCAAAAAATACTTTTTTTGGTTTGTTGTTAAAAAACTATCAACCTAGATAAGTTTTCACTTCAAAAAATCTCATATAAAAATGTAGTTTGTAGGACTAGTGATCTCACACTAAGGCCTACTCCTGCATTGTTCTGCTGGAGCTGGAGATCTAGGATTTTCCACTCCATCAATAAAAAAAAATATCTAGTGGTCCGAACCAAAGGTTGTGGGTTTTGATTTTTACATAGGACAAACAATTGTGTGATGAGCACTAACATTTGTTCTGTCTGGGTCTAATGTGTGTATTAAGACATCAACTGCCTCTTATAGTGCACTGCTGGACATAGGCCTCTCCTTAGAAAGGCCTATAGTACACTGCCAAATGGGTTTTTACAGGGTTTGTTCAAAGTTTTCATTCTCTTTGCAGTGCTGTTGTTCTGCTTAGTTGGCTCTCTTAGTCAGCTCTTACAACACCCACGGGATGAATAGGGGTCGAGACACTCCATATTGTATGAATTAAGTAATATTTACTTATTACATACAATATTCAAGTGTATAAGAATGTTTATCAGTAATACCGTTACAACAGGGTCTGCCTAATTTGATAACACAGAAGATGTGTATAAGTTGTGCAATTATATTATCAATGAGTCATCTATGCTGTGAGTTTTGGCAGTTTGATGCTCTCCAAGTTAGCTGTATTTGATTCATTGATACACGGTCATTTGTTCCGTGTCTCGGTGTACTTTATCTATAATATGTATGTATTTAGAAATATATAAGTATGTTTATCAGCAGTCCAGTTACCATAGTATAGGCTCTGCTTAGTTTGGGATCAGACAGCCGTGTGTGAAATGTGTGGAAATATTATTATTATATTTTGTACGCTTAACAAATACACTGCGTCGGTGGCGCAGTGATAGCGTATGCTAGTGCTGTGCTGAGGTCTCGGGTTTGATTCCCGAGTCCGACCAAATCTTTGTATGATCTGCAAATATTTGTTTCGGCGTTTGGGTGTTTTCTATGTAAAATATTTATGTATTTACAAAAAAAGGTATAAAAGGATTCTATCAGTCAATCTAACTTTCGTACTCTGCTTACTACACTGCCAGTACTGATATGGCGTGATCACGTTAATTTCCATCATCATCATATCAGCCGAAATACGTCCGCAGCTGGACATTGGTCTTCCCCCAAGGTTCGCCATAACAACCGGTCCTGTGCTGCCTTCATCTAACTTCTTTTCGTTTCATTTCCCTACTTATACAAAAACAATGAGAACTATTTTTTACTTGTGTCCTACTGGTATCGGGTCCAGGACCAACGGTGGTAAGAGTCAGCGGCGTGCACAGGATTATGACACTAGGTAAGCGGCGGAGTCGGAAAACAATATAATTTAATCGTGTGTACACAACCACACAGCCATACGTTTCATAACTTTTAACATGAAACTTGCGAGTTACATTTCCTTTTTGCTGGTTTAATTGTTGTAACTCGGGTACACACCTACCTTTAGACACAATTTTAATCTTTTCACTGAATGACAATTGTGAGAACTTTTAATTTTTAATATACACACATTTTCCACACATACCTCACAATCAAATAACATTTTTTTAAAATCAACGGAACTCAGTAATAAACTGTTAAATGTACACACTTTCAAATGTTAAAATGAAAAATAAAACTATAATTATACTGGCGGACACAAATTAGTAAACAATGCTCATCACATGAAAAGAAAAATGGCCCGAGCGAACACGGCGGCAACGAACATTTCCGATTACTCCCGACAACTGCCGAACGAACTTCAGTAAGTAGCCTGCGGCTGGAGGCGGGGAAATAAAATAAATGGGTGTGTGCGTTTGCGAACTGTGCACGGACACCAAAATTACTACACACATGCGAACAAATGTCCTGCGGGAGTTGGTTGGTTAGGTACAGCGCCGCTTGCTTGTCGGTAAACGCCTGGCAAACATAATGTTTGTGTGCTTGCAAATAGGTGCTATTTTTAAATAGTAGGCGTTTTTAAGTTATTATATTTTGTTTATTCATTTATTTACTATTAATTAAAGTCATCTAAAACGTACGACCGTTTTATTAAAATGTCTGTGAATAGCAAGTAAAGCACTGCATTTCTGCCTACAAGGACCGCACGCCCCTGGCAAGAGTGCCAGAGATACAAAACCTCCTCGCCATACTTGGTATATCGAGAGCAGAGGCCCTAGTGTGAGTTTATTTAACATCGACTTGATCGTCACCGTCACCGTGACGTCACCATGACAATCGAGTAGATGTAAAAGAAAACTCACACCTCCTAAGTACGTTTTCTGCCTGTGGCCCTTAATCCAATTGATATATTATTATTCCATTGTTATCACTAATTTCCTTTTTCCACTAGATCTATCCGTCTAGATCCGATCCAATCTAGATCCGTGTGGTGACGAATTAAGAATACAGAGTGTCACCGCCCCTATTCATCCCGTGGGTGTCGTAGAAGCCGACTAAAGGAGCAAACTACGCAGGACAACAGCACTGCGAAAAGAAGGATAACTTGACACAAATCCTATACCAACCCGTCTGGCCAGCGTGGTATAGGACGCCAAAACCTACTTTCTAAGGAGTGGCCTATGTCCAGCAGTGGACTATTAAAGGCAGTTGATGTGATGATATGTGATGTGACCAGATCTAATGTAATGTTTCTCTTTTTTTTCAGAAGTGCACAATGAAACGTTATATTTAATAAGTTGTTTTGAATTATAAGAATAACGAGGAAGTCATTATTAAGGATAAATAAAATTTTGAGAAGCAAACATGTTTCAAAAACCAGCGTTTGGTTCCACTACGGCTAATTTTGGTGAGTAAACCTTCTTTTCTATACAAATAAATAAAATTGAAGTGTCTGTTTGTAATATTAAAATAACCGCTTTTTACTAAATGCATATGTATGTTTACACGGTGCCAAAATAACATTTTTTACAATTTTTGTCTGTCTGTCTGTATGTTTGTTCCGGGTAATCTCTGGAACGGCTGGACCGATTTCGACGGGACTTTCACTGGCAGATAGCTGATGACATAAGGAGTAACTTAGGTTACTTTTTTTAGACTAGCTTCGCCCCGCGGCGTTGCCCGCGGTTATAACAACAAACGCGGGTCACAGCTAGTTTTTTTTATAAATTTTAACACTGCGTAGCGGTTGGCAAGCAGTTTGGGAATTTGCCATACTACGTTACCCGTTTATGGAGGGGTGGCAGAGGCGCGCTTACCAGTGCCTCATGTCACCCTTAGTGTAGCTGCGGGCTACGGGACGGTACGGGTTTTCCCCTCCACCGAGAATATACCCGAAGGTGGTGCCCGCGTCATTGCGGGCAGCAGTGGTTTCAGCGTGTGGTTTTAGTCGGTCCGATTCCGACACTACCCCGCCGTAAACCCCGATTAGGTGACAGCCCGAGGAGTTTTTCACACTTAAAAAATAATTAAAGGACTTAGGTTTTCGTCATGTAGTCATTAATAATGCCTTAAATCATTTTTTGCAAAAATACAGTTGAAAAAGAAAAAAAAATCAACTTTCTTTGTGCAAATAATGATTTAAGGCAATATTGATGAATTACTATTATATTCTATGGGAGGTCACCGAGGAGGTTACGATAAAATGTTTTTTATTTTTGAAGTTACAGAAAATTATTTTCTACATTTTAGTTCGTGAAGTTACAAAAATGTGTTTTTTTTTTGGTTTGTAAACTATAATTTTTAATCGACATAATCATTCGAAAGTATCTAACCCAAATGTTTCACCAACATTAGAGGGGATCTTGTTCAGCGCTCAAAAGTAATATCACCCAATGCCGGTAGAAATACTTTTAATTGGTAAAGAGGTCTGACTGTAACATCATCAACAGCCTTTACTAGTCTCCTTAGAAAGGAGGTTTCTGCCTACTATACTACGCTGGTCAGACGGGTTGGTATAGGGTTTGTAGCAAGTTTTCCTTCTCTTTGCAGTGCTGTTATCATGCGTAGTTTACTCCGTTAGGCGATTCTTACGACACTCACGGGATGAATAGGGGTGGTGACGCTGTATTCTTAATCCGTCACCACACGGTGTAACATATTCATATATTAGAGGGTACATTACTGTCAAGTCAAATCAGTATCTTTTTTTAAACGTCTAAACGCTTATTACATTTTTGTATGAAATACTATTTTGTGACGTCATACCTAGCTATTGTCAAATAATTTATTTTTAATGTAGCTGTCGAGATATCAAATCAATAAAAAGTTTAAATTGATAATGGAGGACAATTCAGGCTCTATTTTAAGGTGTTACATTTAATGGTGGAGTCGAAACTATTTATTTTAAACCTAAGAATCTACCCAATTATTCTACATAATTTCTTGATATAAACAATTTTTATCTAATCAGCTTACAAATTGATAAGCATTGTTTTGGGTTGGTTATAGTTCTTCTTCGTACCGAGCCATGATAGTTGATTAAAGGTATCTGTTTATATTTTATTTAAAAAATATTTATTTTTTGGTACTACCACACTATGGTTCCGGAACGATACGACTTTCAAAACTTCAAGAAAAGAGTGTACTCCTTCCTTGAAGGCCGGCAACGCGTTTGTAATTCCTGAGTTCCAGGCGTTCATGGGCGGCTGTAGTCACTTTTCAACAGGTGACCCGTCTGCTCGTATCCTCCCTCTTCCATAAAAAAATAAACTTGCTACTCAAAATTGACAAGTGCGGTGCCCCCCATTAAGTCTCTAGCCCAGAATCATGGGCAGGGGGACGATTTGGGTTATGGTAACTTTAATCACTTGATGAAAAGCGTCTGTGATTATTGGGGAATAAAAGTAAAGTACTACTGTAAAGTCTTGGCGTTCTACCTATAAATTATTAACCACCTTGCCAACTGAATAGAATGGGAATTGTTGTTGTATCATATGTATTTCTTAGATCTGAACTTAAGTGTAAAATATCGTGCTCATGCGCATTTACAGTAATGTTCTGATTTGTTTTATTCAAATTTCCTCTTATTAATCCGTGAACAATGGTGTGGGTTATGTTTTTTTACCTCTGTAATATATTTAAATATAGTTTAAGACTTTAACATGTAACTGTTTTTTGTTCCTAATAAACAAAATAAAATATATAATATATATTAGTATAAATCTATAAGATAACTAATTGATCAGTTTGTTTACAGGATCCTTTAACTCAGGAACGACAACGGCATCGCCCTTCAGCAGCTTCAAGCCTAACACTGGTACCAGTGCTTTTGGAGCTCCGCCCGCCTTTGGGGCGACAGCTACATCGCAACCGGCTACCGGTGGAGGTAAGAAGCGTAATTATTATTATTTATGATAGATACTTTTTTATGGTATGGGGTAACGATGGGTCACGTGATGGTAAGTGACAACCAGCACCCATAGACTCCTGCAACTTGACACTCGAGTTTCGTTGAGGCCCATTAAGTGCTCTCCCCAGAATTAGGCTCTTTTATTGGACCTCACCCACTCAGTGAAATCACATCACATCAACTGCTGGACACTGGCCTCTCCCATTGCACGCCACTTATATCGATTTTGGACTTCTCGCATCCAGCTCCTGCCAGCCATCTTGAGCAAATCGTCACTCCACCTGGCCTGCCCTGGAAATATTTTCTCCAAATTATAATAAAACAAAAATAATTATTAAAATCTTCTTGTTATTAAGAAAGATAATGCGAATCCTGCCCTTTTTTAAGTCAAAACTATGGCTGCACTATACAGAATATTTCATTAGTATTGTATACACAGGAAAACTTGACACAAACCCTATACCAACCCGTCTGGCCAGCGTGGTATAGTAGGCCAAAACCTCCTTACTAAGGAGAGGCCTATGTCCAGCAGTGGACTATTAAAGGCTGTTGATGTGTGTATACACAGTGACGTTGTGTTACAAAAATAGCCACGTGGGGGATTATAAAAACAATTACAGGAGAATCGAACCCATGCTAAATTCATGACCATTGTTATATCATTTGCACTATTAAATACACAGCTAAAAGGCGACTAAAAACGGAGGCTTTAATTTAGCCGAGTTTTGGATTAAAGTTGGCGATTTGTCATTTAGCCACCTTTTAACACGAGGATGGCTTATCACGAAGCCGCCTTTTAGCTCGAGGACGGCAGTATCACGACTACTGACGCCCTCTATGCTATCACGCTAGGTCTTTTCGGAGCCACCAACACTACCGGAGGTCTGTTCGGTAATAACAACGCTTCTACGTCCACGAGTGGCTTCGGAGCGAGCACCTCAGGGTTTGGCTTCGGAGCGAGTACTTCAACAGGAGGTGGACTCTTCGGCAGTAATACTACTTCTACTGGACTGTTTGGTAATACACAGAACCAGACGGCCTTCGGAGCTAAACCTTCAGGTATTAACATAGTCGCATAAACCTGCTATCTAGATTTTATACTGCCATTCGAATTTCATTTTAATTTGATAAGGTCAAACGCATTTTCATGCTCCAAGTTGATTCTAAAGGCTGGGGCAGACAGCGAGCGACATCGACAGCGTTCTTAATTACCTTTTACTTTACCATCTGCGTTCCCGTCCTGCCATTCGTCTCTTCAGTATAAGATCTAAGATACAGTGTAAGATTTAGGTGATACGCCTGCCAGAGGGCCTAGTGTGACTTCAATTTCCCATCAACACGATCGTTACGGTGACCGCGGTCGAGAGCGAGTTGATATGAAGCAAACTCACACTAGTCCCTCGGTATGTAGATCTGTGTGTGAGAGTGGTATCTGTAATAAATAGATATATAATAATTTAGTTTTACGTTAGGGTTTTCATAGAGATAATGTAACTTAAAATGTAAAGCAAAAACAATATTGTACAAGGGGCTTTATCGCATTGAGCAATCTTTTCAGGCAACCTTAAGATGGACTGGAATCATTTTAACTTGTAATCATGTATGTATAAGAAAAAGTTTGCCGAAGCAAACCTATTTTATATGTTGGGCCTTTTGGTATAGTGGATAGTGACCCTAACTGCTAAGTTAGAGGTAGGGGGTTCGATTCCCACCCAGGACAAATAATCGTGTGATGAGCATATCAGTTCGGTATATGCGACTTTCTGTGCTTTTTTTGCAACTTTAGTATTGTAAAATATTAAATAATAAATTATTTATTTGATGTTGAATGTTAATTTCGTTCCTCAGGTTTTGGGTTTGGAGCCACAAGTACCACAGGGACTGCTGGTAGCAGTCTCTTTGGTGCCACTCCGACTACTGGGACTAGTCTGTTTGGTCAGCAGAACAACACTCTAGGTGCTGTAGGACTTTTTGCCAACAATAACAGTGAGTCACTTATGCTGTATTTTATTTATTTATATATTTATTGTATACAGTTAACACAAACAAGGATTAGTTACAAATATATAGACGTAACAATCGGCGGTCTTATCGCTCACGGCGATCTCTTACAGACAACCTTAATACGGATATTAGATATTTAAAAAGTTGGGTAGTTTACATACACGTAACGCATCATAATAATAAATAATAATCATATTCTACCACATTCACACAACGCCATCTAGTCCCAAACTAAGCAGAGCTTGTGCTATGGGTACTAGACAACTGATATCAATACATATATACTTTTTTTAGTAAATACATATATATTATACATAGAAACACCCAGACCAAATCAAAAATTAAATGTTCATGCACACAAATGTTTGACTTGAGCGGGAATCGAACCCTCGACCTTTGGAATAGCAGTCCGTTACACAAACCACCACGCCATCCGGTCGTCAAATATCACGTGAATATTTAAAATATCAACAAACGCATTCATACACAAATATATATTTATTCACATTACACATATATAAATACACATACATACATAAATCTAAAATATATACTATATATAATGAACAGTATTTATAATGTGAAATAAAAATCATTCACTAGCTTATGGGGTAAAGTGTATTCATCCCGTGGGTGTCGTAAGAGTCGACTAAGGGAGCAAACTACGCGCGACAACAGCACTGTACAGAGACGGAAAATTTGAAACAAACCCTATACCAACCCGTCTGGCCAGCTACACCATTGGTATTGGTATTGGTATTGGTTGTGGGCTTCGGTTTCCGCATTTAGACTCAGAGTGGTCCTTTATGCGTCGAGGATTGGTTGACTAGATGAGCCAACCAAGCTCCTTCCAGAAGCGCAGAAGCCTCCTGGGGCGTTCACAGGCTTCTAGGAGCCCAGCTACACCAGTGGACATCAGCAGTCAGAGGGCCAATTCTATTAAATAAAAGTTGGGTCTCAATTCAGTTCCGATCAACTCTCGATAAAAGGTATTCTCGTAGTAAAGTAATAAAGATCCAACGTTGACTGTAACATGATTATATCGTACTAGCTGACCCGCGCAACTTCGTCTGCGTCTCTCAATAGTAATAAATTTTCTCCGTTTTTGAAACATTCTTCATTGGTGCTCCGCTCCTATTGGTCTTAGCGTGATGATATATAGCCTCTAGCTTTCCTCGATAAATGGGCTATCTAACACTGAAAGAATTTTTCAAGTCGGACCAGTAGTTCCTGAGATTAGCGCGTTCAAACAAACAAACAAACAAACTCTTCAGCTTTATAATATTAGTATAGATTGTGACCGAAAATTGAATCGGTAATCTGCTAGTCTTAGTAATACTTTACTATTTTACCACGAAAATACCTTCTATGATAGTTGATCGCACAACTGAATTCCGAACGAACTTTTATTACTAGAATGGCCTTTCTGGTTGCCACAGTACAGGCTTTGCCTGGTTAGGGATCAGACTGCCGTGTTTGAGATGTGTGAAGTGTGCTTAACACCGGTTTTCTGTGAGGTATAGGTGCAGTGGCAGGATAGGGCAATATGACTGAGACTGCTGGACTGAGGGGAGGGATATAAAATGATCAATTTTATTTTTACAGTCACATTTTATTTTCAGGTGCCTTCGGTCAGCCTCAGCAAACGGCCACAGGGACAGCCCACGTCAAATACAACCCAGTTATCGGCACGGATGTGGTAGTCAAACAAGGGGCTTCCCAGAATGTCAACATTAAGCATCACTGCATCACGTGTATGAAGGTTAGTACATACAAGAAAGGAGAGTAGTCCTTCCTCAAAGGCCGGTAACCGCTTGTGACTCCTGAGTTGCAGGCGTTCATGGGTGGCGGTGGTCGCTTCCCAGCAGGTGGTCTGCCTGCTCATTTGCCCAGTCTTTCATTAAAAAAAAACAAACAATCTTAGTAACGGTATCCTAAAATTTAAGGTTTATAGCAAAATATTATCTCGGTAATAGCGACAAGGTACATAATGGAATACGCATTTTGAATGTTTTTTGTTTGTCGGCTGTACACAAGGTATATTGTAATTTATGATATTATTAAAATTTATTCAATTTATTTAAATTTATTCATTTAAATATCGCCTCGGAGTGAATCGTCTGTTCTTATGCATTAAGTGATTCCTCAACATCATCATCAACAGCCTTTAATAGTCCACTGCTGGACATAGGCCTTTCCTTAGAAATGAGGGTCTGGCCTAATACCACACTTGCCAGATGGCTTGGTATAGGGTTTGTGTCAAGTGTTCTTTCTCTTTGCGGTGCTGTTGCAACTATTACGACACCCATGGGATGAATAGGAGTGGTTATACTCCGTATTATTAATCAGTCATCACACGAACAATTCAGTGATACAGTCTGAACAAAATGACACTTCTATTCGAAAGATCTGTTCATACAATCCTCTTTTTAAAACCTTGTATATTACTTAAAATGTGTATTATTTTATAGGAGTACGAGAACAAATCGCTGGAGGAACTTCGTCTGGAAGATTATGTGGCTGGTAGAAAGGGAAACTCTAGTGGAATGTTTGGTGGTTTTCAGCCAACCACTGAGAACAAATCACTGTTTGGCGGTACCACTTGTTAGTATTATCTTATTTAATTTTATGACGGAGGACCGGTGTCTGGGTTGTTTTTAAAAAGGGTGACGCCAGTAAAGCTAAAATATTTTTTTTCATTGTTGTGGTTTTCCTATATATATATACATGTATATGTATGTATTCCAAGTTCTTACTAAGAGTTGTACATCGATCCGTACAGCCCGACGGTTCGAGCGAGAATGACCAAGTACGCGCAATGCAGCTTGTTTTTAAAGGACGTCTTATCGTGCACGTGTTTATAAGTTGTTAGGTTAAATGTTGTATTTCTGAGGTGTTTTCAGATAATATGATTCTTCAATTTATTTCTTAACACTAACTATCGAAACTTCAATTAGAATCTTATTTAAATCAATTGAATTATTTTTATTAAGTATGGTAGTTTGTAGTAAAATTACTTGCCCTCACTGATTAATTCATCAACGCAGAGCCTAAACCGCTGGGGTACAAAATTGTCATTTTGGATAGTTTTATGTTGTAAGCACTCATTGAGTAAGGTGTTTTAAAAATTTCATCCCTAAGGGAGTGAAATAAGGGATGAATGGTTGTATAGAAGTACGTTATATTAATAAGAAATAATCACGCGGGTAATAGCTACTATTATTCTAATACTTGAAGTTTCTATCCTTTTTTTACTAACTAACCGATTTTAAAAGAAAGAGGAGGTTTTCATTTACATTTTTTTTAGGTTTGTTAGCTCAGAACTCCGTTATTTAATAACCGATTTAAAAAAATATATATATAGGATATTCAATTTTCTGTTTGGTTCCAAATTTGAAGGAAAAATTCTACCCCCTAAGGCTGAAGAATTAAGGAATGAGGAATGCAGTACAATAATAGTTTCCAAATAAGTATTCCTTCCGTGTTCCTTATATATTTATGTAAAAAGGCGTGCAAATAGTTTTTATGTATAGGATTTCTAATAACTAGAGCCCGTGTTGACGCTAACCGGTGTTCCGTTGCAGCGTTCGCGCAGCCCGCCACGACGAGCGCGCCGTCCGTGTTCGGGGGCGGCCCCATGAGCGCGGGCGCGTTCGGGCAGCCCTCCTCCTTCAGCTTCGGCGCCGCCGCCGCGCCCGCCGCCGGCGCCAACACCGGCCTCTTCGGCGCCAACAAGCCCGCCTTCGGCACCACCGCCACCACCGGTCAGTCTCACACTCGTTTTACTTTTAGGATACTCAGAAATACCATGACATATTCAGGCATGCTATGGTATACGCTGGGATGTCATGGAATACTCTGAGATATCCTATCCCAGATTCTCAGACACTCTAAAAACTCACACACATTATAAGGTAGGTGATATTATTTATAAATAAAACTCATTAAATTGGTTCTTGTTCCACCATTTATTTATATTGATTGTTGATTTTGACCGTAAATAGATACAGATATTCCGTCGCGATTCCTTGGTTTTTTAATGACATATTAGTCATTTGATGGTAAGTGCCCATGGACACATGCTACTCTAGAGTCACAATTGCATTGCTGGCCTTTAAGCCCTCCCCCCTCTAACTGGGGGGCCTGACCTCCCAGTTTAGGGGGGGGGGGGATATCCCCGGTAACCGGGTAACCATATTCTGTGAAACGCAATGAAATGATTGCTTAAAACACCGGTATTATATGAGGCCGTATTATCACTCCGGTTGAGTCCATTGTACTGACAGACCTTCTTAATATAGGAAGCATTTTTACATTCGATGGTTTACGAGAAAGTTGATTTTACGGTAGTGTATTTATATACCCTGGTGCAGTCATGTGACGATTTTATGGTATATTCGTATTTATATCTGTGAAGACGTACGGGAGTATCGGACAGCTGAAAAAAAAACGTGAGTACCCACATTGTCTATGGTTTTTATTAATATAGTTTTTTTACTAACTTTTACCCGCGAGTAAGTGGGTTATCGAGGTATGTATAAAGTAGCCGATGTTACTCGCTGATAACGTAGCTCTCCATTGGTGAAAGAATTGTTGAAATCGGTTTAGTGGTTTAGGCGTGGAAGTGTAACAAATAAACTCACATTTACGTGAGTAACTTCTCTGTTTCTCTGTTCTCCCTCTGTAACAATTTTTCTATAGTTTATTAGTTCGGTTGTACATTTTCCTTTGTGACCCGATTTGGTAAATTCTTTTTTCATTTTGGAGACTGAATTTTTCTATTGGTTCCATCGACATTCGAAGAAAAAACTAATTTTAAATGCATTTTTTTATGAAATAAAGATATTTTGACTGTTCAAAGTTTATTACGAATATAACTGCGAGGCGTCCGCTTAAATGATTTTTCTACAAAATTGTAAAATTATTAGTTGTTATTTTTATTGCATTTTAAAACAAACCCTATTTTTCACTTGTATGCCAATTTTCATAATTACAGATTAAGATTATTTGAAATGGCTGCCCTGTAAAGTTCAATAAATGTCAGATCCGTCACTATTCTACGACTATGATGATATATAGATTACTAACTTTTGCCCGCGTCTGCGCCCGCGCCTATGTCGGTTATCGCGGTAAAAAGTAGCCTATGTTACTCGCTAATAACGTAGCTTTCCATTAGTAAAAGGATTTTTAAAATCGGTTTAGTTATTTAGGCGTGAAAGCGTAACAAACAAGCTCACTTTCACATTTATAATATAAGTATGGAAGTATGGATTATCTTGGCATGGTAGCTAGTGCATCCCCGTACCAACACACTATGTAAACATTATTTCTATCAATCAATTTTCTTTTTCAGGTATTTTAAACGCAATCAACGGAAGGAATCAACCAGGTCTAAATTTTGGTAGTACCCAAAAGAGTTTAAGTGATGATAAGGATAATAGTACTTCTGGTTTGGCCAGTACGGGTTTTGGTAATACTCAAAGTACTTCTGGTTTGACCAGTACGGGTTTTGGCAATACTCAAAATACTTCTAGTTTGGCCAGTACAGGTTTTGGTAATACTCAAAATACTGCTGGTTTGGCCAGTACGGGTTTTGGTAATACTCAAAGTACTTCTGGTTTGGCCACTACGGGTTTTGGTAATACTCAAAGTACTTCTGGTTTGGCCAGTACGAGTTTTGGTAATACTCAAAGTACTTCTGGTTTGACCAGTACGGGTTTTGGCAATACTCAAAATACTTCTAGTTTGGCCAGTACAGGTTTTGGTAATACTCAAAATACTTCTGGTTTGGCCAGTACGGGTTTTGGTAATACTCAAAATACTTCTGGTTTGGCCAGTACGGGTTTTGGTAATACTCAAAGTACTTCTGGTTTGGCCACTACGGGTTTTGGTAATACTCAAAGTACTTCTGGTTTGGCCAGTACGAGTTTTGGTAATACTCAAAGTACTTCTGGTTTGGCCAGTACGAGTTTTGGTAATACTCAAAGTACTTCTGGTTTGGCCGGTACGAGTTTTGGTAATACTCAAAGTACTTCTGGTTTGGCCAGTACGAGTTTTGGTAATACTCAAAGTACTTCTGGTTTGGCCAGTAGGGGTTTTGGTAATACTCAAAGTACTTCTGGTTGTGTCAGTAGGGGTTTTGGTAATACTCAAAGTACTTCTGGTATGGCCACTACGGGTTTTGGTAATACTCAAAGTACTTCTGGTTTGGCCAGTACGGGTTTTGGTAATACTCAAAGTACTTTTGGTTCGGCCAATACGGGTTTTGGTTACACCCCAAATACTTTTGGTTCGGCCAATACCGGTTTTGGTAATACCCATAACACTTTTGGTTCAGCAAATACTTTTGGCTATAGGCCCTTTAGTTCTTCGTTGCCTAACAACTTTGGCGATCCGTTTTGGAGTTCAACCGAATTTAGCACTAATTCAGCGTTTGGTACTATAGTTACCAATTCTCTTTCAACCATGGCAATTATGAGAAAAATGGAATGCATGCATGATATCTTTGAAGTACTATGTGACTTTTCTACTTCAAGAAATTTTAATTCAAGCCACCGATGGGACCAAAACAGACCAGGGTTAAAGTTTGGTACTGGCCAAAATAGGTCTGGTTCAGCCAAAACCACTTTTGGTTATAGACCCTTCGATAATTCGTACTTTGGCTCCCCGTTTTGGAGTGTGACCGAAGCTAGTACTAATTCAGCATTCGGCACTATAGTTGTCAATGCACTTTCAACAATGACGAATAAGAGAAAGATGGAATGCATGCAAGAGATTCTTGAGACTCTAAGAGAGTTCTCTTTTTAAATATTTTTGATGTGTAACATCTTTCGTCTCGCTTTCCTGGAATTGGAATGGTTCGTGTAAAGGGACGAAAATGTGTAAGAAAAAGCCGCGCGCTAAGACCAATGACCGTGCCCAAATTCTGTGGATTAAGAATACGGAGTGTCACCATCCTTATTCACACCGTGAAAACTACGCTATAGAACAGTACTACAAAGAGCAGGCAAACTTGACACAAACCCTATACCACCAAACCGTCTGGTCAGCGTGGTATCATCATCATCATCAATAGCCAATAATAGTCCATTGCTGGACATAAGCTTCTCCTTAGAAAGGAGGTTTAGTAGGTATTAGCGTGGTATAGTAGGCCCAAACCTAAAAGAGTTTTTTATTGTCCAGCAGTGGACTATAAAAACTGTTGTTGATGATAGTTGTTCGTCAGATGGGAAGTGAGGTGTCAGATGTCACACATCATACGCGACTACTGTTATGCTCGCGCGTTTCTAGGAGTTTACACTTTAAGAATCAATTTTCATAAAAGGCTCCCCCCGGTATGAAATAAATATGAAGAGTAAAATTTAGTGATCGAATGACCTCGTTACGTTTTTTGTGCGCAATCTATCGTGCGCACCTTTCACATGTGTGTGTATAACTTGTAAACTTGTGTGCAGCCGAATCCGTTCTTAAGAAGTAAACTTCAGTCGTGTGTCGGAGCTTACACACACCCTTTTTTTATATAGAATCGCTAGGTGTAACAAATTTTAATAGTTACCAAATAAATGGTACTTTTCTATGTCTGTGTGATAGAAAATCATTTATTCTTGTATTTTTTTTAATTATTTATATAAAAATATATGTATATATATTTTTTAAAGTAAGCTTGCTGTTGTACTGTATACGTGTTACAAATAAGAATAACCAGACAAATAAGAATATTCCAGTATCAGTTAAGCGTTACTTTCTGCGCCATCTAGCGCTGTAAGTATCAGAATTATTAATTACAATCTCAATAGTTGTACTTTACTCGATACTAGATGGCACTGTCCTCAACATTCCATACAATTCTGGAACAATCGAACCAAAAAAAATTAAAATCCTATGGCGCAAGTTTATGTAATGCTAGTAATATTCCAATTTTCGCTTTTGACTAAAGAACCGGTTACCCTCAAATTCGTAGTTTTCAATGCCAAGTAATAAAGTTCAAAATTCTCTCTTTCCGTGTAATTAATTTTCGTAATTAATGTTATTATTTGCCGTGTTTTTATGAAGTAGATGAAGATTTAAAAAAGTTAAAAATCGACAGGTCACTGACGACGTCAGCCACTGATTATGATTCTATAATTTAAAAGTTCAGCCATTTTCTGGCCTTTCACTTACCTGTTTATATCGCCAGAAATAATTTACCATCTTAATTTGATTGCAGCGTTTTTTTTGGCTATTTTCACGGAAACAACTTTTTTTGTGTTAACGACTTTTTGGCTAAAAGATTCACTACTTCTCGTAAAGACCTAGAAAAAAGACTCGAAACTAACTCAGGCACTTTGTATCTAGACTATCATTACAACAGAACCGCGCATAGGTTTGATTAAAACACACACTTCACAAAATTAGAATAACAAGCACATTATTTACCGTTAATTAGTCAGATTAATTCTTCTGTAAAAGAAGAGATCCCAACTTTGTCAGAAGAGATGATAGTGGAGGCAATTTCTAGATTGTTATAAACTGTAAGTAATTATCGGTGTGCGATCTAAATTGCACTTGATTGTGTCGCAGATAGGGTCGTTATTTGTAGCCTTCTGTACCTGTACTATTATATTTTTTACCATGTCATTTTTATATAAAAAAGAAGAGTAAAATATTTTCTTAAATAACTTATTCATATTATTAATAAAAACATATTAATTGTTTATTATTATTATAATATATACAATTTTACTCGCGTATAGTTCGGGGACGCTCGACCAGTGTGATGTCAGCCTGATACCATCGTGGCATGTCGCTTCACACCCTGAAATAGAATTCCTGAAGGGTCTGTAATTATTCGGGCGTATCTGAAATGCACACGAGATTAAAATCGTAAACTTTTTGATTAAAGTCATGAAAAACAAGTCATGATTTTTTTAATATTATGTATTAAATATATGATTAAATCAGTGTTAAATTATTATATTATACGGGGTGTTAGGAAATGACATCTTTGACATGACAACTAAATGAAACCATAACGAATCCGTTCTTTAACACCCTGTATGTGTGTCTGTGTTTTTAATAATTAAGAAATTTTAATATTGTTGTATCGCATATATTAGATTAATTAAGCATTTACAATTAGTTCTAAGTGTTGACACGATAACTAGTAATGTATCATTGACGTTACAATAGATACACCGCTTAATTGAGTCCTCCCTTGCGGGGTACGAGGGGGCGGAGGTAGGACGAGAACGGGGGCTGGGAGGGGTGCTAAGTGGTGCACCTAAGCGGTTTATCTATAGTAACAAAAATATATATGCAATTGTTAATTTGAATCAAAAGAAAATTATTTATTAATATTAAAGTATTATATTGTATTAAAGTTTTAATAAATTTTATTTTGTATCTTTTTGTTTTTCTTATTATAAACTAGTAATTGAATTTTTACCTGCGTTTTTAGTCACAGCTCTGCCCTTCATCCCTGTTAGGTTTTATATACAATGTATGAGAAAATGATTTTTGTATTTTTTATAAATAAATATTTTAAAAAATCAAACATCACCAAAATCGATCCAGTCGTTCTTGAGTCATAATGGTCTAACTAACCCGTCTTTGTTTGTATTAAGATTGGTCCATCACCTTAGAAGTGTAGTGTACTGAGTTGATCATGTATTTTATCCATCACAAGTTAAGTCCCCCAGATTGACAATGAGACGGCCACAGCATCACAAAAAACCGGTGTTGAAAAATTATGTAGGATAACTTTGGTAACAATAGGGAATATGCACGTGACACCAAAATGGACAAAATATTTTTATTTGTAATTTTTATTGCTAAAAAAAGATACCCATACAATTATTTTTGAAATTTATTATAATTTAATAGTGAAATTTAATCATCAAAAATTGGCTTTTTTAAGATTCCCTCGCAAATTTCTAAAACGCAACGCTATTGGTTGAATAAAACGTGACGTCAACCTACACTGTCAAGAGTGTCAACAAGTTGTGTGTATTTGTAATATTTGGTTTCTGGTGATTATTTGTTTCATTTTAAGTTAATAACTAATACGTTTTCAGTGTTAAATTATTAAATTCCCGTGTAGAAAGACTCAACACAATGACTGAATATACTTTGTCAGGTGCAGTTTTGATATTATTTGGGCACAAAGAAACGGCACAATATTTATAATAAGTTTTTATTGGCTGTTCCATGGTAATAAGTTAATTTTTATCACTCACTTTTTTAACTTTCACAAACTTTGTGAACTTTACTCCGTTGTTGACATCGAATTCGTCTGAAAAATCACAAAAAAAGCGCGCCAAAATGGACGTGTTCAAATTGCCCCAAAATGATGGTGATTTTTTTTTTGCTTAACGGTTTATATTTCGGATGTGTTATATTTATTTTTGGTAATGTAATAACTAGTAGAATCGTTTAAAAAAATAAAAAAAATACATGCATATTCCCTATTATTGAAGTGAAAACTACATTAGGCGCGTTGGGCATTTTTGAACAACAAACAAAAGAATGTATTTTTTGAGATCACTTACCATCAAGTGACTTTGCCCGTTCGCCACTTATACCATAAACAAAAGAAAATATGATTGACAAAATATTTATAGAATACTAGCTGGTGCCCGCGACGTATTTGTATTTTTTTTTTGACATTAATGGTGTAGTACGGTACGTGACTGCAGTCCATGAAGCCTCGGGTTCGATTCCCGTACCGGGTAAAATTTTATAGGGTTTTTCTGAGAGGAAAAATAGCCTATGTTACACTTTATATTATTCCAACTACTTGGTAACAAAATATCAAAATCTGTCCGTTTTGAAGACTACCCGCAACAAACAGACAAAAAATATTAGGTCTTTACCTATGAAATTGCCGTTTTATATGCAATAAGTGAAAGTACTTATTTTTTCAAACTTTTTTATTTCTGTTATTTGAAGTAATCACCCATGCAATCGACGCATCTTTGCTAACGCATTGGCAGTTTATTGATGCCCTTCTTGTAAAAATCAGCTGGACGGGAGGCAACAAACTCTTTAAAGGCATTTTGTACTGCCTCCCGGGAATTGAATTTTAAGGAAAGGCCTATTATTTAAACTGGTTTTTAGGCATATCTTGCAAATAATCGTGTGAGCATGAAAAAAAAAAACCCAATATACAACGACATAACAAACAGACACTTAAATTTTGTTTATTTGTATAGATTGACTCGTTCTTATATTAATGGACTTCTTACTTGCATAGATATCATCATCATCATCAGCCTATCGCAGTCCACTGCTGGACATAGGCCTCTCCCATTGCACGCCACTTAGATCGATTTTGGGCTTCTCGCATCCAGCTCCTGCCAGCCGTCTTGCGCAAATCGTCACTCCACCTGGCCTGTGGGCGTCCTACACTACGTTTACCGAGACGCGGTCTCCACTCAAGAACTCGTTTTCCCCAACGGTTGTCGGTTCTGCGGCTAATATGGCCAACCCACTGCCACTTCAGCTTGCTGATCCGGTAGGCTATGTCGGTGACCTTGGTTCTCTGCCGGATCACCTCATTTCTGATGCGATCCCTTAGAGAAACGCCGAGCATAGCCCTTTCCATAGCACGTTGAGCGACTTTGAACTTGTGGACCAGCATAGATATATTTGGTCTATAATCAAGATTATTTTAGATTTTAGTCATCATCATCAACAGCCTTTAGTAGTCCACTGCTGGACATAAGCCTCTCCTTAGAAATGAGGTTTTGGCCTACTATACCACGCTGTCCACATGTGGGTCGGTATAGGGTTTGTTTGAAGTTTTCCTGCTCTTCGCAGTGCTGTTGTCCTGCGTAGTTTGCTCCCTTAGTTGGCTCTTACGACACCCACGGGATGAATACGGATATTGACACTCCGTATTGTAAATAAGATAGATTAGATAAAATAGAGCGGTTAGAGTTTATTTATTTATTTATTTATACATCATGCACTTTTGGTGCATTGCCTGACTTAATGTCTAAGGCATTCTCTACCAGTCAACCTTTGGGTGATGCAGAGAGAACGGGAAGTAGGTGCATTTTGGTTAAAGTTTGATAGTAGTTATAATATCAAATACGCGTACATAAACCTATCATACACTAGAACCCATACACATAATACATACGTACATACATTTACATAAATACATATAAATTTACATAAATACATACATACCTAAATAAATACTATTAATAATAGTAGATAGATGACAATCACACGTCAGTTGATTCTGCCAGTTGTTTTGAAAAATACTGCTTTACTTTAGTTTTAAATGAGAAAGTGTTGGTGGCCATCCTGACCTCGAGAGGAAGGTCATTCCAGAGAAGAATGGACTGCACAATAAAGGATGAGCCAACAAACTTTTAGTACCTAAAGATGAACATATATCGTTGTTCTTATCTTGTGCTTTTTTGCCACTAGTATAGCAGGTATACTGGCTGCGCCCCGCTTGTGATACCCGCGGTTTATCAAATATATGTCAATTTCTTGCTAATCCCATGATACATTTTTTTGGAATAAAAAGCCTATGTGTTAATCCCCTCCAAACCAAATTTTATCCCAATTGGTCCAGCCGTTTGAGCGTGAATAGGCAACAAACATACAAATCCACACATTCACGAACTTTTACCTTAATAATATATTAGTGTGCAAACGTCGGGTCTTTTGGGGTGCTAGATCTCAATTGTTGAAAAATATTTTACTGACAGATACTGATAAAAGTAAATTTATTATAATATAAAATACCTTGAATGCGCCCCACGGTTTTTTAAGATGAAATAATTTTTCCTTTTGAAGGTATAGATTTTTTTAAATTAGATTTTTATACTATAATTTATTTTTCCTTTTTTAGTCATTAATGATGATTATTATCTTATTAAGACTAAAAAAGTAATAGGAAAGTTTATCAAATATGCTGCAGCGCATGCCTTAGTACCTGGCAAAAACTCGACCGTATTTTTAGGTATAGAAGAAGCTGTTAATCCTGAAGGTCCTGATCAGGATAACGAGAAAAACTATTTAAATTATTGCATTGTCAACGGCCCTCGATAAGTGTGCAAAGTTTCAATTTAATTCGACTATTTGAAGTGGGTCAAAATCGCGTCCGATGATTCCGAGACAAACATACATACTAAGCTAATAAAAGCGTGCTAAAATATATGTATAAACATATATGTGTGTGTGTGTATAGTCAAAAACAAATATTGATAATTTTGTTTTACAGGTACTGGGTTATTTGGTGCAACCACGACGCAAGCTAACACCTCATTCGGTACTACCACTCCAGCATTTGGCTTCGGCGCTAATACGCAGAACCAAGTAAGTATTATTTTTTTAGTGTTTTAATTTTTGTACTTTTCAAGATTCAATATATCACACATCAACAGCCTTTAATAGTCCACTGCTGGACATAGGCCTCTCCTAAGAAAGGGGGTTTTGCGTTTTGTGTCAAGTTTTTCTTCTCTTCGCAGTGCTGTTATCCTGCCTAGTTTACTCTTTTAGTCAGCTCTTACGACACCCACGAATATATGTTTTATTAATATTATAAATTGGGTCAGGTACAGAGTGCCTAGTGCGAATTTATTTTACATCTACTCGATCGTCAAGGTGAAGACGTTGCGTTGCGTTGCGTTTGGTGAAGGTTTCAGTGCGGGCCAATCGCATCGCTGAACGCGGTCACCCTGGCGATCGAGATTACAGAGATTGTCCTCTAAATTAGTTTTGTAGTGTTGTAGTATTGTTGACGGAGTTGTAGTATTGTTGAATAATACTAAAATCCTGCTTACGTAATATTTGTAGCCACCAAGGAGGAGGAGCCACCAATTTTCATTATTTATGTGGAACTTTAAGAGTTGACTGCACGGATGGCGTAGTGGTTTAAGCGGTCGCCACGCCGCTTCCTACTACGCCGAGTGTTGTGGGTTCAAACCCCATACGGGACGACACTTTGTGTGATCCACAAATTGTTGTTCTGAGTGTTCTTTGTGTCCGTTTCATGTATGTTTGTAAAGTCCCCCGCGACACAGGATTTATTCCTAATGCGGGAGTATAGTTAAAAAAAAAATGAGAGTATTATACCTACATATAATATTTTAACTAAAGTGGTATTTAAACATACATAGGGTAACAAATAGTCTGAGCAATAATAGTCGTGTAGGTACACGTTACTCGAGCTGGTTGTTGCTTGGAAATCAGAGCCTTCTGACTACTGACAGAATTCCTATCATCATCATCATTAGCATCAACAGCTTTGAATAGTCCACTGCTGGACATAGGCCTCTCCTTAGAAAGGAGGTTTTGGCCTACTATACCACGCTGGCTACAGGTGGGTTGGTATCGGGTTTGTGTCAAGTTTTCCTCCTCTTCGCAGTGCTGTTGCCCTGCGTAGTATGTTTCCTTAGTTGGTTCTCGCGACACCTACGGGATGAATAGGGGTGGTGACACTCCGTATTCTTACGCGGTCACCACAGGGACTTTTATTATGGTATATCTATATATTGTAAAATGTGTTTTTACACCTGACCTCGTAACAAAATTTCGATCACATTCCAGTTCCAATCAACTCTCGATCTCACAGCTGTTATAAAAGGTATTTTCGTAGTAAAGTATTGAACATTTAACGTTGACTGTAATGTACAGGTAAATTAGCTTGGAGAAGTTTTTGCGTTTGTAGTAGTGTATGGTCCTGCGGACCTGCGGACAGCGTAAACTGGTTTATTCTGGTTTTGTGCGTGTTTCCACTTTCCACTATCAAGTGACGATTTTTTGCTTTAGATTGAAATATCTCGGAAACGGTGCGTCCTAGGCCAAAAATAACAAAAATTTTGACCCCCCCCGTAGACCCCCCGGAGTTTTAAAAACCTAGATAAAAGGAAAAAAAAAAAAATTAAATATCGGTCTCTCCTCTTTGAAGTTTCACTTCTATCGTGTGTGAATCGCACACACACCTTTTTTCTTTATAAAGTCAAAACCTTTTTCTTTAAAATAAATACTTGTTTTTATTGAAAACAAAAATCAGAGTGTTGCTAGGGATAAGTATAAAATTAAATAGTAATGTTAGGATATCGAAACATTTTTGTATAGGCCAGAACGATATAGTGGAAACGCGCTCTAAGATCTGAGTAATATACACACCACTACATATGCAAAAAAATCTCGAGACTAATTTCACTGTAATAATATCGTATTGTAACTGATAATTGAATCGGTAATCTACTAGTCTTAGTAATACTTTACTATTTTACTACGAAAATACCTTTTATGACAGTTTTGAGATCGATAGTTATTACGAGATATTAAAAGACTTGGCAATCAGGTCTCCTTAGGCGTGAAGTTAGTATAATACAAGTATAATTATTGCCTGTACAGCAAACTGGTGGTCTTTTTGGTGCGAAGACCGCGACCACAGGCTTCGGAACAACTCCGGCGAGTTCAGGGTTCGGTGCTTTCGGCACCGGCGGTGGCGGACTTTTCGGCGCTAAGACCTCAGCTCCTACCTTCGGAACAACTACTCCAGGTAAACCACCTACATTTTTTTTGTACTTAAGTACTGGACTAGAGTAAGTTTCGTATAGAACGTCAAAATGGTACATTCTCTGTGAAATACCAACTTGTGACGTCATACGTTGCTATCGTCCAATATAAACGATTCAGTTTTTATTTTTTTTTCAATAGTGTAACACGGTATTGTATTTTATAAACCTTACCCAATACCGGGGGGTGTTATAAGTTTTAAGTATGAAAAATTCAAAATCGGTGCATCCGTTTAGGAGCTATAATCTACAGATAGACATCTGTAGATTATAGCTCCTAAACGGATGCACCGATTTTGAATTTTTGTTTTTATTGAAAATATGACTGAATCAACTTTTGGAGCTCGAGATTATTAGATATTCTATATCCGACACCTAGCCGGTGGATTATCAGCTCTTTTCTAATCATCTTCAGATAGTTGCTTAAGAATCTTATTCTTAACCCTTCTAGCATTCGGCGCCCTCGGTGGTGGAGGTTTCGGGACCAACACATCTACATCTGGGGGTCTGTTCGGCAGTAACACCACCTTCGGCAAGCCAGCCACCACGCAGCCAACCTTCGGCTTCAACTCACAACCTACTCTTGGTAAATAAATATATCCACTACCAGCTGACCCACGCAACTTCAACTGGAACAAATATGCCCGTTTTGCCGTGATGCTCAGCCGAGCATCTCACACTCATCACAAGAGCATCACCTATTGGTCGTAGCGTGATGTTATAAAGCCTCCCTCGATAAATGGGCTATCCAACACTAGAAGAATATTTCATTTCGAATCAGTAGTTCCTGAGATAAGCACGTTCAACTAAACAAAGAAAAAAACTCGTCAGCTTTACAATATTAGTATTTGGGGTTCTGACAACTGTTCTGTAAACCCTTACAGAATGGGTGTAATAGTATTTGTTAATATATGCCGTCTCGTTTTAAATGAAAGAAGTTTTTTTCTGATATAAGGGGGCAAACGAGCAGACGGGTCACCTGATGGTAAGCAACCACCGCTGCCATGGACATTTGCAACTAAAAAGTCACAAGTGCGTTGCCCTTGGAGTCCCTCCCGCTCGAGTCAGCAGAAGGGGGATTTGGGCTCCGGTAACCCCACTCACTCAGTGAAAGGCAACGCAAGAATTCCTTAACACCGGTTTTCTGTGAGGCCATGGTATCACTCCGGTCGAGCCTATTCGTGCCGAAGCATGACTCTCCCACGGTAAGTGGCGTGAGAGCAGACAAATCACTTGATGCTGAGTGACTACCACCGACCATGAACACCTGTCTCTGAAATGACCCAAGTGCGTTGTTATCCACATCAACAGCCTTTAGTAGTCCCCTGCTGGACATATGCCTCTCCATAGAAAGAAGGGTTTGGCCTACTATACCACTCTTGTCAGACGGGGTTGCTTCAAGTTTTCCTCCTCTTTGCAGTGCTGTTGTTCTGTGTAGTTTGCTTGCTTAGTCGTGTGGAGGGGTTTACCGAAGGTATTTGAAAAGTACTCAAAAGTAAATAAAAACATGTTTTTGTAAATATTATACACTCTCATCTCATCTCCTCCTAGAGATAAAAAGTAGCTTATGTGTTCCAGGGTATCAGCTACCTCCATACCAACTGTTATAAAAAAAGCCGTGTGGTGTCATGGGACACCCGATAGGAACGAAGTTGTAACGATCGAGTAAAACTGATTCGGCACATTTTAATTACAACGCCACCTATGAAAGCGGCTATTACCTACATGTTTTTCAGTTGGTTTCTAATTAAAACAATTATACATTGGTAAAATCTCCTTGAGAAATGATTTCCTATCTATTCGATAGATGGCGCTGAATGACTGACATAAAAAGATAGAAATGAAAATATCTGGCTTGCTTCCTATAAGAGAGAGAGAGACAGACAGAGTAACATGCGACGCCGCACAGCTTACAAATAGCTTACTATAGCACAAAGTGTCGTGACCAATTTTCGTAAGAATTATTTCCGTCTAGCCCCCTTTCACAACGCTCGATAAGGAACTTCGTTCCAATTGGTTCAGCCGTTTGAACGTGAAGAAATAACACACACTCAAATTTTCTCCTTTATAATATTAATGTGATTTATCCACAGGCACCGGTCTAGGTGGTGGTTTGGGTGCGAACACGTTCCAACCGAAGCCAGCAGCACCTGCCTTCGGAGCTCTGGGCACGACCAACATGTTTGGACAACCTCAGGCAGCCCCCTCGACTAATTTCAAAACTGGTGAGTGTCTTATATGTAAAAAGACTACTTCTTTTTTGGGACCAGTAGCTCTTTTCTTATATACAGGGTGTAAGGAACATCGTAACGAATACTGAAATAGTGTATTCAGACCATCATTCTGAGTCGAAAATCATTGGAATTTTCTTCCGGAAAATTTATTAAAAAAAAACATTTTCCTGGTTTAAAATGATATCACAATGAGTAGACAGAACATTTTACCGAAAACAATTTAGTAAATACCAAAAAACTGCAATGTAGTTAATCAAACAGCCGAAGCGCGCAAGGCCTCCAGTCCGGCCGCCAGTTTGTGTTAGTGTGCGTAGACTGTTTGCACGGAATACACTTGTAATTATTACTTTAGTGCGATACCTACGAGGTATAACCTTAACCTTTGACTGAAAATTCCAATGATTTTCGACTCAGAATTATGATCTGAATACAATATTTCCGTATTCAGTACGATGTCCGATTCCGATGGGTTCGATTCCGACCCAGGACAAATAATTGAGTGTTGAGCATGATCATTTGCTCTGTGTGTATGTGTAATTTATCTAAAATATGTATGTAATTAGAAATATATATGTATGTATATCAGCAGTCTAGTTACCATAGTACAGGCTCGACTTAGTTGGGGATCAGATGGTCGTGTGTGAGATGTGTCAGATTTTTATAATTATTATTAAAATACAACTTTTTCAACATCAACCAATAAGTCTTGGTCTTCCAGGCATACTCACTTAGCCTAGTGGGAGGCTCCCTCCTTTGTGTTGGAAGGACGTTAGCCCTGATAACCCACCACTTATTGTTTTTGTTTCAGGCTTGGACAGTGGACTCGGCAGTGGATTATTCAATAACTCAGCAGGCCTCGGGGGCTCCGCCCTCGGCATGGGTGGTCTCAATACCAACAACAATCTTATGGCAAAGTAAGTGGACAGTTATACAGGCTCTGCCTAGTTTGGGATCGGACGGCCTTGAGAGATGTGTGAGGTGAGGTATAAGGAGGTAGGTATACAGTCCACACTTAATAAGGCATCGGAACATCGTGCGTTTCGATGCGCAGAACACAATAATAGACAGCAGCGGGACGTATAGGTGCGCGGGGGCAGAGCGACACACGACACGCATGCCTTTTAGTATGTGAGTTACATCCGTACACTGCACACACGCGCATATTCCTGTGTACCTACAGTCGCGTCGACTTGACTGTAGTTACCCGCGCACATCTGTGTGCGCATCTAACTTCAGAGCCGCCATTAAGTTTACATCGGACCATATTCCACAGAATGCTAAATGTTTCGACCGATTAGACTGCACGAATGACGTAGTGGTCATCTCGCTTCCTACAGTGCTGAGTTTAGTGGGTTTGATCCCAACATGGACAACACTGTGTGATTTACAAATTACTGTTCTGAGTCTGGGTGTTCTTTGTGTCCGTTTCATGCAGTCTGTGTGGTGACGAATTAATAATACAGAGTGTCACCACCCCTATTCATCTCGTGGGTGTTGTAAGAGCCGACTTGTAACAGTTATTTTTTTGTACATTTGTTGGTCTTGTTAAAAGCTACATCTATTAGCCGCGTTGCATTGTTTTTAATTTATCTAAGGTAGTTTATAACTACAGTTTTGATCTTCTGTGTTCACTGATGTTAAATGTCAAAGTAAAATGTTGAAGAGGGGTTATTTTCTGGAAGCTTCGTTAACCGAAGATATATAAGTCCGGCTTTCTGCCACGGGAGACACTGCTATCTCGTGCCTTCCGATCTTATATAGTGTTTTGATTGCTGTGTGATTTGATTTTCTTAATATATTATCTGTTCAAAAGTACCCACACTAAAGTGGTGAGTATGTTCTTAATTCTACTTAAACCTATTTGTTTCTGGTACCTGTTTAATTATATGAGTGCTAATCCATTCGTAGGGTCCCAGATTTCGGGGACAAGACTGTCAGTCTTAGACGGCGTGCTTGCTCTTTTGTGGCCTTCTGGTACAGACTCAAGTTTCTTGGTACCCTCTGGCAAGGCTGGTGATTGCGCGGCTCACGACGCAAGCGGACGGCCGTACCCGGGAGTTACGTACTTGGACTTATGATTACAAATTGTTAAAGCTTTTGTCCATATCTAATATAAATAGCCGACTCGGGCGGAAGAGGAAGTAACCTCCTGGAGGGACGACGAGGAGGCACCGAGCACCATCAGCTCGGCTCTGACGCGCTCCGCTGCGGTTTTTTTTATACCCTCTGATTTTTTTTTATTGTAAATTTAATTTTGTGTTGAAATATACATGTATGTATGACTGAGGTGTAAGTTGTTTTCCTCTAAAGAGTCCCGTAGGTTTCCCACACGCACACACTTCTTTTCTCTTAGAAGGCGCCCTGAGGTAATCTCATAGATCTCTCCACTGGGTCAGCCGGTGAGTAGTCCGCCTGAGAAGAAAAGCGGTTACAGACTAAGGGTGCAAACTACGCAGGACAACAGCACTGAAAAGAGAAGGAAAACTTGACACAAACCAGCCAGCAGGCCAGCGTGGTATAGTAGGCCAAGACCTCCTTTCTAAGGAGAGGCCTATGTCCAGCAGTGGACTATTAAAGGATGTGATGATGAAAAGTCCCTCGCGAAACAAGACATATTCGTAATGTGGAAGATGTCTTTTAAAAAAAAAGAAAGTGATTTCACATAGATGGCGCTGTAGTATGTGTTAAGTAAAGTGCACTACCAAATGTGAATAATGGTATCTTGTTATCTTGCAGCAACAGTTTATCAGGCGCCTCGGCAGCTGGTAACGTTCACGAGCAGATCCTCAGTCTGGCAGCCAGACCTTACGGGGATTCACCGCTTTTTAAAGACCTGTTGCCTGATTCATGTAAGTGTTATTTTATAGTTGTTTGAAGATTGTAGTTAAGTATATGTTGATTGGAACCTGACTGGGGTCCCATATCATGGAGCGAAGCGGCTTGTCGCTTCACTGATATGTCAATTTGTTTGTCTTTGCGAGTGATCAAGAGGAAACCAAGCTTTAAATATTATTTTAAAGTTTTTAAGATAAAAGTATGCTAGAAGACTACTTTGGTCTAAGAATTTTTGACCACGAAAATATTAAAAATTGTGTGTATAAATTTTTGCCACAAAAATTTGTAAGCGAGTAATTGGAACTGTCTATTTGTTACGCTTTCATGACTTCTTATTGACTGCTTCAGGCGCTCAGTAGTAGTTTATGCGACTGCTGCTCATGCCTCGGGTTCTATTCCCGGGTCGGAAAAAATGTTTGTATGATCTGCAAATATTTGTTTAGTAGTTTGTGTTTTCTGTGTATAATATGTATGTATTTATAAAAAAAAGTATACAAGTATTCTATCAGTCAATCTAGCTGTCATAGTATAACCTTTGCTTAGTTTGAAATCAGATGGCTTTGTGTTAGATGTTTGAAATACTATTATTATCATCACAATAGTTCAGATACACGTTGTATGGGATACAAGAATGCATATTGTGGCGACCTCCACCCAGAAGGAAACAAGAACGTAGATACCACCAGGCCATCTATGGAAGACACATCGAACTACGAAGTGATTGCTAATCCTGTATCGCGATATGAATAGTGTTCATGGCGATTATAACCCGGCAATCTCGTGCGCGACCGTCCCGCGGGGTGACAGACAGTGGCGGGGGCGAGGTAGCGCCTCATTCTAGCACACGGCTACACACGATTCCCTTCCCCGCTACACCACCCGCTACCCGCTGACATCTTGAGTACCTCGTCCCCGCCACCGTCTGTCACCCCGCAGGACGGTCGCGCACGACGTTGATGGACTATAGCATACACACAACTAGCTTTTTGTCGATGCTTTGCCCGCGTGTTTGTCGGTTATCGCGGTTAAAAGCCTATATCCTTCCTCAAGAACCAAATTATATAATTACTTAATTTTATCTAAATCTGTTTAGAGGTTATTGATTCCTTTTCACCCCCCTTAAAGTATGATTTCTGGGATAAAATCTTTCCTATGTCCTTTCCCGGGACTCAAACTATTTCTATACCTTATCTAAATGGGTTCAGCGGTTTAAACGTGAAGAGGTTATAGACAGACAGACGCACTTTTGCATTTATAACATTACAATGGATTATTTAATAACAACCTTTGCAGCTGGTCAGGTATGATCACATCGCCCGGTCGGAGAATCCTCCATTCGTATTGGAGGGACGTGATCGTTCTTCCACACTTCTCATCCAGAGGAGAGGGAGTGGTCAGTCATTTGATGAAACCTGTGAACTTTAAGTCACACAGTAATTAATATAGTTATATTATTTCCAGCGATGTCAGCGGACGACGTGCTGAAGCCGACGAACCCGGTGGCGGTGCAGGCCGTGCTGGACAGCAGCAGCGTGAGCGCCTACCGCGTCACGTCGCCGCGCGCCCTCGCGCTGCGCCCCCAGCCGCGCCCCGTGCTCGCGCACGACAAGGTAACGCACACCCCCTCCCCCACCATCACCACCCTTCGGGAAACCCCCCTAGTGCGAGTTTATTTCACATTGTCTCGACGGCGACCGCATTGTTAAGCTAATGCAAAACCCAACGCGGTCACAATTGAATTGATGTGAAATGAACTCACACTAGGTCCTTTACTTTCATGACATGACAAGATAATTCCCCCATTAGCATCCAGCAGGGTTCTAAACTAAATAAACCCCTCCTCGATCCTCAAATGCGAACCTTGGACGAGTAGATAGTTAACAGTGGGTTCACTACAATAATAATGTACTTTTAGTTCATTCATCATAAAAAATTCTAAACTCGTATGATCATAACTATTAAACGACTTACAGAAAGAAACATTCAATGCCCTTTCCTCCGAGCCTTTTTCCATAACCAGATTGGAATCGGCTGATCGATTTCTTACGTGGAGAGACTGCCGTCGAACCGCCACAACCTCCCAACTATTAAGCAATGTAACAGTTCTGTAGAAAGTAGACATGATTATTGCTACTTTTCAATTATATTCATTTGATTAAATAATTGGTTTTAGTCACTGCGATTTCATATGTGATAAATCACAACTTATGTTATGTCATAGTCAAAGGTAAATAGCATCAAAATCAATCAAACCGACCTTTTTTTTCTAGATTAAGACCTTTCACGAGTCTGCCGCTAACATAATAATAATAATAAGTCACAGTAATATTGTAGATGAGCCACAGGAGAGATAAAATGATTTCAAAATCATATGATCAACCACTGGTGATTGTGATTGTATCCCATGCCTAGTAGAAAAACTGTTGGGACTAATCCCACCCACACGCCCACCACTGTAACTCCTGTACACCAGGATCCACAGCAGTGACCCACGAACACACCGAGTTATGACACTCGGGAAGTCCCAGGAAGAAATTAAACTGTCTTGGAACCCGCAACGAAATTAATCAGAAGAAAATTGGAGGAGTTGGAAATACAGTAAATCCACTTCCCTCCTTAGCAAAGCGGGAGACAAAATGAAGTAAAATAGGCATACACCCTTTTAAACAGGGAAGCACCACGGCCACCAAATATTACGGGTCCTACATGAGCTATATTTGATTTCTATAATATGTATGGCAGAATCGCCTAAACGCACGGAAATTCACCCTAGTTGACACAAGATCCCCATAGTATACCGCCCCAGATGTCACCTGCAAGCTATTCAGCATTATATTACGTTCATTATACCAAAGACTACATTCCCAGAGGATATGATGAGCAGACTGTTCATAATGAGAGTTAGGTGTTGAGCATTGACACAATGGTGACTCGACTAATTTAAATGAATACAACTTGCTCTTAAAGTTACCATGACCCGTAAGAAATTGAGCGACACAGTGATCCACCTCAAGCCATGTCCTCGACAACCGTTCGCGAACAGATGGAAAAAATTGGTAAAGATGGCGCCCCTTGGATGATTCGTCCCAGCGTTGCTGCCATTCGTCTATGAGGTCATTATAGACATCGGACTGCTGTTGAAGCAATCTTGTAATTTTACCGCGATCCCGCGCGCCCAAGAAATCGCATTCCATGTTTTGTCTTGAATAGTACATGGCTGCACGTCTCTGCACCTCGAGATCGACCGGAAGGACACCTGCCAACACCGGCAAAGCCTCAGTGCTAACCGTCCTATATGCCTTGCACAAAAATATCAGTGCAAGTCGTTGGCCTTGTAACAGTTTGCGACGGACAGCGCCTACGGTCGCCCTATCGGCCCATACAGGTGCACCATAGCACATAGAACCTAAATAAGTAGCTCCGTATATGATCTTTAATGTATTAAATGATAGACCCCATGTCGCAGTTGATATCCTTGTCAATGCACAGAAACTCTTTTTAGACTTTTCATTAACTATTTTAATATGTTCGATAAATGAAAAGTTTCTTTCTAAAACTAATCCTAGATAACACACTGTGGTTTTATTTTTTACAGTGACATTGTCAAATCTAATGCTCGGCGGTGATTTGAGGTTACCTTTTAAAAGTAACTGGAAGGTTTTGTTGGGTGCAAAAGTTAAGCGATTACGTTCACCCCATTGAGATATCAAGTTCAAACATCTATTGGCTAATCTCTCAAGCCCCGCCCTAGTATCAGATTCCACCAGTAATAAGCCGTCATCAGCATACGCGTTCAGAGTACATCCGGATGGTATTGGTATCGTAAGAAAATCGTCGAAGCCGATATTCCACAAGTATGGACCTAGCACCGATCCCTGAGGACATCCCATTGTAAGCGCCTTCGACACAGAATGATGACCAAGTCTTAGTTTAGTTGTACCTTGTGAAAAGTACGAACAGATAAGGGAATAAATATTTTTAAAACACCCCCGTGATTTTAATTTCAGCAACAGCATGGGCCACCATGCGTTGTCGAAGGCGCCAGATATATCTAAGAAAATAGCCAGCACGTATTGAAATTTTGACTCTGTGACAAACTTTCTAACCGATATAACAGCGTCAGTTGTCGATTTACCCAACGTAAATCCAAATTGTCTATCATGAAATTTGACTCCACCTGGCAGAAGCCGGGGCACTACAAGACGTTCTAAAAGCTTTCCTAACGATGGTAACAATGTGATTGGTCGGTAGGATTTAGGATCATCCGGTGGCTTGTCGCCACTTTTTGGTATTATACGAATATTACCGCACCGCCATATACGAGGAAATATTCCTTCAGCAATGCAACGTTTAAAGACAGTGAAAATCGTGTCACCCGAAAGTTTACAAGCTTCTTTTATCATTTTGTTAGATATTTTATCATCACCCGAAGCCTTGTTTAGCGGCAAGGATCTAATGATACCGAGAAATTCGTCTGAAGATGGTAAATCAGACATTGGAGACAGTGGTGGTTCGATGGCCCACTGCCTGATCTGTCGGTGATGATCAGTGTCGTTTTCCGGTCGATCGTCAGGTACGAGTGAGTCTAAAAGATATTCTGCTGTTTGTTCTACTCCTGTGGTATATCTATTATTAATTTTGATGTTCTGTATGTATGCGTGGTCGATTGATCTATTTGCCTTAAATTCGTGATACAAAGGTGACCACGGGCCCTCTCTATCGAGTTTATTAACAAGTTTCTGAATTAAGTTTCCCTTGGATTTTTCCACAGCAGCTCTGTAGTGGGACCTGGCAACTCTAAGAGCAATGAGAGCAATGTTGTACAAATCTCCTGTTACGTTATGTTTTTTAATAGTGTTTAATTTTCTACGAGCTTTCCGGTAGCTTCTACGTAGTTCGGCTAATCTATCATTCCACCAATCACATCTACGAGTGTTAGTGATAGATCCGCGACCAATAGTTACATCAGCGCAGTATGTAAAAGTTTCTGATAGTATTTCTGCGCTTTCCTCAGCTGATAAACTACTGCGACTGAAGTCTTTGGTATGAGTTGCAAAGAGTGAACCAAACAAAAGAACTGTTGAAGAAAAACAATAGAAAAACTGTTGTCGGACTTTTTAAGGCTCCAAGAAACTGTAACGATTGCCACAGATGTTTGTAGCGCAACCAGAACCGATGGATTAACATGGTCTCCGAGGCACGCAAAGTAGAATATTAAATCACCACCCCTATTCGACGGACGACCGGATCCCGTAGTGGTTTGTGTAACGGACTGCTATTCTAAAGGTCGCGGGTTCGATTCCCGCTCAAGTCAAACATTTGTGTGCATGAACATTTGATGTTTGATTTGGTCTGGGTGTTTCTATGTATAATATGTATGTATTTACAAAAAAAAAAGTATATATGTATTTATACCAGTTGTCTAGTACCCATAGTACAAGCTCTGCTTAGTTTGGGACTAGATGGCGTTGTGTGTATGTGGTAGAATATTATTATTATTATTCATCCCGTGGGTGTCGTAAGAGCCGACTAAGGGAGTCAACTATGCAGAACAACAGCACTGCAGAGAGAAGGAAAACTTGCACAAACCCTATACCGACCCGTCTGGCCAGCGTGGTATAGTAGGCCAAAACCTCCTTTCTAAGAAGAGGCTTTTGTCCAGCAGTGGACTATTAAAGGCTGATGATGTGATGTGTATAACTTAACCCGTAACCACTGCATAGTGGCCCTACCGGAATTACTAATGTATTGGACTTGTCCAGACTTAGCCATTACGCTACGGCAGCTTTAAGTATACATATTTCAAACAAAAATTTAGAATGGACAAGAATCAAACCCCCAACATTGCTATCAAATACAACATGCAATACACAATCACGTTTTGTTTACAGAAATCCCTCTTCGATGGTCTAGAAGAATCAGATGCTAGTTTAGAAGACAAATTGAGCTTGAAGCCGAGTCGGAAGAGATTGGTCCTACGTCCGAAGCAGAGGAACGACCATCACGACTCTGTGGACCACACCAATGATACGGAGAGGTAAATCTATACTAATATTATAAAGCTGAAGAGTTTGTTTGTTTGTTTGTTTGTTTGTTTGTTTGTTTGTTTGAACGCGCTAATCTCAGGAACTACTGGTCCGATTCGAAAAATTCTTTCAGTGTTAGATAGCCCATTTATCGAGGAAGGCTATAGGCTATATATCATCACGCTAAGACCAATAGGAGCGGAGCACCAATGGAGAATGTTTCAAAAACCGAGAAAATTTATTACTATTGAGAGACGCAGACGAAGTTGCGCGGGTCAGCTAGTATATTATATCTAAATCGGTTCAGCGGTTTAAATGTGAAGAGGTAATATACAGACAGACACACTTTCGCATTTATAATATTAATATGTATAAATTACACCCAGACACAGAACAAATGAAATCGTACACATCAAACGTTAACTGCACGGATGTCGTAGTGGTTTAAGCGGTCGCCACGCCGCTTACTACTACGCCGAGTGGTTCAATCCCCACATGGTACGACACTTTGTGTGATCCACAAATTGTTGTTCTGAGTCTGGATGTTCTTTGTGTCCGTTTCATGTATGTTTCTAAAGTCCCCCGCGACACAGGATATATTCCTAATGCGGGAGTCGTCTTTTTAACTCTTAGGACGTCGCGGCGCGCGGATGACCTATAACCCGTTACTGTCGCGCCCTTGAACTAGTGACCCAGTCACAGCTGAGCGAAGTCATTATTATTACCTCAATATCTACGTTATTTTATAATTATATTCAATGAAATAAACATATTTGGAATCCCTGATATGTATTCTTCTAAATGTTGTGACAGAGACGCTACCGCGTAAAAATTTGGTGTCACAACTGTTGTGACGGCGACGCGTCGGAGGTTAAAGGAAAGAAAAGAAAAAAAACAGTTATTATGGGTGCTTACAGCATAAAAAGCATCAGCTGCCAGAATGTGCCCCAGCGGTTTAGGGTCTAGCTTGATAAATCAGTCAGGACAAGTAATTTTTAAATTTATAACCTAAATATATTTTTTGACAGGTCCATAGATGTAGAAGAACAGCCACAATCGAACGGCCCTTCTCTTTCTAACAATGAGAGAGAGAAAGAGACGGAGACGCCTGCTGATATACCCAATATAGATGAAGTGGATCGGGTTAGGCGTCAAGTTGTCTTCGGGAACGACCGTGAGTATATCTTATGATTTGTTTGATTGTCTAAAGACTATTGAAAAAATAAAAAAACACCGGTCGGGTACGAGTCGAACTCGTGCGCCGAGGGTTCCGTACCTACTCAGATTTTACGTAGATTTTCGAGAAAATTTGTAAGTCCCAAAATTTATCTTAATTTTCAACTTTTTTATTTTTTGGTATTATTCCTTTATTTGTGCTGTAAGACGTTTCTTTTTGCCAAATTTCGTGATTCTAGGTCAACGGAAACTACCAAATAGGTTTTCGACCCAAAACCTATAGGGTACTTGCGGTTGACCTAGAATTGTCAATTTTGGTTAAAAGCAAGGTCTTACAGCACAAGTAAAGAGAAAATTCTGAAAAATAAAAAAGTTGAAAATTAAGGTAAATTTTGGTACTTACAAGTTTTCTCGAAAATCGAAATTTGCCCATATCTTTTTATCGTGTTAACTCAGGACCTTGATTTTTATACACCTAATAGGGACCATAGACCTCAGCATCTGGTATAAATTTCAATTTGCTAGGTCTACCGGTTCCTGAGAAAATCGGTGGTGACACACGGACAGACGGACAAGAAAGTGTTCTTATAAGGGTTCCTTTTTTACCTTTTGAGGTACGGAAACCTAAAAAACTTCGATTGCGTGTTTTTTTTAATATTTTACTACTACTTACTACTCCTGCATTAGTATGTATGGGTACTTAAAATTTACAAACAGGTAGTTTTAGTTTTTTTTTACACTTCCCACGTTACAATTTGCACGAGAGCGGACTTAATGCCACATGGCATTATCTACCAGTCAACCTTTATATGGTTCAGTAAGGGACATGGCAGGTGCATATATACAATGAAAAGAAGCTATGAATTAAACATTTATAAATTTAAAATAACAATTAATACTAATATTTATAATATTCCACCACATCTAGTCCCAAACTAAGCAGAGCTTGTACTATGGCTACTAAACAACTGATATGAATACATATATACTTTTTTTTTGTAAATACATACTTATTATACGTACATGCACCCAGAGCAAATCAAACATTAAATGTTCATGCAGGCAAGAGCGGGAATCGAACCCGCGACCTTAAGAATAGCAGTCCGTTACACAAACCACTACGCCATCCGCTCGCGTTAAAAGTATAAAGAGGAATACACAAATTGATATTTATGTAAAATACATACAGAATACAATAATTGAAATAGAATAAGCATACATAATATCTAAAGTGACGAGATCGTGAGGATATTTCTGGTAATTGTTTCTTGTAAAGTTTCATTAATTAAATAATTATATATTAAATTAAAATTGCATAAATTTTGATAAACCCAGTGTCACTCCCACAATTAGGACGAATCTAACGACACTTCAAACGACAAAATCCATCAACTCGTTCAGACTACAGAGTGCCAAGTGTGCCAAAGAAAAATACATACATACTAGTAAACGCATTCAGAAATATTAACCCTCCTTATGGCACAGTCGGGTAAAACACTTAATTCAAAAAGAAACAAGTAAGTAATTACTTGACTCTCCAAATTTGATGACGTCAAAGTCCGTTAAACTGACAGTTCTTTATACAGTAGTGTAGGCAAAAATTTTGTTAATAAAAGTGTCATTTTATTTGACAGATGTCAATGATATATATTGGTTACTATCATTTTTGTTTAATATGGTATACAGGCCAAACACCCATGACTGCCCATTGATTCACATTTTAACCACTTGTATTTATTTTACTTTCAGAAGCAGACACCAGTTCTACAAGACATGGCAGCTGGTGAGTATATAATTATCTATACATATAAAATTAATTTGTCCGTCTGGCTGAGGCATCATTACAGAGAACTGTAGACCAATATTCACAAAATTTAAATTCATGTACATAATGGAAACAGCCTTATTAGTCAAATACTGACTGACTGGCCTGTTGGTATAGTGGTTAGAGACCCTGACTGCTGCGCCAGAGGTCGCGGGTTCGATTCCCACCCAGAAAAAATAATTGTGTGATGAGCACGGTCATTTGTTCTGTGTCTGGGTGTACTTTATCTATAACTTGTATATATTTAGAAATATGTTTATCAGCAGTCTGGTTACCATAGTACGGGCTCTGCCTAGTTTGGGATCAGGCAGTCGTGTGTGAAATGTGGGAAAATATTATTATTATTATACAATCAACACTTATTAAAGGATCTTTACTACTACCGGATTATATACATCAGAATTGCTTAAGACCTGACCTGCCAATTCTCGTAAAAAAGTTCGGTTATAGTGCCACTGAACCATCGAGGCAGTCATGTTGTCATGTCATACTGATGTTTTCTAATTTATTTATTATTGTCAACAGGTTAAGCACTTCTAAATCACCTTGGGGTGAAAAAGAGAAACCTATGGATGGAGAACCAACTCCGAAGCTGTATCCTAATATAGGTAATTACATATAAGTGTTATCTGCGTGGTGATGATTTAAGAATACAGAGTGTCACCACCCCTATACATCCCGTGGGTGCCGTAAGAGCCGAGAGCAAACTACGCAGGACAACAGCACTGCAAAGAGAAGGAAAACTTGACACAAACCCTATACCATCCCGTCTGGCCAGCATGGTATAGTAGGCCAAAATCTCCTTTCTAAGGAGAGGCCTATGTCCAGCAGTTGACTGTTAAAGGCTGTGGATGTGTGATGTTATCTACAAGTATTATATTATATATATTATCTCTACTCTAATTATATTTTAATTGGACTGTTGGCGTAGTGGTTAGGATGTGGATGACTGCCTTGGTGGCACAGTGGTAGTGTCTCGGCTTCGATTCCCGGGTCGGACCAAATGTTTGTTTCGGAGTTTTGGTGTGTATGTATGTATGTATTTACAAAAAAAAGTATATTATCCATAGATCTAGTGAACATAGTACAAGCTCTGCATAGTTTGAAACTAGATGGCGTTGTGTGTCAGATATCTTTAATATTATTATATTGTTAAATCCTGATTGCTTACCCAGATGTAGTGGGTCTGATTTCCACCCAAGATAAAAAGAAGTATGTGCATAATGAGCATAGTTTATTCTGTGTATGTGTAATTTATCTATAATATATATGTATTTATAAATATATTAGTATGTTTATCAGCAGTCTGGTTACCTACCATAGTGGTGGGATCAGACGGCCGCGTGTTAGATGTCAAGTTATTATTATATACATCATTTATGTAATTCAAATTCAAAATATCTTTATTTCATAAAAAAATAAAAATGTTTGAAATCGTCTTTTATGTGGTCTCTAAAGTCGTAGATAAACACACACAAAAGCAACAATCTCTGTTTTGTCAAGTAGTAAGGATATTTTAAATATATTTATACTTATATAAAATCTATGATATGCCTGTGCCGATCTACAACCGCCCGTTTCCAAGGGGTTGAGCCTTATGAGAAGAAAGGGCAAACAAACTCCTGGCCACCCTTTTGCAAATTACAGATAGATACAATGGCATCATCAAATATACCACAACATTGTTCCGATGTGTGCCAGTATGTCCAATAGTAGTGTAGTAATTAATGCAACACACATTGCAATCAATTAAAACATCATCATCTGCCTACCCTTTTCCCAATTTTTTTTGGGGTCGGCGCAGTATGTATGATTTTTCCATTCTACTCTGTCATGCGTCATCTCACCGTTTACTCCCTTCCTAGCCATATCCTCCCTGACGCAGTCCATCCACCTCTTCTTCGTTCTGCCTCTTCTCTTGTACCCTTCAACTCTCATACCTAAAACTTTCTTCGCCACATTTTCCTCATCCCTCCGCATGACATGTCCACACCAAGATAACCTATTACTTCTTAACTTCTCATCCAGTGGCGCTACTTTCATACTCCCTCGTATATACTCATTCTTAACCTTGTCCATCTGAGTCACACCACACATCCATCTCAGCATTCGCATTTCGGCTACGTTCAGGCGTCTCTCATCCGTTTTCTTAATGGGCCAACTTTCAGAGCCATACAGGATGCAATCAATTAAAACATAAATCATAAGTACATCGTTTAGATCTGGATCGTAACGTAACTGTAACGAAATTTATTAATATTTTTTTTTTTGCTTAATTTTAGACAAGGACCTTCAGGCACAAGTTGCCGAGAGACGAGCCAGTTGGTGAGTTATTGGTTTTTTTGTTACAGTCATAGTAGTTTGAGTCATAGTATCCAGTGTTTAAGTTCATATTAGAACTTGAGATCGAGCGAAAGCTACTATCAGCTCCACGTAATACTTTTATCAGTTACGTGGAAGAGCCATGCTTCGGCAAATGGGCCTTCTCGACCGGAGTGATGTCACTGCCTCGTTGCTTTGCATCCAGTGAGTAAGGCTACCGGAGCCCAACCCTACCTCCCCCCACCAATGTATGTATTTACAAAAAAAAAAGGATGTAAGCATTCTATCAGTCAGTCTAACTGTCATAGTACAAGCTCTGCTGCACTCTCTCTCTCTCTCTTATGCGTTGTGTGTCAGATGTCCTAATATTATTATTTACACCAGGTTGACGACAAAACCGCTACGAAAACCGCTGGTGAGCAACCCGGACTCTGCTGAGAACTCCGTGAGGGAGCTGGGCGTGAGGGCGGACCGCTCTCATGATAAGGAGAATGTCGACATACTCACTGGTAAGTCGTATTTAATACTAATATAATAAAAACCGCAATCAACCGTCCCCGCTGGAAATCATTGGGAGAGGCCTATGTCCAGCAGTAGACAAGCATAGGCTGAGGTATATATAATAAAAACAGGCAGTTTTTTATTTGTTTATTTACACGCGCTAGAAGTGGTTAGAGCCTAGTTAGGCGCGGTGTGGATTTGTACCTATTTTCTTGGTACAGGGTTTTGCTATAGAAAAAAACCTACCTACCTGGACCCCCTCTAAAATAGAAGCGCAAAGAGGGCACACCGTGTGGTTTTAGTCGGTTTTAGTCGCCGAACAGAGAACCCCGGCGGGGTGACGGTCCCTAGGGATTTCTACACGGATAGCCTGATTGCGGCTATCGTGCGTAGCGAGAGTGTGTGGAACTCTGCCGTCTCCTTCTGCGAGCAAGTTATGCTCGCGAAGAAGACGGCGGAGCGGGACCGGGAGAGGTTTAGGACTCTCCCGGCCCGCCAAGCCCGGGAACGGGCCAGGTACCGCAGGCGACTCAGGCGCCGGAGGTCGCAGAACGACCTCCGTCCTCCATAAGCGCAGGCCTGGGGGTGACAGGTAAGGCCATCTGTCACCCTAGCAGAAGCAGGCCGGGGTGGCGGCGAGCGCGTTGCGAAGCGCGCTCGCTTCCAGGGAGCAGAGGGAACATGTGGTTCCCACACGGGGAGGGGTCCTCTACTCGTCTGTAGATGACCCGAGGTATGTCGGGGCACCAGGGACTTCCTTTCTAGGGTATACCTGGTTCCCCGGCTATTAGTACCCGAGTCGGCGTGCGGTTTTAGTCGGTTCGAGTCCGACATGCCACCGACAGGTGGTATCCGAGGGGATTTCCGCACGGAAAAAAAAAACTAAAGGGGATTTCTACACGATAAAAAAAAGGGTTTTGCAGGGAGATTGCTTTTAGCGATAAGGCCCATTGTACATATCCGTCTGTAATATTTATCTAACATAGCGTAATTGGTGTAAATTAAAGAATATGCAATTCTATACTTTACTATTAACCAGAACCAGTACAAATAATCGTGCAATGTTGTCCTGGACTGAAATTAAAGCGGTGAGTCTGTTGGTCTAGTGGTTGGCGATGCTGTCTGCTTACACAGAGATCGTGGGTTCGATTCCCACCAGGGACAAACATTGTGTAATGAGCATAATCATTTGTACTGTGCCTGAGGCCCTTTCTGTGTCTGGCTGTAATTTAACTATAATATGTATGTATTTAGGACTATACTAGTATGTTTATCAGCAGTCTTGTTACCATAGTTTGGGAACAGACTGCTGTGTGTAAGATATGTGAAAATATTTTTACACCCGTTATGTTGGCTTAACTTGTATGTTTGTTTGTAACCGACTCCTTTGGGCGTGATTTTGATTGACTTTAAACGGTCAGAATTCGTTCAAACTTTGTAGATATATCGAGCACCGATGACAATACACTAATTTAAAAAACAAAAACAAAAAATAGTTTATAAAAACCAAACCAAACTAAAAAATAGAAAATAAATTTTAATAAATTTGAAAAAAAAGCGTGGGGTGCTTTTTACTATTGACAACAGGCACCAAACGCTTTTTTTTCAAACTTATTAAAATTTGTTTTCTATTTTTTAGTTTGATTTTCTATAAAAGCGTGTATTTTAGTTTTTTTAAACTATTATTGTATCCTCTAAGAATCCTTCTCCTAATATCCCTTCCTGTTCCTTTCCTAGATCGCCTACAGTTCTGTCGCCATCGGTGGGGTGAGCAGGCGAACTGTTCCCGCTGTGAGAAGATTGCCCATCAAATTGGTGGCCTTTATGGTTAAATTTTATAATACTATTAGCTGCTGAAAAGCGCTGCCTTAGTGGGTTCGATTCCCGGACCGGACAAAGTTTTTAAAGGGTTTTTCTGAGAGGAGAGATAGCCTAAGTTACTCATTATACAGACAGCTAGTAAAATATTATTAAAATCGGGACAGCCGTTTAGAAGAATACTTAGAACAAACAGACAAAAAATATTCTAAACTGGTTTTTAGGCATACAGGTATCGTGCAAAACCGTGCGAGTATAAAAAAACCTATTATTTTGACATTACAAACAGACACTTCAATTTTATTTATTTGTAAAGATGATACAAGATTGAAAACCGTTGTTAGGTAATTCCTTCGATGCTTTTCATTGAGTTAGTGAGGGTACCAGAAGCCAACCCCCTCTCTGATTCTGACTCTCGGTAGTGCAGTCGTAGGGTATGCGACTGCTGTGCCGAAGTCTCGGTTTCGATTCTCTCTTATTCATTCTGTTTCACATGCTCATGTAAAAGAGAATGAGAGAAAGAAAGGAGATGCAATGCAGACGATGGTATTGACACCAGTGTTGTGTTATTAACTAATAAACTTTTATATCTTTATAGTGTCTGAAGAAGAGAATGTAGCTCCTCGCGACGCCCCCCCACACCCGACAGGAGTCAAGCTGACCAGACCAGGGTACTACACCATACCGAGCCTCGATGAAATGATTGGTAAGTAATTATTCGACCTGTTTGTAAAGTTCTTTTCTTAATTATCCAGAATCAAGTTATTAAAAAATATATAAGTATTTCTGCTTTATTAAGCTATTGCATAGCTTCTATCGCGGGCCTTGAGCGTGGAGACCAAATCCAGAAATTCCGTAACGAAAATAACCTAACACTCCGACCGGCACAGCGGTGATACTTTTTAGTTTTGTCATCTATCGATGAATAGCAGAACTATTAATGACTTTTTTGAAATATCACGCTAGTCTCTTTAGTACAGCAACTCGCCTCTAGGTGGCATTAGTTGTATCGGCGTTACTGCGCATGCGTAATCCCCCTCTTCGCCCCGCAACCTAATTAATATCAAAGAAAAAAAAATAAAGGAAAAAAATACTGCACAAATAAAATAAATAAATAATTATAATTGCATAAGTTGATAAAAAATGCTATGCAATAGCTTTACCGCGGCAGTCCCCGAGTGCCACACGTCTTGTTTTTTTTATTTAAATGGAGTCATACAACCATTATATTAATAAAAGAAAATGACAATTTTACGCGTATTTTACTTTTTTTTTAAAGGCTTACTAGCAACCGAAATTACTAGTATTCCCGTTAACCCCTCCAGCTAAGAGAAATTTACATTACATTATGTCAAAAAAAAAAACGATTCTCAGACTTACCCGATATGCACACAAAATTTCACGAAAATCGGCCGAGCCGTTTCGGAGGAGTTCAACTTCTAACACCGTGTCACGAGAATTTTTTATATTAGATTATGTGTTGTACAGCTTTCCTTCGTCCGGACGGTACATGCGTGGTGCCTCACCTGACTATCGGACGCAAGAACTACGGAAATGTTTTCTACGATTGCGAGATCGACGTCACCGGGATGGACCTGGACAAGTTGGGTGAGTAGATCTACATTATCCTAACATACCTCACTGATATCATATATGAGAAAGTTTGGATGGGCGTCTGTTAGGGATTAATTAGTCCATTGCTTTAAAACGGCTGAACGGAACTGGATTAAATTTAATTCTGAATGCTGGTCACATTTGCGAGATAGGCAGAAATTATTAAATTAAAAAAGCATATTAGCATATAGCATAGATATTAATTTTAGTTTCGTTTAAATGAATTTTTACTGAAATCAACATCAAATCAAACATTTGACAAAAAAAAACAAGAAAAAAAGGCGAATACTTAAATATATTATTAGGTTTTGAAATGTTATGTCACGAATTAAAACTCTTTGTCACTAAATGACGCAATAACGTAAGTAAGGCCCTCATAGTGTAATTTATTTTTCTATACTAATATTATAAAGAAATAAAGTTAGTGAGTTTGTATGTTCGGAGTAATCTCAAGAACTACTGGTTCTAATTCCATAATTCTTTTGGTATTGCATAGACCTTTTATCATCGAAGGATATAGACTATATAACATCATGCTACGACCAATAGGAGCCGCGTATCAACATAAAATGTTTCGAAAACTGAGATTTTTTTTTCCTTTTCATAGAAGAAAGCTAGTTACTCATATTTTAATAATGCTATGTTTGTTTCAGTTCACTTCTTAAACAAAGAAGTTATTGTGTACCCCGAAGAGTCTGAGAAGCCGGCGCTGGGGTGTGGTCTGAACAGACGTGCCATAGTGACCTTGGACCGCGTGTGGCCCCGCGATAAGACCGAGAAACGACCCATCACGGAGCCAGACAGGTATGTTTCCTAGCTAGCCTCTACTGTTAGTTCTAAAGCACTGATCAATGTTTTTTTTTGTAAAGACCACTCCCGCACTAGGTATACATATATCACACATATGATATGGACACAAAGAACACCCAGACTCAGAAAAACAATTTGTGAAACACACAAAGTTTTGTTCCATCGGACCAACGTTAGAGAAGTGGGGGGGGGGGGGGGGAGATTGGACTAAGGGTAGACCCCCTTAGTCCAATCTCCCCCCCCCCCGTGTGAGTTTATTTTACATCAACTTGAGCGTTGACCGGTTTCGATTGTTGAACAGTTTATTGCGGCCCAATCGCCACGTGAATACTGTCGCCATCGTTTTTACCCACTAAACACATGAAATGAAAAGCCATGAATCACAAAAGTTACCGTCACTTTTTCCCAGATTACTCAAAATGGACTACGAGGGCAAACTCCGTCGTGTGTGCGACAAGCATGACACCAAGTTCATCGAATACCGGCCCGCCACCGGCAGCTGGGTGTTCCGCGTCGAGCACTTCAGCAAGTACGGGCTCAGCGACAGCGACGACGAGGACGACGTGCCCGACGTGCTGCGGCGACAGCTCGCCACACAAGCCCTGCAGGGACAGGCTCCTGGTAAGCTGCAGCTAGAACTACTCATTCTATAACTGTTGGCCGTGACCCTGAATACTAAGCTTGGGTTCAATAGAGATGATTGTCAAGTCAAATCAGTATCTTTTTTAAACGTCAAAACGAAACTGTGTGAGATGTTATTACTAGTATCATTAATTAGGAATACAACTATGGGAGAGCTCGATTGCAATGATACCACGTCAAAAAACCGGGGTTTAGTTATTTCTTTTTTTTGCTTGTCACCGAGTGAGTTGAGGTTGATAGCCCAAACCCAACCCTTAATTATGAGACAACACTAAGGGCGTTCGCACGCACTTTTGTCTCTTGAAGTCAGAGGGCCAAGTGCGAGTTTATTTCACAACAACTCCCTCGTCACGGTGGCCACGCTCGGCGTTGCAATTGGCCAACACTAAAATTTCCACCAATCACAACGGCAAACGATGCGTGTTGATGTGAAATAAACTTACAGTACGGTGCTTACACCAAACTAACTGAGACCCGCGGTGTTACCCGCGTTTGTTGTTATAACCGTGGGCAACGCCGCGGGGCGAAGCTAGTCTAACAAAAGTAGCCTAAGTTACTCCTTATGTCATCAGCTATCTGCCAGTGAAAGTCCCGTCGAAATCGGTCCAGCCAGATTATAACATTGAGCGTATATAACATTGTTAAGTAAATTAATTAGGCAAGACAATATTACTTAGTAGTTAAATAATTTATAAAAAAAAATGTATTAATCTTTAAATACTATCAAGCAGCTTTGTATAACTTCTACTGATTTTATTTTTTATAAACAAATAACCACATTTAAAATAGTCACATCATGACGTCAACAGCCTATAACAGTCCACTGCTGGACATAGGCCTCTCCTTAGAAAGGAGGTTTTGTCCTACTTTATCACGCTGCCCAGAGACGGGCTGATTTAGGGTTTGTGTCGAGTTTGCCTTCTCTTTGCCTTTTCTTTCTTTCTTTCTTTCTTTGCAGTCAGTTATCAGTTAATTACAAATTTACACCACAAGGTCATAAACATCAATATTATTAGTTTACAATAATTGTAAATTGAAATTGTAGCAACATCAGCGGTTTATGATTGTTTCTTATAACGCAATTAGTAACTTGTTAATTATTATTTATTTAAATACGCATTGATAGCCAATAGCCTGGAGCGACACCTCAAGAGGCGCACGTTAGATGGCTCAAGGGGGGGTGGGATCAAGGGTCTGATACAGGGCCTGTAACCAATTGGTAACCTGTAACAAGCTCCAAAGACAGGAACCTCCTCGGTCATTCACAATATTTTAATATTTGTGTATATTTTTGTGTGTATATATATATATTCTTATTATGTATTTAAAAATGTAATTAATTTTTCAAATGTTGTTTAGATAATAGTTAGACGAGAACTATTACTATTAACTTATTAGCAATTATTATTATTATTATTTTCAGTCATTTTTGTAGATATTTATGACAATTATATTATATTATTTTAAGAGTACATTTTAATTAGTTTTTCACTTTAAATAAGTTATTATTGCTTTTTTTATTGTTGCGAGGTTATTGGTGGAGTATTATTAAGAAACCTATAATTGTATACTCTTCAAGATTTAAATTGTAACCCATATATATTCGCAAGTAGAGAATGAATAAATAAATATATTATACTGCTTACGTGTCTATACATACTTCTTTACATAGTATAAAATAAAGTCGTTTTTTTGTGTCATACGCTTAGATCTTTTAAACTAAGCTACGGATTTTAATGCGGTTTTCACCAATAGAGAGACTGCTTATAGAGGAAGGTTTATATGTATAATACATGTATATTATAGTAAAGCAAATCCGAAAATTTTAAAGATTTGTCTTAAAAAATATGTTTTTGTGCGTTTACATTGCAAACGCTGACTAAACCGTACGAGATAGACCAAAATAATGTACTACGGAAATATATATCTTAGTAAGATCTACAAAAAAGTCAGCGATGATATATGTGTATCTCCTAAGCATAACCCACAGTAACCATTTTTATCTTTTAAAAATTACAAAAAAATAATGGGTTATTTACGAAGCTATTTTGACCAATACATTATTATTCCTTTTTCAATTAAATACATTACATACGTTGTGCATTTAATGTACATTAAAATGGCTCCTTACAGCATATCATTAAAATGAATGTTTTGGAAGATATTAGAGATTTAAAATACGCGGGCCATAGGACTGTCGAGTCGTACGACCGTCCCAGGTGGCAGTGGCCGGCAGGATCGGAGTGGGCCTATAAATATTGTATTTAAAAATGACCTGTAGTATAGTCCTATCATAATGATAGTAAAATTAATTACTCCATACTGACACGACATTAGTAGTATCTACATTGCACCCGTGCGAAACCGGGGCGGATCGCTACTACATTATAAATCTGAAAGTGAGTTTGTACGTTTGTTACGCTTTCATGCCTTAAATAAATAACCGATTTTAAACAGCGAGTAACACAGGCTACTTTTTACCCCGAAAACCGACATAACGCGGGCGGAGCCGCCGGCAAAAGCTAGTACTAAATGTGTAGCCTACTGGTTTGTTTTTTGATGATTGTGATTAGTTTTGGGAGACACTTTTTGATGATTGTGATTAGTTTTGTGAGAATTTTTTTTGATGATTGTAATTTTACTAGCATTTGTTCGCGGCTTTGATCGCTTTGTAATCGACTAAATCGAACACACCGTCTATCTATCCGTCATTTTCACATTTGTAATATAGGTTCCCTCTATCTGGCAGTATTTTGATGCTCCGAAATTCATTTGGCATAACACACTTGGCACAATCGAATACTTTGAATACATTAGAATTATTTAATATAAATATTGTTTGGCCGAATGTATTGTTATGTCCGAATTCACAATGGTACACTTTGGCTTTAGATTTTGTATTTCGTTGTTGTGTTGTGTTATAATTTCGTTTAGCATAACGTTTATTGAAGTGATAACTTGTTATGGGAGGGTAAATCACTTCGTTACGTAACGCGTTACGGCGCCAGTCTGTCTGGCTTCCCTTTCTCTCACGCATACGGCAGCGGTAGGCATGCTCCTCCTGTCTCTACTTAGTGTTAAGTGTGTGATAGACATATACTGTTGACAGTAAGCATATAACCTAAAAGTATCACTGTTTTTGCAAGTGATTATAAAAAATAAACAATTTCAATATTAAATAGTTCAACTTAGATCAGTTTACGAGACGCACACGTGTTTTTTTTAATCGTTTGTTACAATTTCACTTGGCATATTATGAAGATGGCAGAATTTCATATGAAATATATTTTGTACTACAAAAGTTAGTGACAGAAACGAATCGCTGCACAACCGACTTCACGTAGTCTTGCCTGCCCTACCTCTAGAGTTTAAGCTCGTGTAGACGCAGAGCGGCGAGGTGGTCCTCTAAGCCGGCTAAGGAGAAGGGCCTCAATTCTGCTATTTTAATATTGTATCAATAGATTGTCGATGGAATGTCGTCGGAATAGTGTTGCATTTTTCCTATTCTACTAACTCATCATCGGGAGGCCATTGGTCTTATAGACCAATGGCCTGAGATGGCTTGGAGATGACTTGTCACTGATACAAATGTCGTCGATGTCTTTGTAATAGTTTGCAAGGTCTGGTGATCACATCTGCAACCAGCTTTGGTCAATCGGTCGTTCCACTGCTCCTTCACGACAACGCGTGACCCCATACTGCGCAACAGACAGTCTCCAAGCTGCAAGAGCTGGGGTTGGAAGCTTTCCCTCATCCGCCATACTCACCAGACCTTGCACCTACCGACTATTACTTTTTCCAAAATTCAGACAACTTTTTAGTGGGTAAAAAATTCAATTCCCGAGAGGCAGTACAAAATGCCTTTGAAGAGTTTGTTGCCTCCCGTCCGGCTGATTTTTACAAGAAGGGAATCAATAAACTGCCAATGCGTTGGCAAAGATGCGTCGATTGCATGGGTGATTACTTCGAATAACAGAAATAAAAAAGTTTGAAAAAAAAGTACTTTCACTTATTGCATACAAAACGGCAATTTCATAGGTAAAGACCTAATATTTAAATACATACATATTATAGATAAATTACATCCAGATACAGAACAAATGACCCTGCTCATCACACAATTATAAATGAATTTATTCCAAACGATTTTCTGCGAAATGAAGTTTATACCATTCGTGGTTCTGCAAAATAATATGACATAAAAACTTCTGCTATAAAGGGCAGACCCTTACAATATTAGTAGCTAAAAATAAATACGAATGCAAGCAGGGTCGCTTACCTGTAACTCGATCTGAAGGCCAATTCTCGTAATAAAAGTTCGGTCACAATTCAGTTCCGATCAACTTTTGATTTCACAACTGTCACAAAAGATATTTTCGTAGTAAAATAGTAAAGTATTACTATGACTAGTGGAATACCGATTCCACAATACGATATCATCACATTACATTCAACGTTTGTTGTTTAAAACTTTACTATGAATTTTTTTTTTTTTGTTTATGGTATAAGAGGGCAAACGAGCAGACGGGGACGTGACCCGTCTGCTAGTTTGCGATGGTAAGCAACTACCTGCAACTCATAAGTTACAAGTGCGTTGCTGCCCTTGGAGTCCCTTAAAATACCTTTTATGATAGTTGTAAGATCGAAAGTTAATTGGAACTGACTTGAGACCGAACTTTTATTACGAGGATAGGCCTTCTTGTTGCTGACGACAAGTCCATGCAATCTAACCAAAGAAAATACTGCCTCCTATACGCCAGAAGTAAGGGAATTGGTTCATTAACTCGGCGAAAAACAGCGAAAGAATTGCTTGACACCGGATTTCTGTGAGGCCGCGGTATAACTCCGGTTGAGCCTTGCCCATGTGCAAGAGCGTGGTTGGTTGTTGTCTCCCACGATGGGTGTCGTCAGTCTTCTTTTAAAGCTAGTGTACTGAAAATTTTAGACATAGTAAAAATAAAAATAAAATGTTTTAAAATGGGCACCACTCACGTTGTCTACACCACCCAAAGATTGATTCTCTGGACCTTTACTGACGGCTTAGTGGTTTAAGCGGCCTTCTCGCCGCTTCAAAATGCGCTGAATGTTGTGGGTTCGATCCCCACATGGACAACACTTTTTGTGATCCACAGTTCTGAGACGTTTCATGAATATCTCAGGATATTTGCCTAGAGCGGGATTCTTTTTCTTTTTTTTTTCTTTGAAGTTGGCTCGTTAAAATGCCCCAAGCTTTATTGCACTCAACTGATCTACATAAAGTTGTATATAAATCATCAACAATCTTTAATAGTCCAATGCTGGACATAGGCCTCTAGGTTTTGGCCTACTATACCACGCTGGCCATTCGAGTTGGTATATGGTTTGTGTCAAGTTTCCTTTTTATTGAGCTGTTATCCTGCATAGTTTGCTCCTTTAATCGACTCATACGATACCCATGAGATGCATAGATCACACAAGGTCATAAAAGTTGTATAAACATGAATAAAATTAACGGTTCTATCCTTCTCTGATATGATCTGACCTGTGATTTATATATGTACGTAATTACAGTGTCAAAACCACCAGTCGCCCCTGCCCCCGGCCTTGGCGGGCTCGGCGGTCTCGGTGGGCTCGGAGGCCTCGGTGGAATGGGCCTCATACCCGAAGACAACATGTTCACCATGCAACACACGTCCGTCAACTTGAACCTACTCAATGGATCTAAGGGTGAGATGAACTCTTTAGTTAACTGTCGAGTCAAATGATTTTGTGTTTATAAATTCCCACGGAAGACATGTGAAACGATATTATTATTGAGAAAATCTATACGTCTATCTATCTAAAGTTAAACATTGCCGCTCCTTGAACCCCCCTCAGAATGGGGGGGAGGGGGTTAGGTTTCCTGCTTTGGTAACCATATGGCGGTGTGGTATACAAATACTTTTCAAGTCAAGCTAGGTGTGAACTAGTCAACTTAAACTTATGATGCGCAGTAGTGCGGATCCGTTAGTACGTAGATTGTATATTAAAGTATGTATTCATTTTGTTTGTTAGCTTTCGAGATGGACACGACAGAGGACAATAACAACGAACAACACAGCTTGTATGGTATGGATAATAGGGGTAAGTGTGATTTACCAATCGACTTAAAACTTCTTATAAATCTATTGATTGATTATTTCAATTCTGGAACAGCTTTCGGCATACCCAAGTCCTTATTTAACGGAAAATTTATATTATATAAAATTTTTATAAATTTATTAAAACTTCCTTTCAAAGGAGAGGCCTATGTCCAGCAGTGGACTGTTAGAGGCTGTTGATGATGATGATGAATATATTTATTAAAAAAAACTTTGTTGAAAATAACTAAAAAGGTGGAGCTTTTTGTGTGTAACATCAGGGGGCTTGATGTAAGTATGTTTCACATAAACTCGACCTTCACGATGACAGTGTTCCACGTTGCGATTAGCCCGCTCCGAACTATTTACCAATCGCATCACCGAACGTGGTTGCCGTCGAGAGCAAGAGAGAGTTGAATTGAAATAATAAACTCACACTAGGCCTACCATCTCACCTACCATCTGACAGCTAACTATAACATCGCACGCGCTTATTGGTAAAAAATAGCGCACTTCCCCGCCTTTCTGTTACACACTTTCGTCCCTTTTCAAAAAAACATTTTAAACTACAAAACATTTTTGGCAATAAAAAATAACAATACTGTCGGATCCTTGTGTGTGTGTAACATCTAACATCTCATACCATCTGACTACTAACTATAGCATCGCACGCGCTCATTGGTCAAAAATCCCCGCCTTCCTGTTATACACTTCCGTCCCTTTTCAAAAAATCATTTCAAACATCAAAACGTTTTTGGCAATAAAAAATAACAAAAAAGGTGGAGCCTTCTCTCTCTCTCTGTGGAACATCTAACATCTCACTTACCATCTGACAGCTAACTCTTGCATCGCGCGCGGTCAAAAATCCCCTCCTTCCTGTTATACACTTCCGTTTTTGGCAATAAAAACAACAAAAAAGATGGACTCTTATGTGTGTGCGTAACATCTCACCTACCATCTGACGGACAACTGTTAAATATCATCATCATCATCATCATCAACAGCCTTTACTAGTCCACTGCTGGACATAGGCCTCTCCTTAGAAAGGAGGTTGTGGTCTACTATACCACGCTGGCCAGACGGGTTGGTATAGGGTTTGTGTCAAGTTTTCCTTCTCTCTGCAGTGCTGTTGTCCTGCGTACTTTGCTCCCTTAGTCGGGGATGAATAGGGGTGGTGACACTCTGTATTCTTAATCCGTCACCACACGGACATGTTATGATGACGGACTGTTAAATATATATCAAAATATTGTCTATGTTTAAAACTGACCTTCTAGTATGATGTATGTGGAACAATGTATTTTTTTATGAATGCGTAATTAAAATAAATTAGTTATCTGTGACGACCACTTATAGTTTTATTAACAACTCAATTCAATCAATCAATTATTGGTGAAATCAAATAGCGCTTTCTTTCCGCGCGGAAATCGCTCCCAGGATCAGAAACTTTATTTGTAGGTTTTTTTTAAAAGACAACTCCCGCATTAGGAATATATCCTGTGTCGCGGGGGACTTAACAAACATACGAGGGGTGATCAATAAGTAATGATAATCGAGTATTTCTAGAACGCACAAAAACCCAAATTATTTTTTTTCTGCTTGCTTATATATCCACTACTTCAGCTTCAAAAAAATGTATAAATAGGACACCATTACCGGGAGATACATTCATTTGAATACGAACTGTCGAAGAGAAAACATCAAAATGGAGAAAAATTAAATAAGAGCTGTCATCAAGTACCTCTGCCTGAAAAAAATGTCTACCAAAGACATACACAGCCACTTAGAGGAAACATTGGGGGAGTCTGCTCCTCCATATTCCACAGTCGCACGCTGGGCAAAGGAATTTAAGCTGGGCAGAACCTCCACTGAAGATGAACATCGCGAGGGACGCCCTTCCACGTCCCTTACTGGAGAAAACGCCAAAAAAGTGGAAGATATCGTGTTGGCCGATCGAAGGGTGACCGTAAGGCATGTAGCTGAGGTCACAGGGATCTCCTATGGCAGCGTTCAAAAAATCATTGTCAACAAAATGCATATGAAAAAGGTCTCTGCGCGTTGGGTACCGAGAATGTTAACCGACGAGCAAAAAAAGAAACGAGTCGACATTTCGAGGGTGAATCTCCAAAAGTTCCAGGCCGATAAAGAATTTTTTTTGTCGCGTTTTGTGACCATGGACGAGACCTGGATCCACCACTTTGATCCCGAAACCAAACAACAATCAATGACTTGGAAACGAGCTTCCTCACCAACGCCGAAGAAATTCAAAGTGTCAAGTTCAGCGGGAAAGGTTATGGCGTCTGTTTTCTGGGATGCAGAAGGAATTATTATGGTGGAATATTTGGAAAAGGGGGCCACTATAACAGGCTCTTACTACGCAGGCCAAATAAGAAGATTGCGAGAAGCTATTAAGTCAAAAAGACGCGGTAAACTGCGCGCTGGAGTGCTGTTTCACCAAGACAACGCCCCGGCTCACAAAGCCGCAGTTGCGATGGCTGCCATTCAAGAAACGGGGTTCGAACTGCTCGAACACCCTCCCTATGCGCCAGATCTAGCTCCCAGTGACTTCTCCCTTTTTTCTCGGCTCAAAGAACACCTCCGGGGCAATAAATTTGAGGACAATAGTGAAGTGATGGCCGCAGTAGAGGCATTTTGGGAGGGTCAAGACAAAGATTTTTTTTCTAAGGGAATCATGGGCTTAGAAAAAAGATACACTAAATGTATTAACTTGCAAGGAGACTATGTTGAAAAATAAAATACTTTTTTTAATCTAATAGTTCTGTTTCATATTGATTATCATTACTTATTGATCACCCCTCGTACATGAAACGGACACAAAGAACATCCAGACTCAGAACAACAATTTGTGGATCACACAAAGTGTCGTCCCATGTGGGGTTCGAACCCACAACACTCAGCGTAGTAGGAAGCGGCGTGGCGACCGCTTAAACCACTACGCCATCCGTGCAGTCAAAGCTAGCTGTACCCTGCCACGCTTCGCTGTGGCACATTGTGGTTGCATTTATGAGTAATGAGAAACAATACTGACGAAAAGAATCTTTGAATCTAGTTCAGTGGTTCAGTGGTAGCGTATGCGACTGCTGTGCTGAGGTCCCGGGTTCAATTCCCAGGTTCAACCCTACAAATATTTGTTTCGGAGTTCGGGTACTTCCTATGAATAATATGTATTTACTTACAAAAAAAGTAAAAGTAAAAGTATACTTACAAAAGAATTTGATGACACTTTTGGAATCGTTTAAAGACTTGCGACTGCCTTAGTGGTGCAGTGGTAGCGTATGCGACTGGTGTTCTGAGCTCTCGGGTTCGATTGCCGGGTCGCACCAAATGTTTGTATGTTCTGCAAATATTTGTTTTTGGGTGTTTCCTATGTATAATATGTATTAACTTAAACAAAAAAATATATATAAGTATTCTATCAGTAAATATAGCTTTCATAGTACAAGCTCTGTTAGACAACAACTAGATGACGTTGTGTGTTAGCTTTCCGAAAAGTATTATTATTATTTAAACCAGGTTTTATTTTATTTATTTTTATCGTGGGAGAGCCATACTTCGGCACGAATGGGCCGGCTCGACGAGAGTGATACCACGGCCTCACAGAAAACCGGTGTTAAGCAATTCCTTCGTTTCCTTTCACTGAGTGAGGTTACCGGAGTCCAAATCCCCTCGGAGTCCCTCCCGCTGACTCGAGCGGGAGGGACACCAAGGGCTGCAACGCACTTGTGACTTTTGAGTTTTAAGTGTACATGGGCGGCGGTAGTTGCTTACCATCAGGTGACCCGCTGCTCGTTTGCCCCCTTATACCATAAAAAAAAATATTTATATCTTTATTGTATACACTCAAAAAGAAAATAACGAAAGGTGAGTTACAAATAAGAAGACGTAACAATCGGCGGTCTTATAGCTCACAGCTATCTCTTCCAGACTGCACATGGAGTTTGTACCGAACTTTTTGAATTTATTTATAAAATTATTTAAATCATGATATTGTTCCAGCTTATGGAGTGAAGAGTCCCACCAGTGAACTGGCGCGGCTTGAACACCGACAGAGTCACAATGTACAGCTGATGAAGGCTTCTTTGTACGCTGATGCAGGTATGTATACAAATTTATGAACATTATTATCAACAGCCTTTCATAGGCCTCTGCTGGACATAGGCCTCTCTTTAGAAAGGAGGTTTTGGTCTACTATACCACGTTGGGCAGACGGGTTGGTATAGGTTTTGTGTCAAGTTTTCCTTCTCTTTTCATTGCTGTTGTCCTGCGTAGTTTGCTTCCTTAGTCGGCTCTTGCATCACCCTAAGGGATAAATAGGGGTGGTGACACCCCGTATTCTTAATCCGACACCAAACATATATCATCTTCCTGTAATTATTTGAAGTCGGTTAAAAATTCGTTCTAGGGTGACATACCTCATGGACTTTATCTACATATATGTATACCTTTACAGAAATGGAAGACGCAGCATCCGTATCGACGGGAGATCAACTGGTGCCTGTGTCGGCACCTTTGATCTCGATGACGTCACGCGCCCCCTCACTCTTGCAGGAAGAGGTTATGCCAATCGATGTACCAGCTCAAGAGCACGAAGGTATGTCACTGGGATACTGTTACAATCATCATCATCATTAACAGCCTTTAATAGTCCACTGCTGGACATAGGCCTCTCCACATTCACACAACGCTATCTACTCCCAAATTAAGCAGAGCTTGTACTATGGGTACTAGACAACTGATATAAACACATATATACTTTTTTTTTGTAAATACATACATATTATACATAGAAACACCCAGACCAAATCAAACATCAAATGTTCATGCACACAAATGTTTGACTTGAGCGGGAATCGAACCCGCGACCTTTGGAATAGCAGTCCGTTACACAAACCACTTCGTCATCCAGTCGTCAATAAGTATAAAGTATTATCTAATACATGAAATAATGTGTATTTATTTACAAAAAAGTTTAAAAGTATTCTATCAGTCAATCTAGCTTTCATGATACAAGCTCTGCTTAGTATGAAACTAGATGGCGTTGTATGTCAGATATCAATTTGTTTTTCCATAGATATCCCATTGAAACCGCTCATTGTACGACCACACACCATTGTATTGAAATACCACAGGAAAGTGATGCCCTTCAAACAAACCATTGCAGGTGAGTACGAAATCATTTTTAAAGTTATTTTGAGGGTATTTAGAGAAAACTATAACCCGGCAATCTCGTGCGCGACCGTCCCGCGGGGTGGCAGACAGTGGCGGGGGCGAGGGAGCGCGTCATTCTAGCACACGGCTACACACGAAGAGAAGTGTGTCCCTGCCCCGCTACACCACCCGCTACCCGCTGACATCTGGAGTACCTCGTCCCCGCCACCGTCTGTCACACCGCAGGACGGTCGCGCACGACGTTGATGGACTATAAGTCTATGTATATGTATTTATATGTGTTAGTAGAATGTATATTGTTAACGTATTTAGTGTGTTTATGTTCAAACAGGATTACTGGGTAAGTCGACCTAGATACTTTCATCAACAGCCTATAATAGTCCACTGCTGGACATAGGCCTCTCCTTAGGAAGGAGGTTTTGGCCTACCATACGCTGGCCAGATGGGTTGGTATAGGGTTTGTTTCAAGTTTTCCTTCTTTTTGCAGTGCTGTTATCCTGTGCAGTTTTTCCCATAGTCGGCTCTTACGACACCCACGGGATGAATAGAGGTGGTGACATTCCGTATTCTTAATCCGTCACCACACGGAACTTTAAGGGGTACTTAGATACTTTAAGGGGTTGTAGTTAACATCATTTCTAATAGATTTTACTATGAAATAGCATATGGAGTTCTGATGTCTAAAAAAATTAATTATTAATGCTTTTTATGGCATCAATAATGATTTTTGACGTGACAACGTCTTATAATTCGATGGAGCCGGCTGCACGCACGAAAAACCATGACTCATGCGGCGTTACCTCGCTCTGAGGCGTTCCATTTAAGGCGTGAAGTGCAAGCGAGAGCGCGGAACGAATGACAAAGAGGCACAATCGGCCTCCGCGTTCGGCAGCGTTCGACATCTGTCTCTCTCAACTAGGAACTTGAGTGAGCGATGCGTCCGCGTGGACAGCTGCTACTCGTATACAATAATACATTTTTGAAAAATGCAACCATTCCATCAGTATTTTCTTATGACGTTGTCACGTTCAACTATCGTCAGTAAACCAACTTTACAGACAACCGATTTTTTTATCTCATTAAAGACTACAAAAGTAACAAATAAGTTTATCACATAATATGCTTCAGCACACGCCGTCGTACGTGGCACAAGGCACTACCGATATGGGAAAAGCCGTTTATCCTGAAGATCCTTATCTATAAATATTCAATAGTAATAAATTTTCTCCGTTTTTGTAACATTCTTCATCTCCGCTCCTATTGGTCTTAGCGTGATGATATATAGCCTATAGCCTTCCTCGATAAATGGGCTATCTAACACTGAAAGAATTTTTTAAATCGGACCAGTAGTTCCTGAGATTAGCGCGTTCAAACAAAAAAACAAACTCTTCAGCTTTATAATATTAGTATAGATTTAATTGTCATCGGTCCTTGATTAGTGTGCGAACTGTCAATTCAATCCGACGTTTTAGTAGTGTTTTAGAGTGTACTTGTGACTTTTGAGTTGTATATGACTTTGGGCGGAGGTGACTCATAGCCAGGTGACTCCTCTTTTCACAAAAATACTAAAGCAACATTGACCTGTCATGGTAGGTGTGGAGGAACGGGTGTCATGTCCCTTCGACTTTCGACTAGGCGAGGTGGTTATACCTAGCGTTGATGTTGCCAATTTTTGTATTTGCGTCGTGAGAATTATTCATATTGCGATATAGAATTAGTAGATACTCCGTAGTTCGGCGTGTCTTAGTTAGATGGCGCTGTCGATGGTTTTTGTTTCACTGTATGTGAAAATCGCCACAGTATGGCAAGTCTATACGATCATAGTTCAAGCTGTAATGGTTGATTAGTTTGTTTTACACGCTTTACATTAGCTTCACTTGTATGTTTGTTTGTATCTTTGTATGTTTGTAACCGACTCCTTTGGGCGTGATTTTGACTGACTTTAAACGGTCAGAATTCGTTCAAACTTTGTAGATATATTGAGGACCGATGACAATACACTATTTTTTTATTAAAGTTTTAAAAAAAATACGCTTTCTATAGAAAACCAAACTAAAAAAATCAATTTGAAAAAAAGCGTGGGGTGCTTTTATACTATTGACAACGGGCACCCAACGCTTTTGTTCAAATTTATTTTCCATTTTTTTTAATTGTCTAGGTCGTCTGAACGCGCAGTACATAGCCGACATGTCGGTGTGTCGCGCGCGCCACAGCCGCGTGGGCTTCGGCCCGGCCTCGGCTCTCGTCTTCCCCACCACGTATGATTCTGTCAACGATTTACCTAAAAGTAAGTATTGTTTTTCACCGACTTGAAATAAGCTAATCAAAGTCAAAGTGTATGCCTCAAATTAACATTAGTTCTGTGTCTGGGTATCATTTATTTATAATATGTATGTATTTAGATATATATAAGTATGTTTATCAGCAGTCTGGTTACCATAGTACAGGCTCTGCCTAATTTGGGATCAGACAGCCGTGTGTGAGATGTGTAAAATTATATATGTGTTTAACTTACAGATGCAGAACTACCGGAATTAGGGAAGTACGTTGAAGGACGGACCTCGGATGACTGGTCGGAACCTGTGGTCGTCAGAATGGCGTTAGGGCAAGCTGACAAAAAGGATGGAATGCAAGTCAGTATTTAATTATTTAACTGGACCATAAGACGCCATCTTTTGTATTAATCAACTCCTACAATATTCATTCCTTCCTTCCTTTATTCATTTAAATTAGTCGAGTCACCATTGTGTCAATGCTCAACACCTAACTCTCACTATGAACAGTCTGCTCATCATATCCTCTGGGAACGTAGTCTTTGGTATAATGAACGTAATATAATGCTGAATACCTTGCAGGTGACATCTGGGGCGGTATACTATGGGGATCTTGTGTCAACTAGGGTGAATTTCCGTGCGTTTAGGCGATTCTGCCATACATATTATAGAAATCAAATATAGCTCACGTAGGACCCGTAATATTTCCTGGCCGTGGTGCTTCCCTGTTTAAAAGGGTGTATGCCCATTTTACTTCATTTTGTCTCCCGCTTTGCTAAGGAGGGAAGTGGATTTACTGTATTTCCAACTCCTCCAATTTTCTTCTGATTAATTTCGTTGCGGGTTCCAAGACAGTTTAATTTCTTCCTGGGACTTCCCGAGTGTCATAACTCGGTGTGTTCGTGGGTCACTGCTGTGGATCCTGGTGTACAGGAGTTACAGTGGTGGGCGTGTGGGCGGGATTAGTCCTACAATAGTAGGTAAAAAGCCATAAGTGATTAAAGAGTTGACTGCACTGTGGCGTAGTGGTTTAAGCGATCGCCTCGCCGCTTCTTACTGCGCTGGATGTTGTGGGTTCCGCACATGGGACAACGCTCTGTGATCAACAATATTGTTCTGAGTTTGGGTGTTCTTTGTGTCCGTTTTATGAATGTTTGTAAAGTCCCTGTAACACAGGATATATTCCTAGTGCGGTAGTGGTAAAGAAAGAACAGAAAACATAGCCTTTGACGTACACCTTTAAACTATATTGACCTGGGACCAGGTCAAAGGAACAGGTTTAATTTAAAAAAGACTTAAGAGCATTAAATATAATGCTAAAATTGTATATTAGTCACTCCTTACAAAATGAAGTCTAGATGTCGTCTGTCTTCACCAGGAAATGCTGAAACTCCACCTGGAGACACTTCTGGACCATTCAACGTTCACAGAAGTGGGTGAAGACGTTTGCCCCCAGCTGGTCGTGTCTCGGGACCCTCGACAGCGCCTGTCGATACTGCACGAGTTCTTGGAGCATTCAAAGAAAGCCACTTGTAATAATAGGGTAAGTACAATTCAAGTATTTTAGAATTTTAACAAACTCTTCGTTTATTGGAACGTTACACGCTCTGAACAGATGATATACCGACAAATATGTAACAAGACTTTTTACCGACACTTCTGTCCCAGATCGTTCATTGTTTAATTTATCATTATTCATTATTTATACATAATAAATATATGTTATCATAAAGTTTTCAATTTAACTCAATTAACATGATCTATATATATATATATATAAGAGATTTCCACGTTTAGTCACTCATCACGATATCTCTGGAACTATTAGAGCTAAAGACTTGAAATTTGGTAGGAATATTCTTTTCACCGAGTAGAAGTCAGCTAAGAACGGATTTTAAGAAATTCAAAAAAATAAATAAATTAAATAATGTAAATAGCAAAACAACGTTTGCAGGGTCAGCTAGTATTTTATAAATTATAATGACTGTATAGCAAACGTCTACCAAAAAGGAAAAAGATCTTTGTTCCGACCGGGGGTCAATAGACCCCTCACGCTGTTTTTATATCCGGTCAGGGCATATCAACCCCCTCTAATCAATGAAGATCAGGTGATCCGTCTGCCCGTTTGACCCTTACGGTATCCCTTCCTGACAGCTTACCATTAAGTTATGCTGCAGTATCAACTCTTGGCACTGCAAAGAGAAGGAAAACTTGAAACAAACCCTATACCAATCCGTCTTTACAGCGTGGTATAGTAGGCAAAAACATCCTTTCTAAGGAGAGGCCTATGTCGAGCAGTGGACTGTTATAGGCTGTTGATGATGATGATGATGATGATTTATATATACATAGTTACATACATATATATTTGTTTCCAGTTTGGTGTGTCAGCGGATTATTGCAACGAGGTATGGCGTCTATGTGATGCGCTGTGGGGACAGGACTTGGAAAATGACGGTAAACATTTTTTTTAAATTTATAATAACCGTAACGCTAGTAGTGCGTTAAATGACCCTGACGACGATGAAGGAGGTTAATAATTCAAGAGTCAAACAAGATGCATGTTGATGCGTTCGAAATTGAGTTTTATTTCTTTATGTCGAGATTTCATATTTATTTAAGACGCTTTAAAGTTAGCCATCTGTTCGCTATTAATTACTTTTTTATTACAGGTGTGCCAGGCACAGATCCCTTGTCCATAGTGAATAGACACAAGAAATTCCTAGAATGGTTGAAGACGGCCGTTGCTGACGTCACAGACCAGGAGCTAACTAAACCACAACCCGCAGAAGATATGGACGGTAAGAATTGTCTACAGCATAATTATTATTATTGGCTTAGCTCACGAAACTAAGGACTCCTCCTACCCCTTGTCACACTCCACACACGACCCCCCCTTACTTGAGACGTAATTTATGAACGACCCCATACCAAAATAAAAAAAAAGTTCATCAACTTCCAAGTACAGATTGTTAGAAGTAAGGAAATAGGATACTGATAATTCAGAACAGTGCAATTGCTAGTCTGATATATTAGTAAATATATTTTTTATTTGTTTATACAGAAGCGGACGGCCACAGCGCTCAGATATGGGCTCTCATAGTCGGAGGCAGAATTTTAGAGGCTTGCAAGCTGGCCATTGAACATGGGGATCTTAATATGGCAACACTCTTAGCGCAAGCTGCAGGTAAGATATTTAACTAAGTATATGAATTTTTGTCCTAAAAAGCTCTTAACCAATCAAATTTATTTTTAACCGGTGTGTCGACCTCTACACACATACTTGAAACAAAAGAAACATACTACAGCGCCATCTAACGAAGATACACCGAATTATGGAGTAACTGCTAAACCTGTATCGCGATATAAATAACTTTCACGCAGATTAGCATTTACAACGTACCAACATCAACCGTTGGGGACACGGTCCACCAGGCATGATCATCTCGCCTGGTCGGAGGATCCTCGATATGTGTTGGGGGGACATGGCATCTCCACAACCGGCATTTGGCAAAGTTGTACTTAGGATTATATCGTCTTCCAGGTGATCCGACATTCCGGGCTCTGATCTCCCGCCAACTGTCTCTGTGGCGGGAGTGTGGCGCCGAGACGCACATCTCGTCCTACCGCTGGGCAACCCTCCAGCTCATAGCTGGGCAAAGCACTCCTAGAGACAAGCTAGTGGACATAGACTGGCTAAGAGCTTTACACGCCACTGCAAGGTAGGACTATTTATTAATTCTTAGAGCTAATGCACTTATATTAAAATACCTTTAAAATTATATCGCCATCAAACAAAATGTTTAACGCCATCTAGTATAAATAAGCCAAACTACGTAGTAACTATTAAATCCTGTAACACACAATGAAAGTTACGCGCCGATTATTACAAGTTCTTAACACCAACTTCTGGCAGACCAGATATATATGAATATTCTTTTCAGATACCTTTGTCCGCACATACCATCTCTAGAACAGGTGATGAGGAAATACGAGAACTTCTTCGTCATCGCTGATGAGAAAGATGATGAGATTGATTTATCATTAGTCAAAAACACTGAGATGGATATGAGACTCCCTCTTCCGCCTTACAACAGTGAATATGATGTTTCTATTGATCAAGTGAGTATATCTCTTCTCTTTCTATTCTGTTCTTGGTCTTCTTCTTCTGTTGGTCTAGTGGTTAAATGCAGATCGTGGGTTCGATTTTCATCCAGGCCAAATATTTCTGTGATGTGGGCAAATATTTGTGTAATATGTGTGTATTTAGAAATATATGTGATCGGCTGACTGCAATAGGTTTGGACTAAAATTATAGCCAACGAAATAATAATATTAACGTCACACATGTCACCCACGGCCGACTGGCCCCAAACCAGGCAGAGCCTGTTTTATGCTGACCAATCTGCTGATAAACATACTTATATATTTCTAAATACATACATATCTATACTAATATTATAAAACTAAAGAGTTTGTTTGTTTGTTTGTTTGAACGCGTTAATCTCAGGAACTACTGGTCCGATTTGAAAAATTCTTTCAGTGTTAGATAGCCCATTTATCGAGGAAGGCTATAGGTTATATATCATCACGCTAAGACCAATAGGAGCGGAGCACCAATGAAGAATGTTTCAAAAACGGAGAAAATTTATTACTATTGAGAGACGCAGACGAAGTTGCGCGGGTCAGCTAGTTTTAGATAAATCATATCCAGACACAGAACAAATGACTATGCTCATCATACAATATTTTTCCTGGGTTGGAATCGAATCTCTGGTGTAGCAGTCAGGGTCACTAACCACTAAACAGGCCAGTCAGTCAGTATTTCACTAATAAGGCTGTTTCCATTATGTACATAAATTTAAATTTTGTGAATATTGGCCTACAGTTCCCTGTAATAATGCCTCAGTCAGACAGACAAATTAATTTTATATGTATAGATAATTATATACTCACCAGCTGCCATGTCTTATGCATGTACGTTAAAGATAGACAGATACTCTATATTGCACACCATGAATAGGATGCCAATGGGAGGCCTTATCATCATCATCATCAGCCTATCGCAGTCCACTGTTGGACATAGGCCTCTCCTATTTCCCGCCACTTAGATCGATTTTGGTCTTATCGCAGTCTGCGTTCTCTTCCAGGCAACCTCTCTTTCGATGAACTGTTAATCTTCATTACAAAAATTATTTGCTTATATTCACATACTGATTTATTTTTCCTGAATCTGAACTTTTTGTAAATAGTTCATGATTTAAAAGAATTGTCCTGGGTGGGAATCTAGCCCATGACATCCGGCTTAGCAGTCAGGGTTACTAACCACTAGACCAACATACCCTTTAACTACGATAATCAGACTGCTGATAAACATACTTATATATTTCTAAATACTTAATATGGGCGTTTAATATGCCTCTGTCTATCCCTTCAGGGATAGGCACGCGGGGATGATATACGATGTGGATAAGGTCTTAATCTATGATATCACATCACATCAACAGCCTTTACTAGTCCACTGCTGGACATAGGCCTCTCCTTAGAAAGGAGGTTTTGGTCTACTATACCACGCTGGCCAGACGGGTTGGTATAGGGTTTGTTTCAAGTTTTCCTTCTCTTGACATATGTCAAGGTTTACCATAGCAACCGGTTCTATGCTGCCCGCATCAAACGGCTTCCCGCGACCTTCACCAGGTCGTGGGACCACCTTGGAGGGACTACCCACTCTCCGTCTTCTGTCTAAATATGATATGTGTCTTTCTTTATATATCTTGTGTTTTTTAATAACAGGATGGTGTTAAACGACGCGTGTTAGACCTCCGCTACGAGTTGATGCGTGCGAAGGCCTTCAATGACCGCCCCAAACTGAGGCCTGCTGCGTACACACCTGATCCTCTCGACTATAGTTTGGCGTGAGTATTATTCTTTGTATATACATATACTAGCTGCCCAGACATACTTCTTTCCGCCAAAAGTTATTAGCCTATAGAAAAAAAAAAGTTTTACAGATATCACTTTTTTCGAACTTTATTTTTAACAGGCATAGATTAAATTGAAGGCATACCAAAGATAATCCTAAAGCACCTTTTTTTTTAACTTTATTTTGAACAGGCATAGATTAAATTGAAGGCAGTCCAAAGATAATCCTAAAGCACATTTTTTTTAACTTTATTTTGAACAGGCATAGATTAAATTGAAGGCAGTCCAAAGATAATCCTAAAGCACCTTTTTTTTTTAACTTTATTTTGAACAGGCATAGATTAAATTGAAGGCATACCAAAGATAATCCTAAAGCACCTTTTTTTTAACTTTATTTTGAACAGGCATAGATTAAATTGAAGGCAGTCCAAAGATAATCCTAAAGCACCTTTTTTTTATTGACGTCAAATATTATATACTAGCTGAGACCCGCGGTGTTACCCGCGTTTGTTACGCCGCGGGGCGAAGCTAGTCTTAAAAAAGTAGCCTAAGTTACTCCTTATGTCATCAGCTATCTGCCAGTGAAAGTCTCGTCGAAATCGGTCCAACCGTTCCAGAGATTACCCGGAACAAACAGACAGACAGACAAAAAATTTAAAAAATGTTATTTTGGCATATGTACCGTGTAAACATACACATGCATTTACTAAAAAGCGGTTATTTTAATATTACAAACAGACACTCCAATTTTATTTATTTGTATAGATATTTACTGTGGTGACATAAAGACAGACAGTTTCTCTACTAATTATGTGGGGGATAGTTACATACCCCCGTTTGTAGAGTAAAAAAAACAGTGTTCTTGTACTATTTTTTTTCTCGATAAGAACCTTCCTTGTACCTTAACGAAAGTATAAGAAAAAAATTGTATGATCTAACGAGTACTTATGATTGCAGATTCCTCCTAGGGGCATGGTTCGGTGCTCCATCAATTGAGAGCATAGTAGGAGTGGCTGATCAGCTCGAAGCGGCCGGTGCCTGGCATCTAGCAGTACAGGCTCTACAGTACCACCCCAATGACAAAGCGTGAGTATTTACTACGATATTAGAGGTTACGGGTTTGATTCCCGCTCCGTGTATCAATATGGCTATTGGCAATATCGTTGGCAATTAAGTAGACGTGTCATCTGATGATAACCTCCCACGGACCCATGTAAGTTAAAGAATTTAAGTGCTTTATCACACTTTAAACATTCAGAATTATTTCCCTCTCCCACTAATTCTGGAGGGCTCGTCGTATGGTTTTGAATTTTGCCTCTCGGGACCTTACTCACTCTCAAAAATTGCTTAACCTAGATTTTCTGTAAGCTCGTGGGTTATACTCCTAACTTACCGAAGCTTGGCTCTTCCACGATAAAAAGTTATGATTAATACAATGTAACTAATGGAAGGTTTGTTCCAGTCGCGGGCAGCTGATCCGCGGCGTGATCTCGCGCCACGCGCCCGCGCGCGTCGAGGGTGCGCAGGCGCAGCGCGCGCTGCAGCTGCTGCAAGCGCTGCACGTACCGCGCCAGTGGCTGCTGCTGGCGCAGGCGCATCGCGCCAAGTACGAGGTCTGTACACTTGTTCAGTTTAGAACACAATAAAGTTTTGAATTATGATATAATTCAGTTAACATGCGATCATAATTAATACAAATACATAATAATATTTTACTAGAAAGTATACATAACAGCGGTAGCAAAATAATGGCCATGAGTTTGTTTGCCCTTTCTTCTCATAAGGCTCAACCCCCTTGGAAACGAGCGGTTGTAGATCGGCACAGGCATATCATAGATTTTGTATGGGTTTGATTTTTGTTAAATTTATTTGCTTACTATTTGACAAAACAGAGATTGTTGCTTTTGTGTTGATCTATGACTTTAAAGTCTACATAAAAGACGATTTCAAACAATTTTAATTTTTTTATGAAATAAAGAGAGTTTGGTTTGAGTTGTCCGTGTGGTGACGGATTAACAATACGGAGTGTCACCACCCCTATTCATCCCGTGGGTGTCGTAAGAGACGACTAAGGGAAAAAAAACTACGCAGAACACCAGCACTGCAGAGAGAGGGAAAACTTGACATAAACCCTATACCAACCCGTCTGGCCAGCGTGGTATAGTAGGCCAAACCCTCCTTTCTAAGGAGAGGCTTATGTCCAGCAGTGGACTATTAAAGGCTGTTGATGATGATGATTATGATGAGTTGAGTTAAGTTTAATAATGTTTTTAACTGCTACCCACACTAACTTCGAGCGTAGATGAACATAACACTACAAAGGTGTAAGATTTTAGTACGCTAAACTAGATATTAGGCTCGGAAATATTTACAAACTGTTTAGTATCTTGTTTTAACGTTTTTGAAGAACAGGGATGTAAGGGATTTTGAATTTTGACCTTTGTGGACGAACGGGTGTCATGTCCCTCCAACACAAAGAGAGGATCCTCCGACCAGGCGAGGTGATCATGCCTGGCGGGCCGCGGCCCATCGATTAATGTTGGGAAGTTGTGCATATGCTAATCGGCGAGAGAATTCTTCATATCGCATATATTCAGTAGTTACTCCGTAGTTCGGTATGTCTTCGTTCGGTATGTTAGTATGTTTCTGTTTCTTTGTATGTGGGAGTCGTCACACCTTCTTTTATACGTTTTACAGTTTTAAATCTTTGTGGAGATGATTACCGCTTACCTCTACGGAGTGTATATTAAACTGTGAATACGTTTACAGCATTTGCCGCAGCTAGAGGCCGAGTATTTAGTTGGAGCTCTACAATGGAACGCGGCACACAAAGTATTGCTGGAAGAGCTACTGCCCGAAGCTGTATTATCAGGTAATTAAGAGCTGTTTTGATGTGAAATATCTAATGAGGGTCAGGGCTGCCCGTTATCGTAGCAGAAGTAGGCCTAAGGCGGTGGCGTGACTTGTCCGAGTGCCTTTCCTAATTCGAAGGAGGGCAAAGCTACCACAGCTTGGCGAGGAACTTATGCATTGTACAATTATGTAATTTTTATGAATAAATGATGAAATAAAAATACAATGGTGTGGCTGCCAATGGCACCAGGGCTCTTGGAGACTTCCTTCCTAGGTTGAACCCGATTCTTTGGGAATAGACCCACATGTGACAATAAAAAACCCTAGAACTCCGGAAAAAAGCCTCGATTGTACCTTCTGCCTGTAATGTCGGCTCGAAGGCAAATAGAGTTTATCTCTTTGGTCCTTCGAGCACTATTTCGTCGCTAATCAATATCAAGACGTATACGAGAATACCTCGCCACCGGAAATAGCCCTCATGTGAGAACAACGTGTGGTTTCATTCGAATATTTTCATAAAACTTTTATCCCGTTGTATTTATTGGATACATCGAAGTCTACCTTGCTAAGTGTTGTGATATATTTATCTGAAATAATTGTTCTCTCAGATGATCTACAAAGCGTATCGTCGCTACTAGAACGTATGAACGAAGCAGCATCCCGTCACGAGATCAGCGGATGGGAGAGCGGTGGTCAGGCGCTCTACCTGTATCTTCAGGTTTGTGATGAGGTAAGCAGAAATATCTGAATATTAGTCAATTCTTGCATTATCATCTGCCTTTGCTCCCAAGACTTTGAGTATGATGTTACAAAGTCTTCAATTTGTTTCCTTATAGTCAGTTCGCGTTAAGAAAATAGTGATGCGTCTACGAAGCTCCGCCCCCTGTCCAATCAGGGTTCTAGAAATTATCTTTCCGTACAAAAACTTGAAATCTGATTGGTCCACGGTGGGGCTTGATCGATTGATCGATGATGCCTCGTTAATTTTTTAACGCAAATGGAGTATAAATTTATTTATGTGACACGTAATTGCTCTGGAGTGTATTATGTGGTATTTGAATTCTATGTTGTATTTAGATTCGTGACCTGGTCAAGGAGGCTGAGGCGGAGCCCGACAGGGGGAGTGTACACACGCGACTGGAAGCGTTGCGACCGAAAGTCGCAGCCGCGTGTCGGGCCTTAAGTGGACTACATCCCAAGTGAGTGTACTTATTAGTTATTAGCTGACCCCGTACCGTCTGCGTCTCAAAAGAATAGAATAGAATAATCTTTATTGTACACCAATTGAGGATATTATGCATACAATAGTATTCCAAGTTATTGACCTCCCCCCACCCCCCCCCTCCAAAGTTAATGATGAAAGGAATAAATGTTAAAAAGTGTAGTAATATCATCGGGGTAAAGAGATATAGAGAAAGAACGTCATTGATGTAAACTAAAAATAATATGGCTCCAAAGCATTACCTTAAGGCACACCACACATGATACGTCTCAGACTAGATGAATATTTCGTTAAAGCTTTTGGTTTATGGCTGTTGTGTGTTGTCTATCTGTTAAATATCATTTCATAAATTTCGAGAACGTTGCTGCATATTGATTTAACTTGTCCAAAAATATATCAATTTCGATCGAATGCTTTGCTCATATTTTTCAATAGAGTAATGGTAGGGCATCTCTTATGCATGTTCGTTAAAGATACACAGATAGGTACTCTATATTGCACACCATGAATAGGATACAAACAAAAAACAGTGTCCCAGTTCACTGTTGGTCATAGGCTTCCCCTATTGCACGCCACTTAGATTAGATTTTGGCCTCATCGCCGTCTGTGTTCTCTTCCAGGCAACCTTTCTTTTGATGGACTGTTATTTGTTTATTTTCACATATTGATTTATATTTTCTGAATCTTTTGTAAATTGTTTATGATTTAAAAACCAAATGTGAAGGCTATGCGAATGTAAATATTTGGAATCTGAATCGGTCCCTGGTTAATGAAATTGTTGACGTGTTGGAATTGCCCTAACCCTAAGCCCCCCCCCCCCCCCCTCCCCCCAGGAGCGGTCGCGGCACGGCGGCGCGCACGGAGATGGGCGCGCGGCTGGTGCAGCTGTCGCTGTCGGGGGGCGAGCCGCCCGCGCACTCCGCCGCGCTGCTGCGCGCGCTGCGCCTGCCGCCCGACACCGCGCCGCACGCGCACCTCAAGGTACGTGCACGGACCGCACAAACATCATACACGTCAATAATAATCACGATTTATCCTGCGTAACATCTTGACTGCGCGGATGGCTTACTCGTAAACCCAAGCGGTCGACGCGCTACTGCGCTGAGTGTTGTGGGTTCCATCCTTACATGGGACACCAATTTGTGTAATCCACCAATTGTTGTTCCGAGTACTGAGTTCTGAAAAAGAACACTCAGTGTTCTTTGTGTCCGTTTCATGTTCATATGTTTGTAAAGACCCCCGCGACACAGGATAAATATTCCTAATATGAGCTAAGTATACTTAAAAAAAAAACATAAAATCAAATAAAATAACATTACAATTTGTGATACAAATTCTGATCCCAGACTAAACAGAACCTATACTATGAAAACTGAACTTCTTATAAACATACTTACACCGGAACACCTCTGCACTCGAAGCCAGCTCGTGGAACCTCCAGCCGAGATGACCATCAAGACCTAATGGATGCTCCACGGTTCCGCCGACTGCCGCTACTCAGCCAATAAACTTCAGTGACTACTTCTACCGTCCTAACTAACGCCATAGCCAAATCTATATTCATACTAATCTTTTATAAATAAAACTTACCATAACATTACTCCAAGTTTAATAAATTGTTTTTTTTTATATTACAGATAAGTACACTACTGGCAGAACGCGCCAGCACTCCTCCCACAATCTGCGCTAATTGAGCAAAGAAGAAACATAAAGAATTAAACAAATTAATAGTTTAAAATACGATGAACATTAATTAAAAAAAAGACTTATTATTATGGAGGGTAGTAACATCGCGATCGAGGTTAGAAACATGTACAACGCCATCTAGGGACTAGTGGGGTAAACTTTTCCACATGCTATCTGTGTGTGTCATATAATAAATTTTGTGAATAACGAACGTTTTTAATGGAAGTGAAATAATGATAAAACATAACTACAATGGCGTTTATGCAGGCAAAGAGTATGACCCGAATTAATCAATGAAAGATGGAGTGAAGTGAGTGAAAATTAAATTATTTAGGCGTCTAATATAATTGATAAAAAGTTAGAGTTAATGATTCCAAAACACCCCAGACCCATCCTTTGAAAAATGAGATGAACCTTCGATATCCTGATCAACTTTTCTAGAATAGAGTACAACACTCAGTCGAAAAACGGTTTTTATTTAATCCCACCACAGTACGTAACCAGAGTTTATTTCACATTACTCAAGCGTCACGGTGACCGCGTTCTGTGCTACGATTGGCCCGCACTGAAATCTCCACCAATCGCAACGCTAAACGCGCTCGCCGTCGACAGCGAGTCAATGTGAAGTAAACTTACACTTTGCCCTCTGAAAACTTTAATAGGCTTGTGTCCACTAATAACAAACTGCTTGGTTTATAGTTTCAAATTATAAATGAAGAGACATAGATAAAAAAAAAAAAAAAAAAAAAAATTAAAATAAATTCGAACAAAATAGGCATTAGGTCACGTGACAGCGAACACCAATCAGGAAGTGTTACGTCACGTCACACAAAACATAATTGTTGTTGTTGACGTTTTCATACAATAGAGCAGGTTACTCCTTATTGTTTTTCATTTTTAGTATACTTTCTCACCTTGTTTCGCAGACTGTGACGTCATTCAAGACGCCATGACACTCTTCAGCGTTTTCAAGGTTTTTTTTTAAATACAAAATACTTAACGTAAATGTTGCTTTTTCTTTAAAATACAGGTTTTTTGGGATAAAATAGATATTAAAGTATTTAATTAACCAAGTTTTCAAATTGAGTCAACTAGCCTATTGTATTCAACCGATATCATCATCAACAGTCTCTAATAGTCCACTGCTGGACATAGGCCTCTTAGAAAGGAGGCATCGATAACTGGCATTAAACAGCGTAGAAATACACTAAACTGCGTGTAAATTAGAAAATATTCTAGACGCTAACGTTATGACGTCGTTTAGTTAGTAAAATAAAAAAATTCCAGTCAAAAATTCTGTGTTTGGGTGTAATTTATATATAATTATGTTTCTTTGGGTGCATTTTAAATAGATGAATGAACATAAATAGCCACCGACATCGGGTACGGAGACAAAGACCAGTAGACCGGTGGTTAACTGGTTAGGGCTTCAAAGACAGGAATTTTGAAAATGCCTATCTCAACCCCTTTTCCCTCCTTAGTGGTCAAGACTTTCATAAGGCGTGTACATACTGTTATTTGAGGCTAAGTTTCGAGTGTAGATATAAATCATTTAGGGCACACTTCCCTAAAAAGGGTTCCGTGGACAAATCCACAGGGTTCCGTGATAAAAATATGTAGTAAGCGAGAATTATACAGCCCCATGCTATCCCATCATACCTTCAAGTTCCTTCCAGCCCTCCCCGGACCCTCCCCAGATCTTGTATGCTTTCGTACCTATTAGGTTTTTATTTATCTTTAAGTGATATATATGTACAAACTTTTCAATAAAACGCTAAGTGAAGTAGTATTTTGATTTTTTAATAACCCCCTATTAAGGGGAGAAATAAAAACAAAACTAGGTATACCCACGAAGATGGGGTTTCATAGAATTCTACGGTAATCTTTCTTTTGGGGTATGAATAAAGTCGAAATGTAGTAAAAGAAGCTTTTTGTTATAAATTGGCGAAATTTGGTTAGTGACAAAATTGATAATTTTTTTATCAGAAAAATAATAATTGTTATATTCTTAAATCCGGTTGAAAATATTGTTTGAAAATGAATGTATGTATTGCTGTGTTCTGTGTCGACATAAACATTAAATATTAATAATATACGTGTAAGTTGTTTAGATATATTTGTAAAAGAAATGTGATGTTTTATTAAAAATGATTGTAAATCAAATATGTGTTTTTTTATGGTGTCCGTGTGGTGACGGATTAAGAATACAGAGTGTCACCACCCCTATTCATCCTGTGGGTGTCGTAAGAGGCGACTAAGGAAGCAAATTACGCAGGACAACAGCACTGCAGAGAGAAGGAAAACTTGAAATAAACCCTTTACCAACCCGTCTGGCCAGCGTGGTATAGTAGGCCAAAACCTCCTTTCTAAGGAGAGGCCTATGTCCAGCAGTGGACTAGTAAAGGCTGTTAATGATGGTATAAGGGGCAATCGAGCAGACGGGTCACCTGATGGTAAGCAACTACCACCGCCCATGGACACCTGCAACTCAGAAGTCACAAGTCCCGCTCGAGTCAACGGGAGGGGGGATTTGGGCTCCGGTAACCTCACTCACTCAGTGAAAGGCAACGAGAGAATTGCTTAACACCGGTTTTCTGTGAGGCAGTGGTATCGCTCCGGTCGGGACGGCTCATTCGTGCCGAAGCATGTCTCTCCTACGGTATATGTGATTTTACTTTAAATGTTTTGTAATTTATTGTGTATGTGTTGCCCCCGTCTATCACGCGATGGCCCCACCCGCGCGGTAAATCCTTGGAACGCTAGAAAATAGGCCTATAGGCACAGTCTAAACCGCTGAAAGCTACAAACTTGTCATTCTCTCAGCTGATTATTTTTATGTTGTAAGTACTCAGTAAGAAAGGATTTTTGAAAATTACTCTCCTGAGGAGGTAAAATAAGGAATGAGCGATTGTACCGAGGTTTGACATTTTCAAAGTATAGAAATTGATACTAATATTATAAATGCGAGTGTGTCTGTCTGTTACCTCTTTATGCTTAAACCGCTGATTTAGATCAAATTTGGTATAGAAATAGTCCTAATCCTGGGAGAGGACATAGGGTCGTTTTTATCCCAGAGATCATCCTTTAAGGGGGTGGAAGTTTGTATGGGGAATCAATAACCGCTATTTAGATGAAATTTGGTATTTAGATACCTTGATTCTTGAGGAAAGACAGGCTACTTTTTTACCACGATAACTGACGCTGGCGGAGCCGCGGGCAAAAGCTTCGCAATGTGGGCGTTTTAAATAAATCACTTTCTCAATACAAAGATATACGTAAGTTCAATTATTTCGCGTTTCACGTAATACAATGACAAGTTTAACCTTTTTCTTTTTAACACGCTTTTATTAGCTTGGTATGTATGTAACGGAATCTTCGAACACTTATCTAGGACCGAAGACAATACAATAATTTTATAAATTTGGCCGATTATCCTTTTTTTTTCTGTGTGGAAATCCTCTCCGAAACCACCACCTTTGGTTATGTCGGACTCGAACCGACCAAAAACTGCACGCCGTCTCGGGTACCAATTGCCGGGGAACCAGGAACCAGGAACCGAGGAAGGAAAACCCTGATACCCCGACGTACCTCGGGTCATCTACTTGCGTAAATAATGTGTGTGTGCTCCCAAAAGGGGGGCGCTCGCCACCACCCCCGGCCTGCTTCTCCTATGATGACAGATGTCCCCACCTACCACCTGGCCACCTACCGTCTGGCCAGCGTATGACAAAACCTCCATTGTAAGGAGAGGTCCATGTCCAGCAGTGAACTTTTAGGGGCTATTGATGATAACAACTAAAATAGCAAAAATTAATTATAGTTTTAAAAAACTTTGCAGACCAGAGGTTTTGGGGAATCTAGCTCACAACCTCTGGTCTGCAAAGTTTTCCGCAATTGTGGGATGAACACGATCATTTATTCTATATCTGCGTGTAATCTAGTTTAGTGCCCCTTTCCGCCCTTATAAGGGCCGCTGGTTGGGTGTACCTGCGGTACCTAACCTCGGTCACTCGATGAAGAGCAATTACAGAATAGCTTAACTCTTACGTAGTTAAAAATCAACATTTTTTTTTAATGCAACTCTTTAATCCTACACTTTTTTACTGAATCTTTTCTTGTCCTGGGGGACTTCACGACCTTACACACATACATGAAATGGACACGAAGAACACCCAGACTCAGAACAACAATTTGTGTATTACACAAAGTGTTGTCCCATATGATCGATCACACAACACTCAGCGCAGTAGGAAGCGGCGAGGTGAGTGTTGCAATCAATTGTTCCTGTATTGTTATAATATGTAACACTGACAGCATTACTATTTTTATTAATTAAATGTAATATCAGATACATTTACAAGTATTTTGACATGATATAAATTTGATTAAATTTAATTGAAATAAAAAAAATCTTAGCTAGGGCTGGCAAATCTAATCGTCTAATAAAAAAAGAATTGACTGCCACTTTCACTGATTTAATGAAATAAAACAAATTATACACCCTTACCTACTTGTCTGGTAGCAAGGACTGCACGATGGCGTAGTGGTTTAAGCGGTCGCTACGCCGCTTCCTACTACGCCGAGTGTTGTGGGTTCGAACCCCACATGGGACGACACTTTGTGTGATCCACAAATTGTTGTTCTGAGCCTGGGTGTTCTTTGTGTCCGTTTCATGTATGTTTGTAAAGTCCTCCGTGACACAGGATATATTCCTAATGCGGGAGTTGTCTTTTTTTTTAAAAAGTAGTTTCTGACGGGTCGCAATTCTTACTTAACCCATTATTCTGGTCGCATCTCGTTTCTGATGGCGATTCGTGTGGGGTTGCTTACCTTACCTACTTTTCTGGAAGCACCTCTTTTCTGAGGGACTTTCCTTACATCTTAAAAAGTAATGCTATATAAATGGCAATACTTCGTTATAGTATAGTATATAATATATAGTATACTTTTTTATTACTGGCAATGTTTTACTGTCGCACTAATTTACCAACCGCTGATAAATAAAACACATAACTGCCCATTATTTTTTTCAACTGATAACCTCTAAAATATTATTAAAAAAAAGGTTGTAATTGTCGATTTAAAAATGAAACAACTGTAGCATGCTCAATATAATATAATAATTACATATGTTTTATAATAGTTATCAATATTTCCGAGTCCGTTGTAACAAACAAAATAATCTCTTAATGGGTCTTTATCGTTCTTATTCTGCTGGATCCGTTGATGTTGATTCTGTTGGTACTGATTCTGTTGGTGCTGATTCTGTTGGTGATGATTCTGTTGATGATGATTCTGTTATCTTCTCTTCTCCTTCTGTTGTTACCGTTTCCTGTGTTAGGTAAGTATAATTTGTTTTTAGAGGTTTCCTACATGTATAATATGTATTCAGGTTACCTAATGTAGTTTTTTATATCAAATTGTCAATACTATAATTCGTGTGTATTTATGTATTGTATTATAATGTAGGTATGTACTTATGTGTAGTATGTATTGGTGTAGTATATGATAGTTTTGTTTATGTGTAAATATGAGATTTTGTATTCAGCTGAAACTGCTTTTAGTATAAAATTAACTGTAACCAAAATGCACCTACTGCCTGTTTTCTCTGCATCACCCAATGGTTCGCTGGTAGAGAATGTTTTTGGCATTAAGTCCGTCAATGCTAGGTGCATGTGCATGACGTGTAAGGCATTAAGTCCGTCAGTGCATGACATGTAAAATAAATAAATAAAATGCCGTCTCCTTCTGCGAGCAAGTTATGCTCGCGAAGGAGACGGCGGAGCGGGACCGGGAGAGGTTTAGAACTCTCCCGGCCCGCCAGGCCCGGGAACGGGCTAGGTACCGCAGGCGACTCAGGCGCCGGAGGTCGCAGAACGACCTCCGTCCTCCATAAGCGCAGGCCTGGGGGGGACAGGTGAGGCCATCTGTCACCCTAGCAGAAGCAGGCCGGCTTGGCGGCGAGCGCGTTGCGAAGCGCGCACGCTTCCAGGGAGCAGAGGGAACATGGGGTTCCCACACGGGGGGGTTGTCTACTCGTCTGCCCGTCGTCGGCAGACGGGGGTCGTCTACGGCCCGAGGTATGTCGGGGCACCAGGGACTTCCTTTCTAGGGTATACCTGGTTCCCCGGCTATTAGTACCCGAGACGGCGTGCGGTTCTAGTCGGTTCGAGTCCGACATGCCACCGCTAGGTGGTATCCGAGGGGATTTCCGCACGGAAAAAAAAGGGGTGGGCGCGCGTGTACTTAGCGCGTTCAGATAGATATCATTTAACACAGCCGGTAGTTACCGACCGGCCAGTTGACGTTTAAAAGCCGACACGGACACCCGCACGTTTGCACCCACGCTTTTTACACGCTTTATATTAGCTTCACTTGTATGTTTGTTTGTATGTTTGTAACCGACTCCTTTGGGCGTGATTTTGACTGACTAAACGGTCAGAATTCGTTCAAACTTTATAGATATATCGAGGACCGATGACAATACACTAATTTAAAAAAAAATAGTTTTCAAAAACTAAAAAACACGCTTTATATAGAAAACCAAACTAAAAAATAGAAAATAAATATGAAAAAAGGCTTGGGGTGCTTTTTACTATTGACAACAGGCACCCAACGCTTTTTTTCTAATTTATTTTATATTTTTTAGTTTGGTTTTCTATAGAAAGCGTGTTTTTTAATTTTTTATTTCTAAATTGCCTGGTAACGCCAACATACCACCATATCTACATATACTATAACAGTAAAATGTAGCGTGTGGTGTGAATTAACAATTTTCGTAATTTAACTAATATTAAATTAAATTACATAATACACGAATATATATTTATACAGTCTAAACTCCCCCCTGAAAGGGTCACGTAATATGGGTACTGTCCCTAGTCCATCTAGTTGTCGTGGGGTTATTCTTATAACTAAATTACCGCAGTTGTCGACGCAGCATCATCCTCTGCTGTTGTACCACTGTCTTCGGTTTCGGTAGTGCCTAAAAAAATATGTAAAAATGTTCAAAAGCCCTGTTTTGAGTCCCTTTCATCTATGTTTTTAAAGTCCACCAGGTATATTCCCAATGCGGGAGTTGTCTTTAAAAAAAAACAAATCTTTTGAACATCATCATCATCAGCAGCCTTTAACATTCCACTGCTGGACATAGGCCTCTCTTTAGAAAGGAGGTTTTGGCATACTATACGTCTGGCCGGGTTGGTGTAGCACTTGTTTTTAAGTTTTCCTTCCCTTTGCAGTGCTGTTGTCCTGCGTAGTTTGTTCAGTTAGTTGGCTCGTACGACACCCACGGGACATATAGGAGTGGTGACACTCCGTATTCTTAATCCATCACCATGCGGATACGTTCGATCACTCGTAGTTCAGCTATTCGATAACAGACTGCGTCAAACGTCTCAACTTGCGATCGTAAGAGTAAAATACAAATTACAACATTTTATACTCACTCGTCAATTAAAAAGAAATAAAACTATTTAACATTACCAATCGATTGATAGTTTTAAAAAAAAATGGCTGTCAAATTGGTTTTTGGATTAAGATATCAGCTTAGTTCAGCGAGTTTCTGAACGACTGTCGTTGGTTTGATGGTTGATAAACTTTTTGGAACGAAGTTCTATTTTACTATTGGCGCCAATACTCGTTTAATAAATACGAGTATCATTAGGTATAATAAAAACAAAATTCTACTTACCATCATCACCACCTTTTAAATCTTGACTTTTACTAAAAACAAAAAAAAAGAAGTTTTATGATTTTATTACCTACTTCAGTTTATGACATGTCTTAATTATAAACTTTACAGTAATGAAATTATTTATATAAATATTAATATCTTTATTGATTTATTTATAATAAACTTATAATGTTGTGTAATTAATTATTGTTGTTGTCTATAGAACCATGTTTCTGTCAAAAAAAGTATGAGATAAATAAAAAACATTTGAGCCATACAGTAGTCTTTCTTTCTTAGTAACACCCCACGCAAAAACGACGGGGTGTTATTAGTTTGACGTGTCTGTGTGTGTGTCTGTCTGTGGCATCGTAGCTCCCGAACGGATGAACCGATTTTGATTTTATTTTTTTGTGTGTTAGTATGAGTGTTCTTAGCTATGTTTGATGAAAATCGGTCCAAGATGGCCGCCGCCACAAAATGGCGATTATATATTTGGTCACGACTCCCTCAATATGGGTATCAAATGAAAGGGCTTGACTAGTAGAGTACTATACACTTTGACAAATTTCAAATCCAAGATGTGTGTCACTATTTTTTTAAATTTTTAAAGACACCTGCCGCTTTAGTAATATATATTGTGTAGCGTAGGACTTTACAAACATTCACGAAACGGACACAAACAACACCCAGACTCAGAACAACAATTTGAAGCATCGAGATAAACGTTTAAACCACTACGCCTCGCCATCCGTGCAGTCAATTCGCATATGATGTGCTACAACTTTATCCGTGTGGTGACGGATTAAGAATACAGAGTGTCACCACCCCTATTTATCCCGTGGGTGTCGTAAGAGGCGACTAAGGGAGCAGGACGACAGACAACAGCACTGCAAAGAGAAGGAAAACTTGACACAAACCCTTTTTTTTTTTTTTTTTTTTTTTTTAACGTGTGGAAATCCCCTCGGACCGTCACCCCTCCGGGGTTTGCGGCGGGGTGGTGTGTCGGACTCGGACCGACTAAAACCACACGGTGTGCCACTCTGCGCCTGTAACAGGAGGGATCCGGGAACAGCTGTTGTTAAGACATCCGGACCCCTCCTAGCGCCAGCCCGCTCCTGGTGCGGGATCCGTCTCAATGTGGATGTTCCTCTCTTTAGGCGACGTCCGGCACACGCGGACGCCGCCCCCTCGCGGCTGGCCAACTAATGCGGGTGGAGGGGAAACCCACCCCGTCCACCCGCGGCCACACTCAGGGCGGCATGAGGCTGTGGTAGGCGGGCCTCCGCCGCCCGGTTCGCCGGCGGCGGATCGGGTCCGAGTGGAGGTCGTCCTCCCGGGCCCTTTCCGCCGCCTCCTTCCGCGAGATTACTACCTCGCAGAAGGTTGCGACCGCGGTAAAACAACTGTCGCTACCGGCCATGGAGCGTACTACGGCCGGTAGCGAGAGATCCACTCCGATGACTGCAGTGAGGGCCCGGCGCTGCGCCGCCTATGCGGGGCAGACCGCCAGCGTGTGCTGGGCCGAGTCCTCACTGCAGTCGCAGTGGTGGCAGGCGGGACTCAGTTCCCTCCTAGCGACCGTGTGCAGGTACTTTCCGAAGCAACCGTGCCCGGAAAGCACCTGCGTCAGTCGGAAGGAAAGGGTCCCGTGCTGCCGCCCTGCCCACTCGGCGATGACCGGCTGGAGAGCCTCCACGGCGGCGAAGCCAGCGCGTGGAGTCTCCAGCCGGAACGACCAACGAGCCATCGTGGCTCGGCGAGCGGCTTCGCGCCACTCGCGCACATCCTCGGGCGGAGGGCGAAATCCGCTCTCCGCCCGGTAGTCAGCCACTCGCCGATAAACTTCGGCGAGCACTTCCGCCTCCAAATCCCACGGGGGAGTTCCGGCCAACGCGCACGCCACATCCGTCGAAACGGTGCGGTAACCGCGTATGGCTCTGACCGCCATTACCCTCTGAGGGCGCCAGAGGCGTACCCTATTCTGGGCGGTCAGAGCCGCCGCCCACACCGGTGCACCGTACAGTGCCATTGACCGGACAACCCCCGTGTACAGCCGTCTTGTCGCGACGCTGGGTCCACCCATATTGGGCAAAAGTCGCCCTAGGGCAGACGCAGCGCCGACCAGCTTTGGAGCAAGCTGTCGGAAGTGCTCGTCGAAGAGCCACCTCCCGTCGAGGATCAGGCCCAGATATTTCATCTGGGCCCGAACCGGTACGAGGACCGAGTTGACCACGATTGAGGCGCCAGGGGGTGGACCACGACGGGGCCCATGGAATAACAGGGCCTCCGTCTTATCTAGGGCCACCCGTAAGCCCAGCGCCTCAATGCGCCCGACCACCAAGGAGACTCCCCCTGTGGCCAGGCGCGCCGCCTCTTGGAAGTTTGCCCCCCGGGCTGTCACGAGGGTATCGTCTGCGTAACAGATTACACCCAGCCCGGGGGGGAAATCGGCGCGAAGGGCCCAGTCGTACCCTATGTTCCACAAGAGGGGTCCAAGAACAGACCCCTGTGGAACACCGCACGACATGGGCCGACACCTCAGATTACCTTCTCGGTCCTCGTACACGACGGTACGCTCCTCTAAATAGTCTGCCACTAGCCGCCTCAGGTACTTTGGCACCCCATGATAGTGGAGTGCTTCCCTGATGCAGCTGAATGGCAGACTATTGAATGCGTTGGCGATGTCCAATGACACCGCCAACAGCACGCCGCCACAGCTCACGGCCTCTTCGGTCACGGCCCTCAGGCGCAACACGGCGTCGACTGTCGAACGCCCCGCCCGAAAACCAAATTGGGCGTCCGACAGATCGGGGCCCACCTCGCAGAGGTGCCGGACGATGCGGGCAGAAAGAACCCTCTCAAACAATTTGCCCGCCTCGTCCAGCAGCACGATGGGCCTATAGGCCGCGACCGAATCGGCAGGCCGTCCCGGCTTCCTCAATAGGACCAGCTTCCCGCTCTTCCAGCACTCAGGGAAGCGTCCCGACGCCAAGCTAGCGTCGAACACCTCCCCGAGGCGGTCTGCCATGTGGTTGAGGGCCAGGGCCAGCACTCGGGCCGGTACCCCGTCTGGCCCAGGGGCGGTGTTCTTGGAACGGATCCGTAGAACAGCCGCCCCTACCTCCGATTCCCGGACGGGCGGAACATTGTCCTCCCCGTGCTCCCCGTCGTCTCCGGCCAAGGAGGCCATCGACGGGGGAGTGTGTTCCGCCCGTTGTGGGAAAAGGCCCTCAACCACTTCTCGCAGGAAGCTGGGCTGGAGAGTCTCCGTAAGGGGGGGGGCCCGACGCGCGGAGCCCTAGCGACAAACCCTTTTTTTTTTTTTTTTTTTTTTTTACGTGTGGAAATCCCCTCGGACCGTCACCCCGCCGGGGCTCTCGTTCGGCGGGGCGGTGTGTCGGACTCGAACCGACTAAAACCACACGGTGTGCCCTCTTTGCGCTTCCAGTTAGGAGGGGTCCAGGTAGCTATCTCCTTCTGGACCCCTCCCAGCGCCGGCCCGCTCCTGGCGCGGGCTCCGTCTCAGTGGACCCTCTCTTTAGGCGGCGTCCGGCACACGCGGACGCCGCCCCCTCGCGGCTGGCCAACTAATGCGGGTGGAGGGGAGAACCCATCCCGTCCACCCGCGGCCACACTCAGGGCGGCATGAGGCGTAGGTGAGCGCGCCTCCGCCGCCCGGTTCGCCGGCGGCGGATCAGGTCCGAGTGGAGGTCGTCCTCCCGGGCCTTCTCCGCCGCCTCCTTCTGCGAGATTACCTCCTCGCAGAAGGTTGCGACCGCGGTAAAACAACTGTCGCTACCGGCCATGGAGCGAATTACGGCCGGTAGCGAGAGATCTGCTCCGATGACTGCAGTGAGGGCCCGGCGCTGCGTCGCCCATGCGGGGCAAACCGCCAGCGTGTGCTGGGCCGAATCCTCACCGCAGTCGCAGTGGTGGCAGGCGGGACTCGATTCCCTCCTAGCGACCGAGTACAGGTACTTTCCGAAGCAACCGTGCCCGGAAAGCACCTGCGTCAGCCGGAAGGAAAGGGTCCCGTGCTGCCGCCCTGCCCACTCGGCGATGACCGGCTGGAGAGCCTCCACGGCGGCGAAGCCAGCGCGTGGAGTCTCCAGCCGGAACGACCATCTCACCATAGTGGCTCGGCGAGCGGCTTCGCGCCACTCGCGCACGTCTTCGGGCGGAGGGCGAAATCCGCTCTCCGCCCGGAAGTCAGCCACTCGCCGATAAACTTCGGCGAGCACTTCCGCCTCCAAATCCCACGGGGGTGTTCCGGCCAAGGCGCAAGCCGCCTCGGTGGACACCGTGCGGTATCCGCGTATGGCTCTGACCGCCAATATCCTCTGGGGGCGCCAGAGGCGCGCCCTATTCGGGGCGGTCAGAGCCGCCACCCACACCGGTGCACCATAAAGCGCCATGGACCGGACAACCCCCGCGTACAGCCGCCTCGTGGGAACACTGGCCCCACCCAAATTGGGCAAAAGTCGCCCTAGGGCGGAGGCAGTGTCCACCAGCTTCGGACCAAGCTGTCGGAAGTGCTCTTCGAAGAGCCACCTACCGTCTAGGACCAGACCCAGGTACCTCATCTGGGCCCGGACCGGTACGAGGACCGAGCCGACCTCGATTGAGGCGCCGGCGGGTGGACCACGACGGGGCCCATGAAATAATAGGGCCTCCGTCTTATCCAGGGCCACCCGCAAACCCAACGCCTCAATGCGCCCGACCACCTGGGAAACTCCCGTGGCGGCCAGGCGCGCCGCCTCCTGGAAGTTAGCCCCCCGGGCCGTGACTAAAGTGTCATCCGCGTAGCAGATTACACCCAGCCCGGGGGGGAGACGCCCTCGTAGGGCCCAGTCGTACCCGATGTTCCACAGGAGAGGTCCTAGGACAGACCCCTGCGGAACACCACACGACATGGCCCTGCGTCTCAAGACGCCATCTCGGTCCTCGTACATGACGGTTCGCTCCTCAAGATAGTCTGCCACCAGCCGCCTCAGGTACTCCGGCACTCCGTGGTAGCGGAGCGCTTCCCTGATGCAGCTGAATGGCAGACTATTGAAGGCGTTGGCGATGTCCAAGGACACCGCCAACACCACTCCGCCGCAGCTCACGGCCTCCTCGGTCACGGCCCTAAGGCGCATCACGGCATCGATCGTCGAACGCCCCTCTCGGAAACCGAATTGGGCGTCCGACAGATCGGGGCCAACCTCGCAAAGGTGCCGGACGATGCGGGCAGAGAGCACCCTCTCAAAAAGTTTGCCCGCCTCGTCCAGCAACACGATAGGCCTATAGGCCGCGACCGAATCGGCAGGCCGTCCCGGCTTCTGCAGCAGGACCAGCTTCCCGCATTTCCAGCGCTCAGGGAAGCGTCCGGACGCCAGGCTAGCGTCCAACACCCCCCTGAGGTGGTCCGACATGTAGTCGAGGGCTCGGGCCATCACTCGGGCTGGAACCCCGTCCGGCCCGGGGGCGGTGTTCTTGGATCGAATCCGTAGAACAGCCGCCCCCAACTCTGATTCCCTGACGGGCGGAACATCAACCTCGCTGCCCCCGTCGTCTCCGGCTGATGCAGCCATCGACGGGGGTGTGTGCTCCGCCCGCTGCGGGAATAGGCCCTCGACCACTTCCTGCAGGAAGCTGGGCTGGAGAGTCTCCGTAAGGGGGGGGGCCCGACGTGCGGAGCTTTTGACGCACCGCACGATAAGGGCGACCCCAGGGGTCACGCTCGAGACTCTCCAGCATCTCCTCTCTACACGCATCTTTGGCGCGGCAGATGGCCAGCCTCAGAGTTTTCCGAGCTTCTCGGTACTCCTCATGAAGCCGGTCCACCTCCTCACCGACCCCGCGGTGACGTCGCCGACTACGGGTGAGGGACCTCCGGGCACGTACACAGGCCGCACGGAGGTCCGCCAACTCCTGGGCTAGCGACAAACCCTATACCAACCCGTCTAGCCAGCGTTGTATACTAGGCCAAAACCTCCTTTCTAAGTAGAGGCCTATGTTCAGCAGTGGACTATTAAAGGTTGTTGATGTGATGTGTTACAACTGAAATCTTAAAAAGCATAAAATCATAATCAAAAAACCTTATTTCTAATTATTACATAGGTTATTATTGGGTTTGAGGACCTTTCTGTTAAATTTAAAATAACCCGTATTAGAAGAGTCTAAGGCTAACCAAAAAGAAAGATAAAAAGATCAAAAAGTGCACGGTTTCTATGACAGAAGGTTAATCGTAATAAAAAATCCGAAAGCCGAAATCTCAAGTAAAACGACACTCACCTAATTTCCAATAATGTTTTGGTAACCGGTTCTCCGTCGACTAGAAACACGCCCTGTTGTACTCCCACCAACATTTGCATGAACTTTGTTATGCGGTAAACGATTTTATGATCACCCAACTGAAATGAAAAATATAAGTTTTTCAAACACGTACGTTTCAAGTAACGTACCAGTAGCTTTTACGGGTAAAAGGAACTGACGAGTCATCTGATGGTAAGTGATATCTGCAACTCAAGAGACACTAGTGCGTTGCTGCATTTTGACACTTTTAGTGACCCCCCCCCCTCCCCTCCATGTACATAATTATCCCCCTTATGCTCAAAACTAGCCCCTTCAAGGGGGTTTAGGGGTAGAGATTTGGACCTTCGGTAACCTTACTGGTATTTTGTGACTGTGGTATTACTCCTGGCGAACTGGCCCAAATATGCCGAAGCATGACTCTCACAAATGAATATTATACACATATACACATTCGTTATTAACTGAGACGTTTGAAGATAACACTTACATCTTTAAGAAAGTTGTTAATCTACACCATACACAAAACACTGAATAAAATACTTACTAATCTGAATTGCTATGCACTGTACTTAAGTAGCGATATCGCCTGATAGGCTACACTACTATTTATTGAAATTAAAAACAGAATAGGTCCAACAATAGATCCCTGGGGTACTCTCATAATATTACTCGTTCTCAAACGGTTTCTTTAATCTAATAATGTAAACAGATCACATTAAATCGCTAACATATGAAGCAAATAGATTCTGTAGTAGTATTTGATTGAGTTATTTTAAAGTTTTTATTAAGAAAATCTTATGATGAATCAAATCAAAAGCTTTCGTGAGATCGCAGGACGTTTCTAAATAAACTCAGATGTATACGAAAAGTTTAAGTTTTTTTTTTATGCGGAGTTTATATTAATGCAAAACTTCAACACTTACAACATAGAAGGGAATTGCGCCCACTTCAGTTCGTCTAGTATTTGATAATAAGGGTACACCATTTAACATCACCTGCAAACAAAATGTAAGCATACATCCTAGAGAAGTACATTTGTTTTATAGAATAGGGACAAACTAGAAGATAGAGTATGTTGAGGTACATTCCCGAATGATACACTGAAGGGCGCTCAAATCGTCAAAATATGCCCTGATACGCCGCCAATCACTGATATTTGTCGCGTCATTTGCGGCCAATCGCAGCTCTTTCAATCCCTTCGAGAACTTTCATATTAAAAGCTGTAATCGTTTCTTCCGTTAAAGGCTCCGAAAGCTACAACATTTCTTTACAATTGATAACTTAACTTAATTCTTTTAAAAAATAAGTCTATATTGCAAAGTATTTTGTTTAAATTCTTTATCGCATCAGAAAATTCACACCTTTCAACTACATCATCATCAGCCTATCGTAATCCACTGCTTTACATAGCCCACTCCTATTGCACGCCGTGTGGTGTAGGATTAAGAATACAGAGTGTCACCACCCCTATTAATCCCGTGGGTATCGTAATGGTAAAGCTAATGACAGTTCTATCAAAACTCATCTAAATGTCAAACAACTTGGTTTTTTTTCGGCCACGGCAGCATGTTATGTGATATTACAAAAACAGTAGCGTTACTGTTATATTTGTTGGCAAACCAAGTCCCAGCTGTTGGCAAAAGATAGTAAATAAAAATAAACCTTGTCAACTGAACACTCTCCGCCGCATTCGTAAGAAATTTCAGTTTCAAACTGATCCCCTTCGTTCGGAGGTGGAATGACTCTGACATCTTTAATGGTCACCTCTGTAAATATAAAATTAAAATCAATCTTTACTAATATTATGAAGCTGATGAGTTTGTTTGTTTATTTGTTTGTATCTCAGGAACTCCTGGTACAAATTGAAATATACTTTTAGTGTTGGATAGCCCATGTATCGAGGAAGGATACATGCTATATAACATAACTTTACCACCAATAGGAGCAGCAACGAAAAGTATTGCAAAAAAACGGGGAAAATTTGTTCCTTTTAAGAGACTCATGAGCGGCGGTGGTCACTTTCCATCAGGTGGCCCGTCTGCTCGTCTGCCCCCTCTAACGTAAAAAAAAGACGAAGGTAGTGGTTCAGCTAGATATACAGCAAAAACATTGTTTACTTGGTAGTATCATTTTATAGCGGCCGTTTTCTTTTCACTTTATGCAAATATTATTTCAATTCTACGTAAAGAAAAAAACCATTAATTATTGATTTAGTTCATTGTCCTCTGTTTTTTGAAATATCATTGTATAATTTCTTTTTACCACGACAGGTCAACAAGAATATCATAGAGCCGTTTTCACCCTTTTCACATACATCTTAACTTACAAAACTTTGTTCGGAAATATTATCTTTCTCCACTTTTATATTTAAAACATATGTGTATTCTTATAATAATAATAATAACCTCACACATCTTACACACGGCTGCTGATCCCAAACTAGACAGAACCTGTGCCACCAGACTGCTGATAAACATACTTACATATATATTTCTAAATACATACATATTATAAATAAATTACACCCAGACACAGAGCAAACGATCGTGCTCATCACACAAATATTTGCTCTAGGTGGGAATCGAACCCACGGCATCCGGTTTAGCAGTCAGGGTTACTAACCACTAGACCAACAGGCCCGTCTTAATTTATGATATTTGCCGTTCGCCATATTTGTTTAAAACAGGTACAAAGACTTTACGTTTATAAGTATATGTTTAGATTATCATAACAGAACTCCACTTTCATATTAAACATCAACACCTAATTAGTTTAAATTGTTTTTATAAAAAATATTTATTAAAACGGTGTGAGGGGTCTATGGACCTCCAGTAGGAACGAAGTTTTTGGTAGACGTTTGCTGTATATAAACTATGAAAAAGATGTAAGCGTCGACGCGCCAACTGAAGTGTCTTAAAAGTGTCGTCACACATTTTTCGGTCTCGCTCCCACACGTGTAACGCGTGATAAGGAACTACGTTCTAAAAAAAAGACGTGTGGCACTCGGGGACTGCCGCGGTAAAGCTATTGCATAGCATTTTGTATCAACTTATGCAATTATAATTATTTATTTATTTTATTTATGCAGTATTTCTTTTTCTTTGATATTAATTCAAGTTACACTTTTTGAGCGTGGTGACCGATAAGAAAACATTTTTTTTTCTTTTATTAAATGAAAATATTAAAGCATATATTACAATTTGTTTTTAAATAAATAAATAAATAATATTATTATTAAATCAAGATTTTTCTGCATTATGTTGACGAAATTTCCTTTGACGTTCAGCATTTGATTTTGGTACTGTTTTTTGTTTTGTTTTTAGCGTGAGGTTTTTTTTCGTTACGGAATTTCTGGATTCGGTCCCCGCGCTCAAGGCCCTCGATAGAAGCTATGCAATAGCTTAAAAAATTGTTAACTCTTTAGTTACGAGATCTACTATAATAATCATACCTTATCTATAATATGTATGTATTTTGAAATATATAAGTATGTTTATCAGCAGTCTGGTTACCATAGTACAGGCTCTGCCTAGTTTGGGATCAGACGGCCGTGTGTGAGATATATTATATTATACTTCTCTGTGACAAAAGAATGAAAATCTAAAAAAGGAAACTTACGCTTAGCTGTAAAATTTAAAAAAAAGTTACTTACAGTATACATACAACACCCACACTTATAACGCCGAAGGTTTAAGCAGATCCGTATTTAACACCTATATTTAAATCCATCATCATCATCATCATCAACAGCCTTTACGAGGGTAGGTGTCGCAAGTGACGACTATAGGACTATAGGTATTGGGACCAAACGTTACTACTGCCACCCACGGACACATACAACTCTTCATCATCAACAGCTGGTAATAACGACGACTGGATGGCGTAGTGGTTTGTGTATCGGACTATTATTCCAAAGGTTGCTGGTTCGATTCCCGCTCAGGTCAAAGATTTGTGTGCCTGAATATTTAATGTTTGATTTGGTCTGGGTGTTTCTATGGTTAATATGTATGTATTTACAAAAAAAAAGTATCGTTGTATTTATATCAGTTGTCTAGTAAGTACCCATGTTACAAGCTCTGCTTAGTTCGGGACTAGATGGCGTTGTGTGAATGTGGTAGAATATAAAAAAAAAACGGTTTACTGTGTCTGTAAAGTCGGTTTACTGACGATAGTTGAACGTGACAACGTCATAAGAAAATACTGATGGAATGGTTGCATTTTTCAAAAATGTATTATTGTATACGAGTAGCAGCTGTCCACGCGGACGCATCGCTCACTCAAGTAGGAGAGAGACAGATGTCGAACGCTGCCGAACGCGGAGGCCGATTGTGCCTCTTTGTCACTCGTTCCGCGCTCTCGCTTGCACTTCACGCCTTAAATGGAATGCCTCAGAGCGAGGTAACGCCGCATGAGTCATGTTTTTTCGTGCGTGCAGCCGGCTCCAAGAAATTATAAGACGTTGTCACGTCAAAAACTACTGCTACATAGGCCTCTCCTTAGAAAGGATGTTTTGGTCCAGACGGGTTGGTATAGGGTTTGTGTCAACTTTTCCTTCTCTTTGCAGTGCTGTTGTTCTGCGTAGTTTGCTCCCTTAATCGGCTCTTATGACACCCACGGAATGAATAGGAGTGGTGACACTTCATACTCTTAATCCGTCAGCACAACCAGCAACCTATATATATATATAATTTGCTAGGTTACTTATATTATTTGGTGTCCTCCACTTAATTTGGAGCCAGTCTGTTACCGTCAATCGGGCATTTTGAAGAATCAAGTAGGGAAAATTGGGAGGATGTTTAAAGGGAAAAGTAGTAACTTTATGGTAGGGGGGAGGGGCATAAACGAGCTGACGGGTCACCTCAGGGGCGGGTCGTGAATTAATTGCGCCATGGGCAAATACTATTTAGGAGCCTTTGTAGATGGGAGTGGAAAATTCGTTCGGATCTCCGGCTCCTTGGGGACGCAGTAGCTAGAAATATGTGGTGTTAAAACTAAATGGCCCGCCTAAGGCACCCTACTCTGGGGAGGACACGGTCTATTATTTTCACTGGAGACTTGGGGCCCTTGATATCCACGAAGCCAAGCGCTAAATCCGCCCTTGGCTCACCTAATGGTAAGTGACTAATGCGACGCATTGATACTTGGAACTGAAGTCACAGTTCTCACAGTAATATCAGACACCTCACCCACCATCTTACGGACGCTCATTGGTCAAATCAAATAGTACGCGCTTTCTTGACTTCCTGTTACAGGTTTCCGTCCCTCTTCATGACTTAAATTCCATAGATCGCAGGAAAGTGAGATAAAGGATATTAATCATCAAACTAGTTACAAAATTATGTTTTACGAACTCAAAAATATACTTACAATCATCTGAAATCAAAATAAATGTTAATTATTTATTCAATTGTATGTTAAATACAGTAATGATAAAAGAAATTAGGAAAAGCCGCGCCAAAATCACGCAAGTGATGTTCTGTGCGGAGTAACTACGAGAGCGATTCTGACATCAATACGCCCGTTGACATACTTAAGGTCAATGAATTGTGTTATTTAATTTAAGGGTGTACAATTCATATATTTTTGTTCTATTTATTTATTACCTGTGGCTAAACTGCTAATTTTCAAATCGTCGAAGAATTACGTACATCACCGTATTTTAAAAAAATATGTGATAAGGTACGTTCCACTTTGTATATATAATCTTAGTAAGCTGAAGAGGTTGTTTGTTAGTTTAAAAGCGTTAATTTTGGGAACTACTGTCTCGAATTTAATAATTCTCTTAGAGTTATATAGCCCATTTATCGAGGAAGGTTATAGGCTATTTAAAATCACGCTACGACATTGGTCGTACCTATTGAGGAGGCCAGCATCACTGAAACACGTTGCAAAAACGATGAAATTGCACGGGTTAACTAGGAATAATTTATTTTAACTTACTTTCGAGGACTGCTATTATATTGTAGTAGCTTGTATCACCTTTCTTGAACGTGACCATATAAACGCATGAGTTTAAATCTTCAAAACTAAAGAAAATAATAAACAAATATAATAAGAAAATAATAAACAACAAAAATTATAAACAGTACAATACTAGTAGAGTACTTCTGCCGACAAACTGTTTTTACATTTTAACAGACTTTAAGCATGAAAAATATGTATTTTAAATCTATACTAATATTATAAAGCTGAAGAGTTTGTTTGTTTGTTTGAACGCGCTAATCTCAGGAACTACTGGTCCGATTAAAAAAATTCTTTCAGTGTTATATAGCCCATTTATCGAGGAAGGCTATAGGCTATATATCATCAGGCTAAGACCAATAGGAGCGGAACACCAATGAAGAATGTTTCAAAAACGGAGAAAATTTATTACTATTGAGAGACGCAGACGAAGTTGCGCGGGTTAGCTAGTGTTTAATAAAGAGAAAAAGAAAAGAAATTTCGAGAACATTCAATAAGTAACTTAACTCCTTTTTTTTTATGCCCTTTTTATATAAATTAGAACCTTAATCCTCATGTTAGAAGCTACAAAGCTGTTTGCATGTAAAAAATCTTTTGTAATTATTTCATCATCAGCATCATCACTCCACTGCTGGACATAGATCTCTCTTAGGAAGGAGGTTTTGGCCTACTATACCACTCTGGCCAGACGGGTTGGTTTGTTTTAAGTTTTCCTTCTCTTTACAGTGTTGTTGTCCTGCGCAGTTTGCTCCCTTGCCAAGCCATGGCATCGAATAAGTAGGATTACCAGACCTGAAATCTCCTTCTTTCCCAACCCTGGACCTGGACCTGGACCTATGAGGAGTGTCAACTTGTGTCTCTCGAACTACAGGCGGTAGTCATTTATCACCTGGTGGCTTGTTTGCTCGTTTGTTCTCTTTTCATGTTATTATTTTGCGTTTGGAGGGGGGAGGGCTCAGAGGATGGAAACCTACTTGTCACTCTTAAGTTGCAGGTGTCACGGGCGGTATTTGCTTACTATCCGGTGACCAGACTGCCTGTCTATGACTCTGTGTTGACTATAGGAAAAAGAAACTTAGATTGCCTCGGTGGCGCAGTGGTGGCGTATGTAACCGCTGTATTGGCAAATGTTTGTATGATCTACAAACATTGGTTTCGGAGTTTGGGTCTCTTCTATGTATTATAATATACGTACTAGCTGAGACCCGCAGTGTTTTATAACCGCGGGCAACGCCGCGGGGCAAAGTTAGTCTAAAAAAAGTAGCCTAAGTTACTCCTTATGTCATCAGCTATCTGCCAGTGAAAGTCCCGTCGAAATCGGTCCAGCCGTTCCAGAGATTACCCGGCACAAACAGACGGACAGACAGACAGACAAAAATTGAAAAAAATGTTATTTTGGCATATGTACCGTGTAAACATACATATGCATTTAGTAAAAAGCGGTTATTTTAATATTACAAACAGACAATCCAATTTTATTTATTTGTATAGATTTACCAAAACAAAGTATGTAAGTATTTTATCAGTAAATCTAGTTTACATAGTACAAGCTCTGCTTAGTTTGAAACTAAATGGCGTTGTGTGTCAGATATCCGAAAAATATTTATCCAATATTCAAACCTTTGGATGTCGAAACTAAATATAAGAGATGTTCGCTTCATGACGGTGATGAAGTGAGAATCCAGCATACTGTCTCCGTTACACACGAGGGCTGTCACTTCACAGTCCGTACATTTGCATTCGACCTCTTCGTGCAGAGGTTGCCCGACTGTGGCTGACTTCCTTAACGTAGTGACTTGCAACACTGAAACAAAAAAAAAAGTAGTATTCACAGAGTTCTGGCGGGAATTTGAACTGAAAGGACGGAGGATTTTAGACAGATTCCCGCCTAGAATCCCCATTTGAACATTGAAGTGAAGTGGAAATAGTGAAGTTATCTATCAAAAATTAAGACTTGGCTTAAAGGTCTTGTTACCAGGCTATAAAAATACAATAAATAAAAAAAAATGTAGTATTCACAACTGGCCAGAAGATTAACTCTCGGAATAAAAATTCGTTCGATATTCAGTTACTATTTACTCTGATTCACAAATGTCATAAAATATATTTTCGTAGGAAAGTATTAAACATTCAACGTTGACTGTGATGTGATGGGTTGCGTGGGGCATACTGTTACGTGGGGCATGCTACTATGTTACGTGGGGCATACTGAAAGTCTCTGTATCTGGCCACTTACAATAAAATAATGAAAAAACAATTATGGAATTCAATAAAAGTCACCGATTCAACTTTCGGTCACAACACAATTACATTACAATCAACGTTTAATACTTTAAGCAGGATAGAGATGCTCTTTTGTATATTTATCCTGAGTTAATTAACATAATTATAATGAGAATATTGCTGTAGTTTCATTAAAAGTTCTTTTCTGTACCGTAATAATTAAATATATGTAAACTTACCATTGTCTGTGGAAACAAATAAAGAAAATTAATTAATTTCTTTTTTAAGGCATACAGGTAATAGACGGGTCAAAAAAGAAAAAGGAAAGAATCTAACAGCATGAAGAGTATAGATACTTAAAGTTTTATTCTTGAAAAATTCAAGTAGCGATGAACTAAATATTCTAGGATAAAATTCCTAAGGACTTATATTATAATTTATAAAATGAAATTTTAAATTACTGCAATTTTGAGAAAAAATCGTTTTTACTTTGGTATAATTTTTTTAGACCCAAACTTTTGCTATCGATGCCCAAGAAATATAAAATGACAAGTCTTTTATTTCTCTAAAAAAAAACTACTCCCGCACTAGGAATAAGATCCTGTGTCGCGGGGGATTTTACAAACATACATGAAACGGACACAAAGAACACCCAGACTCAGAACAATTTGTGGCCCACACAAAGTGTCGTCCCATGTGGAGTTTGAACCCACAACACTCTACGTCGACTCGGCGGTGGCTTAAACCACTACGCCATCTGTGCCGCCATAACCTTATTTTGACGCAGTCGGGTAAAAATGGTATGGTAATAATATTTTACGTAGCCGATGTTTACTCACCATCATCTGCAATAAAACGAAATAAAATATTGATTTACTTTTGATTTTCCTTTTTTTTATTGATAATACAATGCAGCGGCTGGCTGTGAAACCACCTCCTCCTCAGCTCGCGGACCGCCTCACCTAAGCCTCACGGGCTTAAATTACAGTCTAGGGGTAGGGGTAGACAAGACTACGTGGAGTCAGTTTTGCAGCAAACTTTTAAGATAATATTTTAATCTAAGGGTTACAAATTCTATTTTATATCAATATACCTCATAAAATTATTCCAAATAAAATTGTACCCAATAATTGTCGTTCTAAATAAACGTTATGCGGTAATTTAACTGTGCCAAAGGTAAATGCTAAATAAAATTATGCCATCTTAAAAGTATGCCACTGTAAATTCGGACTTATAAACATTCGACCAAACAATAATTATACTAAATAATTTTATGACATCAAAATATTCGTTGAAAGAAGATTCTGCCAAGTGTGTTATGCAAAATAAATTTCGGAGCAACAAGATTCTGCCAGATACCCACAAATTATACATAGAAAACACCCAAACTCCGAAACCAATATTTGCTGATCATACAAACATTTGTTCCGACCCGGGAATCGAGCCCGAGACCTCAGCATAGCAGTCGCATACGCTACCACTGCACGACCGAGGCAGTCTTTAAATAATACATACATATACAAATACATACATATTATAGATATGCTACACCCAGACACAGAACAAATGATCGTGCTCATCACACAATATTTGTCCTGCGTGGGAATGGAACTCACGACCTCCGGTTTGGCAGTCAGGGCCACTAACCACTAGACCAACAGGCCAGTCAAGTTGGGAATCGAACCCTCCTAAGTTAATCAATAAACAAACATTAATATAATGCGAGACCATTAAGTATAATGTTAAATAAACAAAAAATTCATAATTACCTATCTCTGAAATAAAAAACACAAAATTAGTTGCACAATAAAAGGTCAAGTTCAAGATTAAAATAAAATACCTGAGATGGTAAAAATGTATAAGTAGTTTCTTAAAACTTTCCAACCGGAGTTTTAATTTTTATAATTTTCATGAACCCAGTGTCACTCTTACAATTAATCGTTTACAGAGGCCTCAGAGGGCCAAGTGCGAGTTTATTTCACATCAACGCGCTCTTGATAGCGCACGCGTTCGGATCTACGATTGGCCCACACAATCTCCACCAATTGCAACGCTAAACGCGCTCGCCGTTGAGACACACAACTTTGTAGGTATATCGAGGACCGATGACAATACAATTATTAAAAAAAAAATTGTTTAAAAAAACTAAAAAACATGATTTTATGGAAAACCAAATAAACCAAACTAAATAATAGAAAATAAAATTTAATAAATTTGAAAAAAAAGCGTGGGGTGCTTTTCACTATTGACAACAGGCACCAAACGCTTTTTTTCGAATTTATTAAAATTTTCTATAAAAGCGTGTTTTTTAGTTTTTTTTAAAACTATTTTTTTTAATGATTGTATTGAAGTCTAGGCAGTGTAGTAAGCAGTAGATCAAAACTTCCTTTTTAACAAGTGGCCCATGTCTAGCAGTGGGCTGTTAATGGTGCTAAGTCTGTTGTTCAAAAACTTTCTAAACTAAACTAAAAATCGCTAAAAAAAAAACTGTCAAATATTACGTTTTCAGAATAGGAAAGATTGTTTGACAGAACTAAACAAATTTTTAGTGATTTTTAGTTTAGTTTAGAGAGTTTCGAACAACAGAATTAGCACCAATAGCTGTTGATGTATAGTAGACAGACGCGATGGAGCCGCCGTGGCTATGACGAGGCGGCTTTGATGCTGCGGCCGTTGCGACAGAACCAATTTGTTTAAAAAAGTAATTTATTTTTCTAAAACTTACCCGGTACTGTAAAGAAAAAATATGTAAATTAGTAATAGACAATAACACATTATTATGAAAAGTAGTGGGTGAGAAGTAGATTCGAAGGTAGACTGAGAAAATGCTCGAGGTATTCAATCCGCCATTATACTATCGAAATTTATGCATAAACTATTAAAAAAAACAGTGGCGCTTCGGGAGTGCCGACACAAGTGAAAACTTATATACAGAAGCGTCAGTAACGGTAACAGTGTCGCGAGTTCAATTGTTTTTTCCAATCTGAAAACAAAAATACATTCTTTTGTTTGTTGTCCAAAAGAAGTTTTCACTCCCAGGTTAAACATTTTTTCAATCTTTTTTTTTTGAGTAGCAAACGAACATGTGATGGGATAGTAAGTGGATACCTGTTAGTCAAGAGTCAAACGGGGTTTGCTGTCTTTGAGTCCATCTCAGAAGCTCATCTGAGCTCCGTTGGCCACACTGACTCGGTAAAAAGCTACAAAAAATTACTTCCTTTCACGAGTCTTGCGCTATCGTAATAATAATAATGAAGTAGCAGTGGTTTTGTAAATCAGTCATAGATAAGACGATATCATTTTCATATCATATGATTTATCACATATGATTGTGATTTTATTCCATTCCTACTTAATATTAGTTTTATTCGAGGCCTTGGTATTCCGGTCGAGTCGGCCTATTTGTTCCGAGGCATGTCTCTGCCGAGTTTAATACTTTTTTTCCTTTAAAAAGACAACTCCCGCACTAGTAATATATATTATGTGTCGCGGTTGACGTTACAGACATACATGAAACGGACACAAAGAATACCCAGACTAAGAACAACAATTTGTGGATCACACAAAGTGGTGACACAAACCCTATACCAACCCGTCTGGCCAGCGTGGTATAGTAGGCCAAAACCTCCTCTCTAAAGAGAGGCCTATGTCCAGCAGTGGACTATTAAAGGCTGTTGATGTGATGATGTGATGTGTGACAAAGTGGTGTCCCATGTGGGGATCGAACCCACAACATAGCGTAGTAGGAAGCGGTGAGGTGACCGCTTATACCATTGCGTCGTACGTGCAGTCGCAAATAAAGGAGATTGCCAGCGGACGCCAACGATCTACTACTTTTGAGAGCGTAAGTAAATATTTTTGAGTTTTAAATTCTTATTAAGGTTATGTATTTTAAGTAAGTAAATAAACATTAATATAAATAACTAGCTGCATCTTGCCACATTGTGGTTAAATTGATGAGAAACCAGGAACAAAATTGACGTGAAAAATTGATAAAAAAATCTTTAGAGCTATATCGTGTCAAAATTTGAGGTCAATCGATACAGAACTTTTTGAGTTTTTGAAGCGTACACAAATCAACTTAATATTTTATAAACATAGATAAATACATTAGACGGGAGAGAGATAAATACATTAGACTGTCAAATTGACAACTGTCACTTATGTCAATTTCGCTTCTCAAATACTAGGTTTTAAATGTATTCTTATAGAAAGTCAGGATGAAAATAGAATACTTAATATTTTATAAATATATATAAATTACACGGAACTGTCAAATTGACAACTGTCACTTATGTCAATTTCGCTTCTCAAATGCTAGGTTTTAAATGTATTCTTATAGTAAGTCAGGATGAAAAATGGAATAAGCACTTAATATTTTATAAATATAGATAAATTACACGGAACTGTCAAATTGACAACTGCCACTTAGGTCAATTTCGCTTCTCAAATACTAGGTTTTAAATGTATTCTTATAGAAAGTCAGGATGAAAAATAGAATAAGTACTTAATATTTTATAAATATAGATAAATTACACGGAACTGTCAAATTGACAACTGTCACTTATGTCAATTTCGCTTCTCAAATACTAGGTTTTAAATGTATTCTTATAGAAAGTCAGGATGAAAAATAGAATAAGTACTTAATATTTTATAAATATAGATAAATTACACGGAACTGTCAAATTGACAACTGTCACTTATGTCAATTTCGCTTCTCAAATACTAGGTTTTAAATGTATTCTTATAGAAAGTCAGGATGAAAAATAGAATAAGTACTTAATATTTTATAAATATAGATAAATTACACGGAACTGTCAAATTGACAACTGCCACTTATGTCAATTTCCCATCTCAAATACTAGGTTTTAAATGTATTCTTATAGAAAGTCAGGATGAAAAATAGAATAATGTTTATGGTTTAGGATTATACTCGTAATATGCGTATTCTATAATATGCAAGTATTCTCCTTGTACTACGCGTGATTTCAAAGGGTCACTAATTCCCATACAAATCCTACTCCTTACCCCTTTCGCCTCTCCTTCTCCGATCTCCTTTACACAAGAGACACTAAGAGAAACGCTTAGATAGTTCCACTCTTTTAATTAGAGATGAAGGCAACCCAATAAACTATTATTACTGAATGAAAACTCACGTTTTATGATCAGAGCTTTAAGGCGCTCTTCAGTTCCATCAGCCAAGGTGATGTGGGCGAAATACTCTCCGTAGTCTTGAAACGTTACTTGGTCAATATCAATGTCGAGATTGGCGTGCCTGTCCAAATAAATATAGTTAATTAGTACATCACACACACGGCCGTCTGATCCTGAACTAGGCAGAACCTGTACTTTGGTAGCCTGAAGGACAAGTCTCGTAATAAAAATTCGTTCAAAATTCAGTTCCGGTCTACACTCGATCTCACAAAAAAAGGTATTCTCGTAGTAAAGTTTTTTTTTATGGATGAGGGGGCAGACGAGCACACGGGTCACCTGATGTATAGTGACTACTGCCGCCCATGAACGGCTGCAACTCAGGAGTCACAAACTCATTGCCGGCCTTTTAAGAAGGAGTACGCTCTTTTCTTGAAAGTTTGAAGGTCAAGGCAGACGATAACTTGTTCCTCGGATTAGTTGTGCGAGGCAAAAAGTGACTTGAAAAGCGCACCAATTATCCAAGTGATGTATTAAATATCCAACGTTGACTGTAATGTGTTTGTATCGTGTTGTTATCGAAAGAATACTGCTAGTCTTAGTAATACTTTACTACAAATATACCTTACATATAACAACAACAATTTTTAAAGCTAATAAAAGGTGCAAGAAAGTGAAAAATAAGGGAGGAAATTCTAGTATCTAGTATAAAAATGAAATTAAGAATAAAAATAAAATAAAGTTAAGTTAGAATATTTACAACATTTACACTATCTACATACAAGCATCAAAAAATTCCTCCGCATCATCGCCTACTGGTAGCGTTCCCAGAAGACTGGCAGCATTGCCACGTTGAATGGCAATGGTAATTCTCTGTGCTAGAAAAAGACCAGCCTTCTGATCACGAGAAGTGTCAATCAGTATGTTTAAGTACCTTACATGACATTTATGCGATCAAGAATACCAGCACTGAACCTTGAAAGAATTTTTATTACGAGAATTGAGCTTCAGACTGCTAGAAATCATACTTATAAATTTCTAAATACATACATATTATATACAAAAAAAGTCGTGTGGTGTCGTGGGACACCCGATAGGAACGAAGTTGTTACGATCGAGTAAAACTGATTAGACACGATTTTAATTACAACGCCATCTATGAAAGCGGCTATTACCCACATATTTTTCAGTTGGTTTCTAATTAAAACAATTTATACATTGGTAAAATCTCCTTGAGAAATGATGTCGAATACAATATTTTTTGCTCAACCTAAGAACATAAATTTTAATTTTACTATTCGATAGATGGCGCTGAATGACTGACAAGTGACAATTCAAAATAAAAAGTGTCGTGACCAATTTTCGTAAGAATTTTTTCCGTCTAGCTCCCTTTCACAACGCGCGATAAGGAACTTCGTTCCAATAACACTCAGACACAGAAGTAATGAAAGTATTCGTCACCCAATTATTAATCATGGGTCAGTCAAGAACGCTAACAGTATAAAAGAACAACAGCTCAGAATATTTGACACGATTTTTGCAGAGTAGTGTGTATGTGTGGAATTTTGATAGAGTTTAATTATATTATAGTTTTATTGTGTGGTACTATCCGTGTGGTGACGGATTAAGAATACGGAGTGTTACCACCCCTATTCATGACGTGGGTGTCGCAGGAGCAAACTACTTGGGACAACAGCACTGCAAAGAGGAGGAAAACTTGTAAAAACCCTTTTTTTTTTTTATCGTGTGGAAATCCCCTCGGACCGTCAAACCGCCGGGGCTCTTGTTCGGCGGGCGGTGTGTCGGACTCGAACCGACTAAAACCACACGGTGTGCCCTCTTTGCGCTTCCAGTTTAGGAGGGGCCAGGTAGCTATCTCCTTCTGGACCCCTCCCAGCGCGGCTGGCCAAACTAATGTGGGTGGAGGGGAGAACCCATCCCATCCACCCGCGGCCACACTCAGGGCGGCATGAGGCGCAGATGAGCGCGCCTGCGCCGCCCGGTTCGCCGGCGGCGGATCGGGTCCGAGTGGAGGTCGTCCTCTCGGGCCTTCTCCGCCGCGTCCTTCTGCGAGATTACTTCCTCGCAGAAGGTTGCGACCGCGGTAAAACAACTGTCGCTACCGGCCATGGAGCGAACTACGGCCGGTAGCGAGAGATCCGTTCCGATGACTGCAGTGAGGGCCCGGCGCTGCGTCGCCCATGCGGGGCAGACCGCCAGCGTATGCTGGGCCGAATCCTCACTGCAGTCGCAGTGGTGGCAGGCGGGACTCGATTCCCTCCTAGCGACCGAGTACAGGTACTTTCCGAAGCAACCGTGCCCGGAAAGCACCTGCGTCAGCCGGAAGGAAAGGGTCCCGTGCTGCCGCCCTGCCCACTCGGCGATGACCGGCTGGAGAGCCTCCACGGCGGCGAAGCCAGCGCGTGGAGTCTCCAGCCGGAACGACCATCTGACCATGGTGGCTCGGCGAGCGGCTTCGCGCCACTCGCGCACGTCTTCGGGCGGAGGGCGAAATCCGCTCTCCGCCCGGAAGTCAGCCACTCGCCGATAAACTTTGGCGAGCACTTCCACCTCCAAATCCCACGGGGGTGTTCCGGCCAAGGCGCAAGCCGCCTCGGTGGACACCGTGCGGTATCCGCGTATGGCTCTGACCGCCAATATCCTCTGTGGGCGCCAGAGGCGCGCCCTATTCGGGGCGGTCAGAGCCGCCACCCACACCGGTGCACCATAAAGCACCATGGACCGGACAACCCCCGCGTACAGCCGCCTCGTGGGAACACTGGCCCCTCCCAAATTGGGCAAAAGTCGCCCTATGGCGGAGGCAGTGTCCACCAGCTTCGGACCAAGCTGTCGGAAGTGCTCGTCGAAGAGCCACCTACCGTCTAGGACCAGACCCAGGTACCTCATCTGGGCCCGGACCGGTACGAGGACCGAGCCGACCTCGATTGAGGCGCCGACGGGTGGACCACGACGGGGCCCATGGAATAATAGGGCCTCCGTCTTATCCAGGGCCACCCGTAATCCCAACGCCTCAATGCGCCCGACCACCTGGGAAACTTCCGTGGCGGCCAGGCGCGCCGCCTCCTGGAAGTTAGCCCCCCGGGCCGTGACTAAAGTGTCATCCGCGTAGCAGATGACACCCAGCCCGGGGGGGAGACGCCCTCGTTGGGCCCAGTCGTACCCGATGTTCCACAGGAGAGGTCCTAGGACAGACCCCTCCGGAACACCGCACGACATGGCCCTGCGTCTCAAGACGCCATCTCGGTCCTCGTACATGACGGTTCGAAACTTGTAAAAACCCTATACCAACCCGTCTGGCCAACGTGGTATAGTAGGCCAAAACCTCCTTTCTGATGAGAGGCCTATGTGCAAAGGCTGTTGATAATGATAGTTATATTGTGATATGCGGTGAGGCCAAGCCAAGATAGGGCAGGCAAGGCTAGTTTTATGATACAAAAGTGTGAACAGTAGCGAAGCGAATTGACAGCTCCAAAGGATATTAAATTGTTCAGCGCCATCTATAACGGGCTTGTCGAACTATATGTTAGTGTCCCTGACATGATCATTTGTTCTGTGTTTGAGTGTCATTTATCTAAAATACATAAGTATGTTTATCAGGCTCTGCCTAGCTTGGGATCAGACTGCCTAGAGCGAGAAGTGGAAAGTTATTGGAGTTTACTCCTTAAGAATCGATTATCATATAAGGCGCTCATTATGCAAAATATGAAGAGTAAAATTTAGTGATCGAATGACCTCGTTACGTTTTTTGTGCGCAACCTATCGTGCTCACCTTTCACATGTGTGTGTATAACTTGTTTACTTGTGTGCAACCGAATCATTCTTAACGATTAAACTGCTGTCGTGAGTCGGAGCTGACACACACTTTTTTATATTTATAACAAAACAGCAATTCATATTACAACTTGCTTACGTGTCTGTTATTCTGTGTATTCTGAATTTAGAAGTCTCCAAATTCTTTATGGAGCCGTCATCAGCTCTCAACATGATAACTTTGCAGTGGCAATGGTCACAGGTCATGTTGATTTGAGTTTGGTTCAGTTTCTCGCCCGGCAGCGCTATAATTTCCACTGGTGTTAAGTCGGTGATGGCTTCAGCTGAAACGACACGATTAAAATTATCAATTGAGTTAGTAAAGTGGGTGTCAGTTAGAATAAGAAATCTTACAGGATTTCTTCTCCACCCAAGAGAATGTCCTGGGCTTTAAGCCAGCCGATGTACGTAAGTGCATTTAGTTACAATATAATTATATTTTAAATGTAAGTTTGTTTGGTACGCTTTCTTGTCTTAAATACTAAACCGATTTTAAAAACTCTTTCACCAATAGAAAGCTACATTACCAGCGAGTAACATACTTTTTACAGAGATAAGCGACATACACGCAGGTGGAGCTGCGGGGAAAAGCTAGTTAAATAGTTATATAAATAAACTAGCTGAGACCCGCGGTGTTACACGCGTTTGTTGTTATAACCGCGGGCAACGCCGCGGGGCGAAGCTAGTCTAAAAAAAGTAGCCTAAGTTACTCCTTATGTCATCAGCTATCTGCCAGTGACAGTCTCGTCTAAATCGGTCCAGCCGTTCCAGAGATTACCCGGAACAAACAGACAGACATACAGACAGACAGACAAAAATTGTAAAAAATGTTATTTTGGCATATGTACCGTGTAAACATACATATGCATTTAGTAAAAAGCGGTTATTTTAATATTACAAACAGACACTCCAATTTTATTTATTTGTATAGAAGATAAAAATGTCCGTCGAGAGTTTTAAGCTACACTCCTTTTCAATGTGTTATTTTTACAAGTTTAGTTGTTACATTGTTTATTGTTTTTTTCTTTTTTTAAGAGACAGCTCCCGCATTAAGAATATATTCTGTGTTGCGGCTGCTTTACAAACATACATGAAACGGACACAAAGAACACGCAGACTCAGAACAACAATTTGTGGGTCACACAAAGTGTCATCCCATGTGGGGTTTGAACCCACAACACTCGGCGTAGTAGGAAGCGGCTTGGCGATCGCTTAAACCACCACTACTTTATATATTTTTTATGGTGTAGGTGGCATAAAAGCAAGCGGGTCTTCGGATATAACCGCAATAAATGAATACCACATAGACACTGGCAGCTTTAGAAACAAAGTGCGTTGAGTTTCCAAATCCCCCCTCTTTCCCCCAATGTTGAGTTGGGATCCCAGTAATCTCATTAACTCGGTTAAAAATAAAAATAAAAATATATTCAACACAGTCTTTCTGTAAGGCATAGCATCACTCCGGAATCATTTAAGTGCCGAAACATGGCTGTCACGCAGTAAAATTTGTAGGATTTTAAAAATGTCTTACTAAAGTCCACCAATTCTATTAACTTTGGCATTTGCTTTGGATCACTGATGTTGTCAAAACGAGCGAAGTACAGTCCAATGTCGGGAGGTTCCATAGGCATGAATTTTAGACTGATTTGAATTGTATCATCACGTTCTTTGTAAGTTACTTCTATATTCTGAAACATACATAAAATTACGCCTGTAGCCTGCTGCGTAGCTGTGACTTAATAACAACAACATTTTGTGAAATATTATTTAGAAATTATGGTAAGACTGCATTTTGTGACGTCCTCAGTGTGTTTTGGAAGTTGTAAATTAAAAGGGAACTTAGGTACCAAGGAGTTAGGCATGGTGTCAATTCGGGGAGGACCTGAAATAACATGGTCCGGCTCCTCCCCAGAGTAGAACACCTGAGGCAGGCCGGGGTGGTTTTTAGTGGAATCACCACATACTCCTGGCTCCTGAGTCCCCGAGGAGCAGGAAATCCGAAGGGATTTTCCACCCCCTCAACAAAAAAAAAGGTACCAAGGAATTTATCATCTAATAACAATAATTCAATATACATAATTCACTATAGCAATCTATAGCAATTTAAGTATTTCGATTTCTTTGATAATTTATATGGCAGAACAACGTTTGCCGAGTATGCTAGTATTATAATAATAAGCTGAACCGGTTCCGTCTTTTTAATTGAAAAAAAAACTCTCTGTGGTCAGTCCCTCATATCTGAGCATCGTGGTTAGCATCAGGGTTGCAACTAGAGCGGATGACCTGCATCCAATGGGTTCTTTCCAGCCTGTCACTTACGACCGTGTAGAAATTGAAGAGAGACAGGTGTTTTGAAATAAAATGAACCTATCTTAACTGTCGAGAGAGATCAAATTACAAAACAAATAAGTGCTAAATTCGTTTTAGTTTTAGAGTTTTCTATAAACAATCCAACCAGTTTTTCAAAATTACAATTCTTTAGTGTAGATTGGAATCTGGAAACTTAAAAGAATATTACACTTACCTTGTGATTCTGGAAAATAATATTCGTATAGTTTTAAAATTAGTTTTAGATATATTTTTCTAACTGCAAACTCTTGACAGCCTAAAAGGCTTGCTGTTGCTTTTTATGAGGAGGGGCAAACGAACAGACGGGTCATTTGATGGAAAGCAACTACCGCCGCTCATGAACGCCTGCAACTCAGGAGTCACAAGCGCGTTGCCAGCCTTTGAGAAAGGCGTATGCTCTTTTCTTAAAGGTTTGAAGGTCGTATCGGTCCAGAAATACCGAAGACTATAACTTGTTCCACAGATTGGAGTGCCAATTATCCAAGTGATGGGAATGAAAATTTTGCCATATGGAACGATAACGGCAAGTTGCGGTATTAATCAGAACAATTCCTCGGAGCACTCTCCATACGATAAAGAATGCATATCGTCATGATGGTAGAATAATGTCTGTTTTGAAACAAATACGAAATTCAGTTTTTACAACATTTGGATACCACATTGTCTAAATATTATTACAACAATAAAAAAATATAATATATGTATTTTAGATTTTAAATTATTCAGTGTTTGTTTGATAGACGCTCAAAGTAAAATGAAACATGTGATTTTTCTAGAAAACAACAACAAACCCTATTTTTTAATTGTATGCCAATTTTCATAATTACAGATCTAGAATTAAAAAAAGTTATGTCAAAAAAAACATAATTATTTATTTAAAATGGCTGCCCTGTAAAGTTCAATAAATGTCAGATCACACTATTCTAAGACTATGATGATATGTGTGTGTGTGTGTTTTAAAACTTGTATAAATTATATATTTTGATTATTCATAATATTTAGGTTATTTACTTACACTTTCAACACCTAGCCTAGTACTTATTCGATCCTGTGGAAAAACATGTCACAATAGCTTTAAAGAACTTTATTATACTTAAGAACGTTATATTCCACTTAGTGAGCATAATATTAAAATAAACAAAGTAATAACAAGGAACAGCGATCGTAGGTTTCTAAATCAATGACTCATAAAGTTAAAAAAACAGATTGCATTGTCTTATGTACTCACTATTATATATTTAATGTGTGTCAATATTATATATTTATTATAACATCATCATCATCAGCCTATCGCAGTCCACTGCTGGACATAGGCCTCTCCCATTTATTATATAAGTAATCAATTTTAAATCATTTTATTATCTAGGTATACTTATGTTATAAATGTGAAAGTAAGATTATTTGTTACGCTTTACGCCTAAAAACTGAACCGATTTTAAAAATTCTTTCACGAATGGAAAGCTACATTATCAGCGAGTAACATCATCATCATCAACAGCCTATAATAGTCCACTGCTGGACGTAGGCCTCACCTTAGAAAGGAGGTTTTGGCCTACAACACCACTGACTGGCCAGACGGGTTGGTATAGGGGTTGTGTCAAGTTTTCCTTCTCTTTGCAGTGCTGTTGTCCTACGTAGTTTGCTCCCTTAGTCGGCTCTTACGACACCCATGGGATGAATAGGGGTGGTGACATTCCGTATTCTTGATCCATCACCACACGGATAGATATACATTACTAAATACATTAGTATAAACTTATATATTGCTAAGTTGGTGTGTTGTCAAAACTCAAACATTTCTGCTCCGATTGAGCTCAGACAACCAGCTTTAAAGATGGTTTTTATTTATTTTTCGCGTCACTTTTATTCCTCATTTAATATAACGTATTATCAACGCACAATGTGCCAAACTTCGCTGTGTCACATTGTGCGTTGATAATACGTTACAGCTGGTTATGTGTCAATGACATGCAGACACAGATGCAGACACGCGTGATAATCAAGTTCAAGGCTCAACAGTGATATCACCCAACGACTAGACCAACAGGTCAATCGAGCCAATTGCGTGGAACTACTGGTAAAGTTTTAGTCCATTCGAGTTAAGAAAGTAGTGACGCATCGATATATCTCCGCACCCTGACCAATCAGTTTCCAAGCTTTCGTACGAAACGATAATTTGCAACCTGATTGGCCAAGAGGCCGGGCTTTAGTATAGTCATGACTCTCGTCTAAAACAAGTTATATGTCCAAAATCTCGTAGTGCACAAATGACTTGGAGTATCTTATGCCTAGCAACCAGAGTTGGTTATACAAACCTTGCGCCGGGGACCACCACCAGGTATCGGTAAATACTTCCCAACACCACTATATTGCATTCCTGGTGGGATTTTAATTGTCACCTTGCTGTTTTCAAAGAGTGGTGGTTTGACGAATTCTTTTATTGTGTCCTCTGTAATTTAAATACTTTAATAAGTTCGAGCCTAATTCAAGCTTAATTGAAGCTAATACAGGCCTAATTCAAGCTCAATAGAAGTATAACAGAGGCCTAATTTAAGTGTAAGTCAAACCTAACAACTAGGCTTGAAGAAGAAGGAAGTTTTTAAAGGGTTAAAAAAAGGACTACATACGTGTAGATCTCATGTAATTTTTAGAGAAATATATATATAATATCAGATTTAAAAAAAAAACTCTTAATGGATGCCTAAGATATCGCGGTAGTTCTTCCTATTTGAACTTGGGTACAAAAATATTACTGGATTTTGATACAAGCTCCTTAAGAAATGTAATTTGAAAAAAATGTGTATCAAAGACTAAAGAGTATTGTTTTAAACTTACCCGGCACAGCTAAAAAAAAACATCGTTACTAATTAATTTGACTTTTTTATAGCAGAGGGACAAACAACCAGATGGGTCCGTGATGGAAAGCGACTACCGCCTACGGCCTATTTGGGCCGAATAATGGCTTGCTTCTTTGACATCATTCAATATGAAAAAATAAAGTAAGTTTAAAAAAAACACTTACGTGAGACGAATTCTGAAATATTTTAAATAAAAATAAATAATTTTATTAAGAGACATTTAAGGGTTAGAATGAGACTACGAAATAAAATAAACCTATAGTTATACATAGATACATCCCCGGCAAATAACAAGAACCGCAAATGTATAAATTTCCTAGGAAATTTATAAACCTTCGTAGGATTCTAAACGAGATATAACTTGTATTATTTTACGCCCACATTTTCGCAAATTGATAAACTTAATGAACTCTAGTCCGGTGCTACTTCAGACGGAGCCCGCACCAGGAGCGGGCAGGCGCTAGTAGGGGTCCGGATGTCTTAACAACAGCTGTTCCCGGATCCCTCCTATTACAGGCGCAGAGTGGCACACCGTGTGGTTTTAGTCGGTCCGAGTCCGACACACCACCCCGCCGCAAACCCCGCTGGGGTGACGGTCCGAAGGGATTTCCACACGTTAAAAAAAGAAAAAGAAAAGGGTTTGTGTCAAGTTTATCTTCTCTGCAGTGCTGTTGTTCTGCGTAGTTCTCCCTTAGTCGGCTCTTACGACATCCAAGGGATGAATTGGGATGGTGACACTTTGTATTGTATGTTTATTTATTCCCAACGAAACTTATTTCTATAAAAAGGACAACAATTTTTACAGCCATTACAACAAAATCACAAAATGGAATATCAATGAGCATTTTAAACTTCAACTTTCATTATCTCAAAAGTGTCATTTTGTGGGTGGGATCCTCTTTGTGTATGTACGTGCATTTATGCTCAAGCTCCTCCAGTGCATTTTCTTTGTTTTCACACCTTTCTGGTTCTAATGGACTTAGGTACGCTGTTTCTTTTTCATTAAAATAACAAGCTCCTCGCTATAATAAGCTCCTAATAGAGCTTTTTATCACTTCAATAGATAAAGTTGGAAGACAACTTAAGTAAAAAAATAATTAAATCAAACTCAATGGAATTGCAATGGTCGACGTTATGTTAAAAAAATATGACTCACCTTCGCCTAAAAGAATAGTATCGTTGTGTTAATATGGTTATAAAAGTGAAACTAAAAGTTACGTGTTAATATATACAAATAAATAAAATTGAATTGTCTGTTTGTAATGTCAAAATAATATTTAATTCCATGCTCACACAGTTATTTGCACTATACTTATTCCAAAAACCAGTTTTTTTTGTCTGTCTGTCTATCTGTCTATTTGTTCACTCTAATCTTCTAAACGGCTGGACCGATTTTGATAATATTTTACGGCCAGGTATCTGTCTATATAAGGAGTAACTTAGGCTATTTTTTCTCTCAGAAAACCCCTATAAAATTTTTGCCCAGTCCGAAAATCGAACCCACTAAGGCAGAGCTTTTCAAATTCCTTGCGAACGAATACCAGCTAGTTTATTGATAAAAATTCTTAAAGTAAATGACACATACTATAGATGATTTCTGATTAATTAAACCACCGTTCTTTCTACGTCTTTTAACCAACGCAATACTTTTGCAACACTAAGCTCTATGGGAAGACCATCGCATAAGTGTTGAGTGGGCTTCAGGGTTGCAATGAAAAATAAATAAAATTATTATGCAAATAGACAATTATTGACAAATAATTAACGTTAAAAAAAAACGACTAAAAACGTGGGAACAACCTTAGTGTTCTTTATGAAATTTTAAATTTGGATTCTTACCTTCGTAATCTATAAAACAAAACATAGATTTATTACTTTTTTTCATCAATATCTGTACTTAAACTACGATTGTATACCTGTAGATGAAACCATGATTCATCATTGTATTGTTAGCATCATTCTTTTTTTTTCTTTTTTTTTAAAGACAACTCCCGCACTAGGAATATATCCTGTGTCGTTTGGGATTTTACAAACATTCATTAAACGGACACAGAACACCCAGACTCAGAACAACAATTTGTGAATCACACAAAGTGTTGTCCCATGTGGGGATCGGACCCACAACACTCAGCGTAGTGGGAAGCGGCGAGGTGACCGCTTAAACCACTACGCCATCCGTGCATTCATTCGGTTGTTGGATCATCTGAAACATCCGGATTCTGCTAATTTTGCATGATAATTGCTAACTTCTAATTAGGCATACAAATAAATTACGGAATGCTTCAGACGCGATGATTTACTTTTTTGTGTCGTTCAGTACCTTGCATAAATTAATTTTATTATTTGGTTTATTGGCCCCAGAAGGCAAATTATCGTGATAAAAGTTTTGATACAATTCAGTCTCGATCAACTTTTGATCTCGCAACTGTCATTAAAGGTATTTTCGTGGTTAAATAGTAAAGTATTACTAAGAATAGTAGATTAACGATTCAATTTTCGGTTACAATCTATACTAATATTATAAAGCTGAAGAGTTTGTTTGTTTGTTTATTTGTTTGTTTGTTTGAACGCGCTAATCTCAGGAACTATTGGTCCGATTTGAAAAATTCTTTCAGTGTTAGATAGCCCATTTATCGAGGAAGGCTATAGGCTATATATCATCACGCTAAGACCAATAGGAGCGGAGCACCAATGAAGAATGTTTCTAAAACGGAGAAAATTTATTACTATTGAGAGACGAAGACGAAGTTGCGCGGGTCAGCTAGTACGATATAATCACATTACAGTCAACGTACGGTGTTAAATACTACTAAAATACCTTTTATGTGATCGAAAGTTGATCGGAATTGTTTTGAGACCGAACTTTTATTACGAGAATTGGCCTTCTGGAATGTTCAGTAGATATTTTTTTCCTTCTTTGTCATTGAAGTTCATACCACCAGGTTTCATCTATAGGTATATAATAAATACTATTTGGAATTAAAATTAAATTGTTCATAAGTATATTACATAATTTCTTACCGTCATCGACTGAAAAGTTTAAAATATTGATTTATTAATTAAAATATTTACCATTTAACTAGTTCCTCTTAAACTCTTTTGAGTTTCTTTTTTAAACATGTAAATATATTAGTGTAGTAGGAGAACTAAAAACGTCCTGTATTGACCGTTACTACACTCTATTGTTATTAGAATAAAGTGCAATTTAGGTTGTACAATGCTGATCACTTACAGTTATATTTCTATCGCGTTACTCTTTTATTTACTGACAAAGTTAGAGTTGAGTTCTTTAAGGGATATGACATATATTTCATTTTAGTTACGAGTTTTCATACAAGAAAAATAATAGTACGAACCAGGAATCAGGTTACACACGAAATAGAAAGAATTTATTAAGCTATTGCATAGCTTCTATCGAGGGCCCTGAGCGCGGGGACCAAATCCAGAAATTCCGTAACGAAAAATACCTCACGCTAAAAACAAAACAAAAAACAGTACCAAAATCTAATGCTGAACGTCAAAGGAAATTTCGTCAACATAATGCAGAAAAATCTTACATGGATATGTAATTTGATTTAATAATAATATTTTTTATTTATTTATTTAAAAACAAATTGTAATATATGCTTCAATATTTTTATTTAATAAAAGAAAAAAAAATGTTTTCTTATCGATCACCACGCTCAAAAAGTGTAACTTGAATTAATATCAAAGAAAAAGAAATACTGCATAAATAAAATAAATAAAAATTTATAATTGCATAAGTTGATACAAAATGCTATGCAATAGCTTTACCGCGGCAGTCCCCGAGTGCCACACGTCTTTTTTGTTTTTAACGTTCGTTATTGTTCTTCTTTTAAAAGACAACTCCCGCACTAGGAATACATCTTTACCAGACTCAGAACGACAATTTGTGGATTACAAAAATTGTCGTCCCATGTGGGGATGGAACCCACAACATTCAGTAGAAAGCGGCGTGGCGACCGCTTAAGCCACTACACTATCCGTGCAGTCATATGGCCTCTTATTAATTCGGGCTTATCTCATAAGCATAAGAAATTCCAGAAGGTCCATCTATCTCGACACTTCTTTTCAAACGGCTACCGGCTAACGGCTTTTCTTATAGTCCATTGGATTAGTTCATCATTATGATTAGCAGCCTCTAATAATCCACTGCTGGACATAGGCCTCTCCAGAGAAAGGAGGTTTTGGTATAGGATTTGTTTCAAGCTTTCCTTCTCTTTGCAGTGTTATTATTACGTGTAGTTTGCCTCCTTAGTCGGCTTTTACGACACCCACGGGATAAATAGGTGTGGTGACACTACGTATTTTTAATCCATCACCACACAGACGCGTTCGATTAGTTCAGCTACTCAATAACAGATGGCGCTACAAGTCACAAATTGGGATCGCAACAGTAATATACAGATTACAACATTTTATACTTACTGGCAGCTAAAAAAAAGAAAATATATATATATATTTTATTATCAATATACGTGTTTAACCAACCTATTCATAAATTTAAAATAAAATGTCGTCATGTTGGATTTTGGATTAGAACATCGTCTTAGTTCAGCGGGCTTTTGCACGAATGTTTAATAATTAACAGTATTTTTAATCTCATAAGCGGCAAAAGCAGCCCGGTTGTTTTTTTTTTTTGGAACGAAGTTCCTTGTGAAAGGAACTTGTGGGGCTAGACGAAAAAGCTGTAACGACACTTTTTATTTTGAATTGTCACTTGTCAATCATTCAGCGCCATCTATAAATGTATAAATTGTTTTAATTAGAAACCAACTAAAAAATATGTAGGTAAAAGCCGCTTTCATAGATGGCGTTGTAATTAAAATCGTGTCGAATCAGTTTTACTCGATCGTCACAACTTCGTTCCTATCGGGTGTCCCACGACATCACACGGCTTTTTTTTAACATTTTTATATTTTTAGGTCTATTCTTAATCTTAGCCGGGTTACCTTATGACAAGTGCCTTCTATTGAACATGGTCAATAACACAACAACAACAACATCTGCGAGTGTAGAGTCAACAATGCGTTGCCGGCTTTTGAGACGAAAAAAAATGTTATTTTGGCATATGTACCGTGTAAACATACATATGCATTTAGTAAAAAGCGGTTATTTTAATATTACAAACAGACACTCCAATTTTATTTATTTGTAAAGATTAATGTTAAGTTGGTTGGTGTACGCTTCAAAAACTCAAACAGTTCTGCACCGATTGAACTCAGATATTGACACTATTTACACCCCGCTTTAGATATTGTTTTTATCTATTTAATCGCGTCAGTTATGGTCTTCATTACTCATCAATTCAACCACAATATGCTACCGAGAACCGTTTTTATTCTCTGTATTACGAGAATAATAGAATCATCAACTAACAGATAACAGAGTCGAAACCTGTCGGTTTTTAGAGGGTTAATCGTCCCATTTGCACTTCGTCTCGCGTTCGCGGTTGGTCACATTAGCACTTCGTACCATTCGCACTTGGTCCCATTCACGTTTTGTCCCATTCACAGTCTGTCCCATGCAAGAAGTTTGTTAGGGAAGAGTTAGTTTTTAGACACTATTTATTTTTATTTGTATCTATGGATATACTTTTTTTAATAGATGCACGTAGGTACACCCTGATTAAATTTTAATGCCTTATTAATAAAAGTTAAATTACATAATATATCATCAACAGCCTTTACTAGTCCACTGCTGAACATAGGCCTCTTCTTAGAAAGGATATTTTGGCCTACTACAAGGTTTGTGTCAAGTTATCCTTCTCTCTGCAGTGCTGTTGTCCTGCGTAGTTTGCTCCCTTAGTCGCCTCTTACGACACCCACGGGATGAATAGGGGTGGTGACACTCTGTATTCTTAATCCTTCACCACACGGACTATATATATAGAATTTAGAAAATAGGTACTTACTATAATCATCTGTAAATAAAAAAAAAGTAATTAAAAACAAAATTTAAGGAAACAAGAACACATAAATCTCCTGATGAAAAGTGGATGGTGATGGCCGCCTGCGGATTTATTATTTAAAATTTTCACAGAACATAGACTATGTTGAAAGAAAAGAAAGAAAGAAATGTTTATTTTGGCAACACATAAAATATAATAGACCGTCAATTTTGCAGCTGAATTACCATCAATGTCAAAAATGTGAATCTCTGATGTGTCAGTAATACCCTTTTTTTTCCGTGCGGAAATCCCCTCGGATACCACCTATCAGTGGCATGTCGGACTCGAACCGACTAAAACCGCACGCCGTCTCGGGTACTAATAGCCGCTGAACCAGGTATACCCAAGAAAGGAAGTCCCTGGTGCTCGGTACAATACCCTGGCCGCGGTCACAAGAGAGTCACACAATTTCTGTATTGAATTTGTTAATAGATGTAAACTTACGCCAAAGTTCGCTGGCTGGTGTCGCCTGGTCTGGTGAAGGTAGACTGAAAATGTACCCAATCTGACATGGGTTCCAGTGCTCGCATACTTCTCTGTCCGGGTCTAATTCTGTCACGAATTTATAGGTCTAGAAAAATAATGATAAAAATTATTCAAGATGAGCCTTTTTACACGCTTTATACGCTTTTTACAAGTGAAGCTAATTCACTTGTATGTTTGTTACCGACTCCTTTGGGCGTGATTTTGACTGACTTTAAACGGTCAGAATTCCTTCAAACTTTGTAGATATATCGAGGACCGATGACAATACACTAATTTAAAAAAATATATATAAAAAAAAAATAGTTTAAAAAACTAAAAAACACGCTTTTATAGAAAACCAAACTAAAAAATAGAAAATAAAATTTTATTAAATTTGAAAAAAAGCGTTTGTTGCTTTTTACTATTGACAACAGGCACCAAACTATTTTTTTTTTTATTTTTTTTCCCAAACTAGCTTGTTAACTATAAGTTTATTACGAAACGGCGACTGCCATCAGAACTTCACAACCCAAGTACTAGGCGATATCAAAGTTCTGTAGAAAGTCTGCTCTTGGTCTTTTTAGGGCTCCAACACAATTGCCACAGATGTTCGAAGGCCATCAGAACCGACAGCTCAACGTGCTCTTCGAGGCACGGTTTTTCAAGATTAAATAAAAAAAAATAAGGATCCCTGACTGCGATCCTTATTCTATCTAACATCTTGTCATTGAGACTATTGTTATAAGCCCAAACATAACATATCTGCTGCAAGATTCTGAAGAAACAGACTATTTGATGGTACAACATCAACTCAAGGTTAGAATCACATCATTATCATCACATCAACAGCCTACAATAGTCCACTGCTGGACATAGGCCTCTCCTTAGAAAGGAGGGTTTGGCCTACTATACCACGCTGGCCAGACGGGTTGGTATAGGGCTTGTTTCAAGTTTTGCTTCTCTTTGCAGTGTTGTCTTGCGTAGTTTTCTCCCTTAGTCGACTTTTACGACACCCACGGGATGAATAGGGGTGGTGACATTACGTATTGTTAATCCGTCACCACACGGAGGTTAGAATGACTTGGAAATACCACCGAAGTAACAGTGAGTACACTTCCCCGGAACAGATATTCATAAATTGTAGCTAAGGACCATTTCAATCACGTCAGCTTTCAAGGAAAAGAAAACCGTATCATAATCGGTCTATTCGTTTAGGAGCTACGATACCACAGACAGACACGTTAAACTACACATCCTAAGGTTGCCTGGAAGAAATTGCATTTAGCAATAAGGCCGCCCTTTGTACACTCGATATTTGATCGCTGTGTTCCTTTCTTGAAACTCTGTAATTTAGTGTGCAAATAAAGAGTTATCTATCTATCTAAACATACAACCCTCTTTTCCTTAGAAAGGAGGCTTTTTTTTTTCTCTTTTCAGAGGGGGCAGACGAGCAGACGGGTCCCCTGATGGAAAATGACCATCACCACCCAGGAACGTCTGCAACTCTGGAGTCACAAACGCGTTGCCGGAGTACGCTCTTATCTTGGAGGTTTGAAGGTCGTATCGGTCCGGAAATACCGCAGACAATAACCCGGTCTACAGTAGTGGAGTGCCAACTGGTCTTATTGTACCCCGCTGTTTTCCTGCGTAGTTTGCTCCCTTAGTCGGCTCTTACAACACCCACGGGATGAATAGGGTTAAAAAAATTAATGTTAGTGGTGCTTACGTACCCTATCAGGATAGTATCGATAGTGGACCACTACATCGTCAGTGTCTTCTAAAGCGCATTTTGAGCTGGTGTAGTTCAGAGAAGTCCTCTCGCAGGGGGCGCAGCCGATCACAGTGGTGCCATTTCTGGGTAGATCTGGACCTTCAACCTTGTGCCCTGGGAAGAAGAATCATTTTCAAATAATAATACAGGTTACATAAACGATTTTTAAAATAAGATTCTTTATTTGACGTCAGTAACTTTTACGTCATTCAAGAAAGTTACAAGTTAAATACTTACGATTACAAAAGAAGTATTTATTCTCAGCCACGTAGAGCTCTTTATCCTCTGCAGATAAGCACGAGTCGTACATTATGCTGCTGGGTTCTATTCCATCTTCGCACATGATTACTCCTGAACCGTCAGGCTCCTTTGGTGCTCGGTTGGTGGGACAACGGTACATTATACCTGGATTCGAAAGATTTCAATTTAAAACGTAGTGGCAGTAGGAATCTCCCTTTGAATCCTCCCCTCCCTCGGAATTATATACTTTAATATCTATTTTATCTCAAAAAAAAAACAACTAAAATTTCCCTTGAAAACTCTGAATAGTGTCATGGCGTCTTGAATGACGTCACAGTCGGCTAAAAAAAACTGTATTAAGGTGAGAAAATATGCTAAAAACGAAAAACAATAAGGAGTAACCTGCTCTGTGGTATGACAACGTCAACAACAACAATGATGTTTTGCGTGGCGTGACGTAACACTTTCTGATTGGTGTTCGCTGTCACGTGACTTAATGCCTATTTTGTTCGATTTTTTTTAAATACTAATAATTTCATGAGAAAAAGACTGGTTTTTTTCTTATCCATATATCTTCATTTATAATTTGAAACTATAAACCATGCAATTTGTTATTAGTGGACACAAGCCTATTCTATTTAGGGTTGGTGAAATGAAATAAAATTGCAACAAGTAATGTGGTTGGTTGGTTTCTTTAAGGCTGGCAATCAGTTACTCTGACTTGAAAACTGTTAATCCCCTTCAAAATATAAACATTATCAGGCAGAAAAAGGAATGTCTTCTTCCTTTAATTAAATTTCAAATCTCAGATTTCCTGAATTGAATTCAGGAAAACTGAGAATTAAGTCAGGGTAAGGGATTCGAGAATAATGCAATGGGAGAGGCCTATGTCCAGCAGTGGACTGCGATAGGCTGATGATGATTATGACTGAGACTTCATTATCGAAGAACGAATTGCTCCGGTACACCATTAACGTCTCGAATTACAGAATGAATTTAAGTTATTAAATAGAAGATGACTATTTAAATACACTATAGATATAGATGGATTAATGGTTGAGTTGGATGGACTAATTTAGTGGAATAGACTTAAATAATTCGCTGAACTAAATAAATCGACTAAGTAGTCACCGGGACTAACGGTATAGTTAAATGGACTAAATAATATCAATAGGACTATGTGGTGAGTAGTATAAAATGTTTTCACTGATGGGGCTCACACTTTCACATTTACTCGTATTCCTTTATAATGTTAACTTATTAAGATAGTAAATAGTTTTAAGGTTGTATGCTCACTGATGTTTTTGAAGTGATAACTTCTTATGGGAGGTTAAACCGTTACGTAACGCGTTACTACCCTAGTCTGGCTTCCCTTTCTCTCACGCATACGGCATCGGTAGGCAAACTCCTCTAACCCACAGCGTTAGCCGTATTTCGGACAGACGCTTTACATAGAATTTAAGTAATAACCTAATCTTTTCTCAAGTTCAATTCAACAATTTGAATTTAAATAGTTCAACTAAGATTAGTTTAAGTTATCACTTCTGTCGGGCGTCCCGTGACGCACACGTTTTTTTTATGGAAGAGGGGGCAAACGAGCAGACGGGTCACCTGATGGAAAGCGACTACCGCCACCCATGAACGCCTGCAACTCAGAATTCACAAGCGCGTTGCCGGTTGAGGAAGGAGTACGCTCTTTTCTTGAAGGTTTGAAGGTCTTATCGGTCTGGAAATACTGCAGACTGTATCTTGTTGTTAGCTAAGTGGTATTAGTGCGAACAATTGTAATTGGCGGAAGATGTTTTTTTGCTAAATTTTTTGCAGAAATAATAAACTACCAATTTTATTTCTTTTTTTTACCTTATTAGTCTATATTATTTTATCGTATTGTTGTTTTGCTGTTTTTTATTATTTTCTTGTGAAAATTTAAGTGTTTGTGTGTGTTATTGTGTAAAAATAAATATTTTCTTTCTTTCTAATAATTATTAACCTACCTTTTCTAATAATAGCTGGCGGTTTATTTCTGATTTCTGCTATAGTGACCCCTTTTTCTCCATTCTGAATGGCAGTCATCACTCTCTTATACAGAGTCGTTCTTCTTTCCTGTTCTGCTATGATGTAAGGGAGCAGTTCTTCAGATAATACGTCTACTTTCTTCTTGGCGTCAGCGTTCATCTGTAGTGGGTTAAGGGTTTTTAACTTAGCTCATGAATATCTTTTTTTTTTTTTTTTTTTTTTCTTTATAAAAGACAACTCCCGCAGTAGGAATACATTCCTGTGTCACGGGGGACTTTACAAACATATATGAAACGGACACAAAGAACACCCAGACTCAGAACAAGAATTTGTGGATCACACAAAGTGTCGTTCCATGTGGGGTTTGAACCCACAACACTCGGCGCAGTAGGAAGCGGCGTGGCGACCGCTTAAACCACTACGCCATCCGTGCAGTCTTTAGACGGAATGTCGCACTTCAAAGCCACTATCACACATAAGGGTCAACTTATAATGCTTGTTTGTAAGCCATTCGAGCTATTATATTGAAAAACTGCCTTAGTCTTGTAGTACGCGACTGCGAGGCCATGAGGCCTCTGGTTCGATTCCCGGACTGGGAAAAAATTATAAGTTACTCGTTATATAGACAGCTGCCTGGGAGTAAAATATCATCATAATCGGTAGAGCTATTTTGAAGATCGCCCAGAACAAACAGACAGGCATACAAAAAATATTTGAACTAGTTTTTAGACACATGTATCGTGCAAAGAACCGTGTGAACATGAAAAAAAAACCTATTATATTGACATTACAAACAGACACTTCTATTTTATTTATATTATTTGTATAGATAACATAGTGTCCAACAAGTAGACACCATTTTTTCACATTTTTACAGCTTTGATAATATAATAATAATAATATTGTACCACATTCACACAACGCCATCGAGTCCCAAACTAAGCAGAGCTGGTACTGTGGGTCTTAGACTACTGATATAAATACGTGTATATACTTTTTTTTTGTACATACATACATATAATCAAACATTAAATGTTCATGCTCACAATTGTTTGACTTGAGCGGGAATCGAACCCGTGACCTTTGGAATAGCAGTCCATTACACAAACCACTACGCTATCCGGTCGCCATATTTAGACATATTATTGATCTAAAGTTTTAACATAACAGATTTAAAAAAATATACTACGAACTTCTAAAACTTAAATAAACCATTCCTGTAATTTTTATAGTTATTTCAGTAATTAAAAATAAACTTGTATAATTTCCATAGGCTTACTCTATCTGCATCTTTGTTGAACTTAATTCCTGTGCCATCCTGAAAAAAAAAAGTGTCGCCATATTAAAAAATACCGGCCAACGGTCCGTACAGTAGTCGCAGACGACGTGTAACACAATTATATTTTAAGGATTTTATATTCATACTGCACGCACAAAATATTTGTTCCGTAACCGTACATTATATTAATGCAGTTTAGAACAAAACATACACTTAACCGTGGTATAATATTCCTTTATCTTTATTTATCTTTGTGCACTTTCGGAGTACACAGGAAGGCATTTCATAATTTTTCTTTAATTAATTAGTACGTGCGCTCTCTCGCAGTGGTCCTAATTAGGACCAATTCACAGCACACATTTTGGGCGTTGGTGGCGTATCTACCTCTTATTTGTATATAATATCATTGGTATAACATCTGACATCGAGTAGCGCGCGCGCTCATTGGTCGATTCAAATGGCGTTCGCTTCTCCAGATTCCTGTTACACACTTCCGTCCCTTTTCACATAAATCCCTACCGGGATTATCGAAAAGAATGAAGAAAGATCTTACACATTAAACACGTAAAAGTTTCCATGGATGTTAGAAGTAAAGAGGTCTCTATTATACCCAAAAAAAACGTGTCTTCAAAGCATTCAAACACACACACACACACACACGCACACTCACACATAAGTATGCTCACACGCACGCACACACACAGGCACATACATAAATTCACTTTCTAAAAAGGACATTAGATAAATTTTATTGGGTATTCTATACTTGACAACTATGACAGCAAACGAAACTATACTGGAATGTTACCACGTATGATACTTACCACGGCCTGTCGCCTCACAATGTTGGCAAGATATCGTCCTCGGCGTGATGCTGGAAGGAGAACGCTGCCTGCTTGCACCTCATCTCCGATCTGAAGTTGAATATTAAATTAATAACACATCACATACTAAACCTATAAAGCTGTGGAGTTTGTATGTTTGATTTAAGGCGGTGACGTGGGGAACTACTGGTTCGAATTGAAAAATTCTTCTAGGGTTTGGATAGATATCGAGAAAGGTTATGGGCTATATAACGTTACGCCACGATCAATAACGACTCGAGCATTAATGAAAAATGATACAAAAACGATAAAAAATTATTCTAGCTAGTTAGAAAATGAAATAGGTAAACACTTCTATAAATTAAATGGTTTTATTGAAGTGAAATAATGTTGTACAAATGTACGAAAAGCTAAAATATATGATCCGCCATTTTGTGGTGACGGCCATTTTGATTTTGGTTTTACGGTATATAGTTCAAGTCGAGTTTTTTAAATTTTATACCTAAATTCATGAAGTTGTAAAAAAATTGCAATCCGGTCTTTTGTAGTGTCGGCCATCTTGGATTTATAATAACGCTGAACACATATAATTGTATTGTCATCAGAACTTAAGGCGTGTACTAAATTTCTGAATAATTGGTCACAAGGAGGGGGGTTCAAGTTTAATTAATAAAATTAACCCAATCAGTTAAAAACAACACCAATTCGGTTTTACTTGCAAGAGTATTTTTGGTGGGTCGCATTACTAACCTGCATAGGACAATATTTTTTTTTTTTAAAGCCAACTCCCGCACTAGGAATAAATCCTGTGTCGCGGTGGACTTTACAAACATACATGAAACGGACACAAGGACACCCAGACTTAGAACAACTATTTGTGGATCACACAAAGTGTCGTCCCATGTGGGGTTCGAACCTACAATACTCTTAAACCACTACGCCATCCGTGCAATTAAAAGTGGGTTAACTGTTATTCGGCATAGATGAGCCGGCTCGACCGGTGTGATAACCACAGCCTCCCAGGAAACCTTCTGCTTTTTGGTGACAGGGTGGCAAATTTCATCGGATCTCCGGATCCTTGGCGACGCAAGAGCCAGGAATATGTGGTGTTTCCACTAAAAACCACTTCGACGGTCAGTCTCAGGGCGCTACTCTGGGTAGGAACCGAACTAACAGACGCCGCGCCTAACCAGGCCCTATCCAGAGAGGATTATTTTTCCCTACATCAGCAAAACAAATTCATAAATAAAATAATGCAGTACTTACGGGTGGATAAGAGCATTGAACTTCAATAAAAATATAAAAATATAGTAAAATATATAGCCTTTTGTCCATACTCTATTCGTTTAAAACCTAGAACTAAACGGATTTGTGTTGATTTGTACGCCACAAATATAATTGGAGTCATAAAAGTAATAGTTAGTTAAGAATAATTTGATAAATTTAATGATGAACTAGATGAATTCAACTCTCGGAGTTTTTGCTCGTAAATTGATAGCGACTCCAATCAGAAGAAATACGGATTTACGTTTAACAATGCACTAGGAATATATCCTGTGTCGTAGGAGACTTTACAAACATACATAAAAGTTTGAAACGGACACAAAGAACACCCAGACTCAGAACAACAATTTGTGGTTCACAAATTGTTGTACCATGTGGGGATCGAAACCACAACACATAGCGCAGTTGGGAGCGGCGAGAAGACCGCTTAAACCACTACGCCATCCGTGCCTATATTACAAATGCGAAAGTAACTCTATCTGACTGGTATGCTTTCACGGCTGAACCGCTCAACCTATTTAAATCGGCATGGACATACTTTGCTACTTTTTACCAGTTTAACCGAAACACAGGCGGGCGGAGTTACGGGCAAAAGGCAGTGCTTCATATTAATGAAAAAATTGATAATCTGCTGGATATTATAGAGAGCTATCTAGACTCAAGATAAGTAAAGCTTGTTCTGTGGTTTCTAGAACTCATTTGATAGGCCTGTTCGCTTAATGGTTAGTACAAACCAAATAATTTAATGCATAATAATTCTGGTCTGTGTCTGGCTGTAATTTATCTACAGATGTCTGATCCCAAACTAGAGAGAGCCTGTACTATGATCATCAGACTGCTGATAAACATACTTATATATTTCAAAATCACATCATATCATCATCATCAACGGCCTTTAATAGTCCACTGCTTTACATAGGCCTCTCCTGAAAAGGGGGTTTTGGCCTATTATACCACGCTGCCCAGACGGGTTTTTATAGGGCTTGTGTCAAGTTTGCCTTCTTTATTGCAGTGCTGTTATCCTGCGTAGTTTGCTCAGACCTGCAATCAAAATAGAAGAGAAAACGTAACGTTTAATAAAACAATAATTGAAATCACAAAAATAATATTTCAGCATTCTGTAAAATGAGGTCCCACGCCTTTGAATCGATTTCTTTTATCACATTACTAATGTGCGACATAAAACGAGTCATAATATTCTGTACATTTCCATTTCTGCCTTGAACCCATTCTTCCATTTCACGATTTAAACTATCCCATTCTTGGATATTATTCTGGTTATTAGGTACGTTTTCATCAAACGTATTAATAATTTCTAGAAACGATAAGTTTGATTTAAGTTTACTGTCAGACGGATTGCTATCGTCGTATACAATTAACGGAGTATTTCTATATATTATCATATTTGAAACAATCATAATCATCCCTCTTTGAACGTTGACGTTTTGTCTTCCACAATAATCAATTTTCTTCTTAATACCTTCATCAACACTTTTATTAAGGGCAAAATCTGTTTTTCTTGCAGATTCAATTATTGCATCGAATGCTGTCTTGAATTTATCATTTGGAGCTGTCAACATTTTTAACAGCATATCTGTTATAAAGTTTGTAAAACCTTTTTGGGCCTGACAAATGTCTAATTTCTTGCATGCACGTTTAAGCTCATTCGCCTCTTCAGTATCTATTTCAGCTCTGAACATAACAAGAGTTAGATTATTGTATACTAATCCTCTTTTTTCCATATCGTTTGCCATGAAATTAATCAGTCTATTTACCATACGTTTTGAGACATCGATGGCATTTAAAATAACTTTTCTAGTCCCCAATCTAGTCCTGATTGTATGATGTTTTGTAGCTCTGAGAAATTCATTGAATCTGTCTTCATAGCTTTTAGCCAGATGCTTCATTTTCTTCTTCCATCTGTATTCTGTACTCTTGTCTTTCATATTATCAAACAGTTTTAAAGTGCTTTGAAGGATGTATTTTGTGAATGAATTAATTGTATCGTTATCTTTTATTCTTTGTGATTCTTGATTTAGATCCTTAAAAAGATTTGCCAACTCAACTTTTGTGTCATTTTTTACGTTTTGTAAATTTCTTAAAACTTTTGGCATCTCAGTTGATATTTTTGGATTATTTGGTGGCAAAACTGCCGGTGTGCTATAGAAATCATCAAAATTTACGTTTCTAAGTAAATTATTCAATTTGTTTTTTACTTGTGACAAATCTACTCTTACTTCCATAAAATTGTTTGTTTTATTACGATGCTTGTTAATTTCATTTGCTGTTATTTTGGTTATATTCTCCATTCGGTTTTTGTTCTCTAGATGTTTTGGTTTGGTGGAACTATTTTTAGCAGAATTTAAAAGTCTTTCTGGTTTTTTGTACCGGTCATCAGAATCATGCGGATTACCCTTATATTTTACTTTATTTCTTTTATGATTATGATCTCTTTCTATATTTTTATGTCTCTTTTTATTTTTATCATTTTCATTCAATTCACTTGCGCTGTCTGATTCCTCTTGCGTTGTATATTGACTTTTCTTTTTTCTTTTTGTTTTCTCGATATACTTTTCATCATTTTCTTTAAAAGGTTGAGTAAAACCTTTTGGAAAACTGGTGTCTTCTTCATCAGATGACGAAATAGCATCGCTATAACCACTATCGGCACGTTCATATATTTTCTTTGGTGTTTCTACAGAATGTACGGTATAGTATTTTTCATCACCAGAATTGTCATCAGGGATATTATAAGGAGAAGGCCGTTGATTGTTTTTTTGTCTTTCATGATGTCTGCTAAGTATTTTGTGTCTTTTAGATGGTTTTTCTGTTAAGATGATTGGCGATGTGCTCCTAGAAATAACAATACTTCTGTTTAGGAATTGTTTGTATGTATAATGGGGCTTCATTTATTTGAATTGAAATTCAAGTGTCTGTTTGTAATGTCAAAATAATAGGTTTTTTCATGCTCCTACGGTTATTTGACTATACCGACGCCTAAAAACCAGTTGAAATATTTTTTGTCTGTCTGTCTGGCTGTCTGTCTGCTGGTTGTTCCGGGTAATCTTCTAAACAGGTGGACCGATTTTGATAATATTTTACTACCATCTGTCTACTTAAGGAGTAACTTAGGCTTATTTCCTCTCAGGAAAACACTATAAAATTTTGCCCGGTCCGGGAATCTAACCCGAGGCCTCATGGAACATGGTTACCAGAGCCTGAACCTTACCTCCTCGTTCTGGGGTAAGGATTTATAACTCTTGAGTTGCAAAAGTACATGGGAGTCGGTAGTCACTTAAAAAAAAAACCAATGGCATTTCGGGAGTGCTGACAGAAGTGAAAACGTGAAAATTTAATTATTTTTTATTATAACAGGATTTCTTTTTGTTTTTTTGATTCGAAAAGTACCGACATGAATAGATATATCTATGTTGTACCTACGTATATACACAAAATGTATTTGTATTATATACAGTTATTCGAATGTTTTCTATGTATTTCAACCCAAACTCAACTCTCGTGTAAACGGGGCTAATATATGCATATAATAATAACCACACACATCTCACACACGGCCGTCTTATCCCAAACTAGGCACAGCCACATACTTATATATTTCTAAATGTCCGTGTGGTGACGGATTAAGAATACAGAGTGTCACCACCCCTATTCATCCCGTGGGTGTCGTAAGAGCCGACTAAGGGAAAAAATTACGCAGGACAACAGCACTGCAGAGAGAAAGAAAACTTGACACAAACCCTTTACCAACCCGTCTGGCCAGCGTGGTATAGTAGGCCAAAACCTCCTTTCTCAGGAGAGGCTTATGTCCAGCAGTGGACTATTAAAGGCTGTTGATGATGATGATGATATTTCTAAATCCATACATATTATAGATAAAGTACACCCAGACACAGAACAAACGATCGTGCTCATCACACAAATATTTGCTCTGGGTGGTAATCGAAACCACGACCTCCGGTTCAGCAGTCAGGGTCATTAACCACTAGACCAACAGGCCCGTCATACTTATATATACACACAAACACACACACATACTTATATACACATCTACCAAACTTCTTCATATTGTTTGTTGTTCAGAAATGCCCAACGCGCTTAATTAAGTTTTCGCTTCAAAAACAATCAAATCTGGACCTGGTAATTTTTTCTGACGCTCGATTCTTCACTACTGATTCATCTTCTGAAGAGAAGCTGTCGTCGCTTTCTGTTGTGATGGATCTCTCAGCATTTTCGGGAGCTTCAACGTAAAATTTATATTCCCATTCCGGCCCAAGTTGGAGAGTCCCATCTAGTGTGTGGGTGAAAGAACTTGCTAAAGTGGTCCAATCTAAAATATATATTTTTTTCAGTAAAAAGAAAAGGCACGGCAGCTTTTCCTCCCCTCTCCCCTTGATTTTAAAAGAGGGGGACTCGAGAATATTTGTCTAAAGAAGTTTTCACTTGAAAAAAAACAAACGACTACTTACAAAATATAAAAAGGAGGTAAAACATCAAACTTTTCTTTATCGCACATCGAACATAAATAATTTAAAAAATAAATTTCATTTTTATTGACATTATAAACTTCGACAAAAAAAATATATTTGACATACACTAGATGTTGCAAACGAATTCGCGCATTTCGCATATAATTCGACCATATTTTTATTACGATACTAGTTGATGAACGCAACTTCGTCCGTCTATCAAAAGGAAGAATTTTTCCCGTTTTGGCAACATTTTTTATTGACGGATCATACTGGTGATGTTACATAGTATATAACAGGGATTCTCAAACTATTTTGGGCTAGAGACCCCAAATGAACTGATACCTCAGACCCCCATAGTTAAATTACTTTAAAAATCCATCTCTACTTTGTTCCTACTGATAAAAAAAAAACCAATTTCAAAACTTTGCCGTTGGTTAAGTGAATAAACTGGACATTAATTTCTTATCAAAAATTGACAAAATAAATAAACATATTAGTCAGTCTGTCTTGTTATACGTGACACAACTTATCATGTATCAATGTAATCTTAACAGTATCATGAAAACTTTAAATTTAAACTTGTGTTAATTACTAGGAGTCCCTTTTTAGACCTCGTCGACCCTCAAAATCAGTTACTATCGATCACTTTGGGAATCCCTGGTCTATAGCCTTCTTCAATAAATGGACTATCCAACACTAAAAGAATTCTTCAATTCGGACCAGTAGTTCCTGAGATTAACGCGTTTAACAAACAAACAAACTCTTCACCATTATAATATCGCAAGTAAAATATAATACAGTTTGAATTGTTTTATTTTATTGACTATAACTTAGCTCTCGTTGTATATTTTTTTGTGACTTCGGAAGGCCGAGTTTCGGCATAAATAAGCTGGCTCGATAGAAGTGATAACACGGCCTCACGGTAAATGAATTTAAAAAAATATATTTTTTTGCTGTTTTCCCCGAGTAAATGTTCTCATCAACAGCTTTTGATAGTCAACTGCTGGACATAGGCCTCTCCTTAGGAAGGAGGTTTTGGCGTACTATGATGATTTCCTCCCAGACTTTACCGTCGACGCGACATCCTGTAACATTTCAACAACTCCGTTTACGCTCATGGGCACATGGGTACGTGACTCGTAAAACGGAATTTGGTTTGGAATACCACGGCCTACTGTATAGTAGGCTGTGGTATTTAAAACCAAGGACCAACCACGCAATCTAGACAGGTTGGTATAGGGATTGTTTCAAGTTTTTGTTGTCCTACGTAGTGTGCTCCCTTAGTCGGCTCTTACGACACCCACGGGACGAACATAAATGGTGACACTCCGCATTCTTAATCCTTCACCACACGGATGAGAGTGATGTTACTAGCGGCCAAATCCCACCCACCCCCAACCTTTAGGAGGGGGGTTTTTCGTTATATGCCACATAATTACATAGGTTTATTTAGTGTCTGTCATAGCCAGTTCTATTACGTTTGTATACGACCTTTCGCTTTGATTATTAGCTGTGATAATAATCTCGTCACGGACGAAAACAGTATCGATAGTATACCGTAGCGTAGTGACTACCAAGGAGTAATACTATAGATACTATTCTTTATAGGACTATTCCCTCCCACACGCCTACAACTGTAACTCTTATACACCAGGGTCATCAGCAGTTACCCACGAATACATCGAGTCACATGATACCTGGGAAGTCGCAAGAAAAGTTAAACTGTCTTGGACCTCGCAACGAAATTAATCAGAAGTGAATTGGAGAATTTGGAAATAAAATAACTCCACATTAATCCTTAACAAAGCGGGAGACAAAAATTAAGTAAAAATAGGTGTGATCATCAATCATCAACAGCCTTTAATAGTCCACTGCTGGACATAGGCCTCTCTTTAGAAAAAAAGGAATTGGCCTACTATACCACGCTGGCCACAGTCTGATCCCAAACTAGATAGAGCCTGTACTATGGTTACCAGACTGCTGATAAACGTACCTACTTATATATTTCTAAATACATCTATATTAAGTATAGATAAATTACACCCAGGCACAGAATAAGTGTTCGTGCTCACACAATTATTTGACCTGAGTGGGAATTGAACCCACGACCTCTAGATTAGCAGTCAGGCTCACTAACCATTAAACCAACATGCCCCTCTTAACAGCCGATGACTTCTGAAATGAGACGCAATGATCACAACGTAACCTCTTCAATGCGCCGGGTAGAAAGGTTGCCAGTTTAAAAATTAAACACGTTTAGTATTTTTGGTATTTACTCTGATTTATATATAGAATCTTCATATAGTTTTGTGCTGTTTATTTCAAAGGACCTGCAATAAAAAATAGTTAGTTTATGACCATGATTGGGTTACCAGTGTAATAATTAAAATCATTTTATTAATTAACTAGCTGGTACCCGCAAATTCGTTTGCGTGTAATTTTAAAAGCGCTGCTGTGATTTTAAAGGCCTCGGGTTCGATTCCCGGACCGGGCAAAATTTTTATAGGCTTTTTCTGAGATGAAAAATAGCCTAAGTTACTCCTCATACTCATAGCCTAAGTTTCTCCTTATATAGATAGCTACCTAGTAGTAAAATATTATCAAAATCGTTAATGCCGTTTAGAAGATTACCCGGAACAAACAGACAGACAGACAAAGAAATGGTTACGGTTATTTTTTTTGGCTGGTCGGATTTTGATAATATTTTACTGCCAGTAGCTATCTATATAAGGAGAAACTTAAAATATTTTTCCTCTCAGAAATACCCTTTAAAATTTTGCGGGTCCCAGCTGGTATATCATAAAAAAAAATGTGTCTGTACGTTTTATGTACTGACAGATCATATAAAGAATCATTATATCTCTTTTTGTCATCATTATAAGAATCCGAGTCGAATTCTGAGCTATCTACATCATCACTCTCCAAGAATATGGCTTTTCTCTCTGGATAGAATGATGTGCTTCTAGTTTCTAGAATGGTCAATGACGGTCCACTGTCCTGTTTATCTTCTGTTTTCGATTCAACTTGGATGTCATTTTTTGTGACGTTCGACGACTCCACTATTATAACGTAGTCTGTAAAAGAAAATATATTTCTACATTGTTTATGGTAAAAAAATAGTTTCAAAAAACTAAAAACACGCTTTTAATAAATAAAAAAGCCGTGTGGTGTCGTGGGACACCCGATAGGAACGAAGTTGTGACGATCGAGTAAAACTGATTCGACACGATTTTAATTACAACGCCATCTATGAAAGCGGCTATTACCTACATATTTTTCAGTTGGTTTCTAATTAAAACAATTTATACATTGGTAAAATCTCCTTGAGAAATGATTTCCTATATATATATAACGAAGGGACAGGTTACTCGCGTATGGAAATTACAAATGATCATGCTCATCTCACAATTATTTGTCCTGGGTCGGAATCGAACCCACGAAGTCTGACCTAGAAGCCAGTACTGTGTTCCTCCTCATACCTTAATTTTCCGTTCTTAAGGGTGGTGTTTTTTCTTTAAATTTAAATGGGACCAAACGGGAAGTATAAAACAAATAAAAAATGACGGCACCATAAACCTCCTTTTTTTTTAAAGTCGGTTATAAACGCGTTTTATCTACTATCGTCTAAACATAAAAAGCATCTTATATTTAAGAAGTTTTTCAGAACTCGATCATATAAAATCGAATCATCATCATCAACAGCCTTTAATTAGTCCATTGCATAACATGAAGAAATGAGATTTTGGCCTCCTATACCACGCTGGCCAGACGGGTTGGTATAAGGTTTGTTTCAAGTTATGCTTCTCTTTACAGTGCTGTTGTCCTGCGTAGTTTGCTCCCTCAGTCGGCTCTTACGACACCCACGGGATGATTATGGGTGATGACACTCCTTAATCCGTCACCACACGGACATGTTGTATATTTGAGTTGCATTTGAGAACTGGTTATTCATTAAAAATTAAGCAGTATGTACTTACACAATGTTAAAATGAGGCGAAACATAAAAAAAACCTTATTGACATGAAATAAGTAAAATAAATAACTACAGTGTGGATTCTTTTATTGGCACTTAAAACTATTATAACCAAATTGTGTTAGCTTAGATTGGTTTTCTCTGTTAAAGTTCCTGTTATTCATTCATTCGTTCATTCATTTTCTTGACAATCTTTTCTTACAAATAAAACGACAGCTAGTAGTTTTGAAAAAACAAAAACCTGCCTTAATTTGGTTGGTTATGGTTCGATTTCCACCTAGGACAAAATACTGTGTGATGAGCACGATCATATGTTCTGTTTCTGGGTGTAATATATCTATAATATGTACATATGTATTTAGAAATATATAAGAATGTTTATCAGCAGTCTAGTTACCATAGTACAGGCTCTTCCTGGTTTCGGACAAAACCGACTGTGTGTGAGATATGTGAAGTACTTCACTAAGGCTTCGCACGGGTGCAACTTAGATACTACACAAACTACTAATGTTGTGATAAGTAAGTAATTATACTATTATTGTGATAGGAATATACTACAGGACATGTTTAACTAACTAACTAAACTTATTATAGATTAAGCGGAACGCCTACAAACAACAGTTTGTAGGCGTTGATTTACTTTTCACTTGATTTACTTTTCTAACTGTTCTAACAAGAACAGTTAGAAAAGTAAATCAAGTGTGATTAAAGTTTATAATAAAATATATATATATATATATAGACAGCTGCTTGGTAGTAAAATATTATCAAAATCGGTCCAGCTAACTGCCAACAAGGCAAGGACGGTTTAAGCGGTCGCTACACCGCTTACTAATACTCAGCGTTGTGGGTTCAAATTCTTGTTCTGAGTCTGGGTGTTCTTTGTGTCCGTTTCATGTATATTTGAAAAGTCCCCCGCGACACAGGATTTATTCCTAATGCAGGAGTTGTCTTCTTAAAAAAGAAAAAGGTCTTTAGAAGAATACCCGGAACAAATACTCTCTGGAGAAGACAGTGACTGTTCTGTCCTAGACAGGAATCGGACCCAGCAGTCAGAATCGCTAACTACTAAACCAAACAGCCGGTCAACTAATCTAAACACTGAAGCTATATTGACGCTAAATTATGAATGTAGTTCACGTACTTTAGAAGGCGCAGATTGAGTTTATTTTACATCCTCGTTCGGCGACGCGATTGGCCCGTACAGAAATCTTCACCAATCGCAACGAAGAACGCGCTTGCCGTCGATAGCTAGTTTTTAGGGTTCCGTACCTCAAAAGGTAAAAAAGGAACCCTTATAAGATCACTTTCTTGTCCGTCTGTCCGTGTGTCACCACCGATTTTCTCAGGAATGGGTAGACCTAGCAAGTTGAAATTTATACCAGATACTGAGGTCTATGGTCCCTATTAGGTGTATAAAAATCAAGGTCCTGAGTCAACACGATAAAAAGATATGGGCAAATTTCGATTTTCGCGAAATTAAATTATTTTATTAGTTTTTAGAATGTTCTTTTTACTTGTGCTGTAAGACCTTGCTTTTAACCAAAATTTACAATTCTAGGTCAACCGGAAGTACCCTATAGGTTTTGGGTCGAACACCTATATGGTAGTTCACGTTGACCTAAAATCACGAAATTTGGCAAAAAGAAACGTCTTACAGCACAAATAAAGGAATAATTCCAAAATACAAAAAAAGTTGAAAATTAAGATCAATTTTGGTACTTACAAGTTTTCGCGAAAATCTACGTAAAATCTGGGTAAGTACGGAACCCTCGGCACACGAGTTCGACTCGTACCTGACCGTTTTTTTTTAATTTTATTTATTTATTCAAGGTAAATTGTACAGAATATAGTAATAAAAAGGGCGCTATTTTAGGCTATAACAATTACATATAAAATATGCTTCTGGTACCTAAAAAGGTAAAACCTGAGATATAGGTACCAGCTACCTTCCAGTGACACTGAGTTTTATTATGACACTAGCTGACCCGCGCAACTTCGTCTGCGTCTCTCAATAGTAATAAATTTTCTCCGTTTTTGAAACATTCTTCATTGGTGCTCCGCTCCTATTGGTCTTAGCGTAATGATATATAGCCTATAGCCTTCCTCGATAAATGGGCTATCTAACACTGAAAGAATTTTTCAAATCGGACCAGTAGTTCCTGAGATTAGCGCGTTCAAACAAACAAACAAACTCTTCAGCTTTTATAATATTAGTATAGATATAGTTTAATTAAAATTGCCCTGTCATCATCATCATCATCATCAACAGCCTTCACTAGTCCACTGCTGGACATAGGCCTCTCCTCAGAAAGAAGGTTTTGGCCTGCCCTGTATTGCCCTGTACAACTTGTAAATTAAATTTACACAGTTAATGTTGTGTTACTTATTAATGAAAATAACATATATAGTTACATTTGAATTTTTATAACTGTAATAAACGTTTTTAGGGTTTCCTAGCCAACTGGCAAAAAACGGGACCCTTATGGATTCGTCATGTCTTCTGTCTGTCTGTCCGTCCGTATGTCACAGCCACTTTTTTCCGAAACTATAAGAACTATGCTGTTGAAACTTGGTAAGTAGATGTATTCTATGAACCGCATTAAGATTTTTACACAAAAATTGAAAAAAACTATAAATTTTGGGGGTTATACTTAGAACTGAAACTCATTTTTTTTTCATCAAACCCATACGTGTGGGGTATCTATGGATAAATCTTCAAAAATGATATTGAAGTTTCTAATTTCATTTTTTTCTAAACTGAATAGTTTGCGCGAGAGACACTTCCAAAGTGGTAAAATGTCTCGTCGTCGTCGTCCCCACGTAACTTCTAAAATAAGAGAATGACGAAACTAAAAAAAATATATGATGTACATTACTATGCAAACTTCCACCGAAAATTGGTTTGTTGTAAGTAGTTTTTCTTAATACGTCCTAAATCGTAAACCGCAATTTACCTTTCATAAACGTCGATCAAAGTTACAACGAACTACAAGAACTTTTATATTATGTTACTTGCTGCTACGGAACCCTATATGGGCGAATCCGACTCGCACTTGGCCGCTTTTATGTTATATGTGTGTGTGTGTGTGTGTGTGTGTGTGTGTGTGTATGTATGTATGGGTTGTTGATGTACCCTTTCTATAATATACCGCTCTACTCTCACAACGCCATGCTAATATGTTATAACTATTCTAATTTAGAAACTGTCGCTAGAAACATGTTTGTAGAATTGTGTGCTTTGTCGATTATCGTTAATTAAATACTTGGACATAAGTAGGTCTTCGTTTTATGTCGATCTTTTTGAATAATATTAGTTATTTACTTAAATTTTATAAACACCAGCTTTTGCACTAGTTAATATCTAACGGGCTTGTATCCACTAATAGCAAATTGCTTGGTTTCAAAGTTTTAAATTATAAATAAAGAGACATAGATAAGAAAAAACCTGTCTATTTTTCATAAAATTTAAAGATAAATTCGAACAAAATAGGCATTAAGTCACGTGACAGCGAACACCAATCAGAAAGTGTTACGTCACGCCCGCGCAAAACATCATTGTTGTTGTTGACGTTGTCATACCACAGAGCAGGTTACTCCTAATTGTTTTTCGTTTTTAGCATAATAATATTTGCTCACCTTAATACAGTTTCAGTTGACACAGGACACAGATGTAAACAGTTTTGTTTCGCAGACTATGACGTCATTCAAAACGCCATGACACTATTCAGCGTTTTCAAGGGAAATTTAAATTGTTTTTAAGCTATTGCATAGCTTCTATCGCGGGCCTTGAGCGCGGGAACCGAATCCAGAAATTCCGTAACGAAAAAAACCTCACGCTCCCCACTCCGACCGGCACAGCGGTGATACTTTTTAGTTCTGCCATCTATCGATGAATAGCAGAACTTTTTCTAAGGTAGGGTGTTCCTTTGACATGACAAAGGGGGGAGGCCAGTTTATTTTTATTAATGTAATAACATCTACATACAATACCCCCCCCCACCAAAAATTTTATAATTGCATTGAAGTCCCTTCAAAATACCTTCCCTTCTCTCCCCTCCACTTTTTTCATTTATCCCCCCTTTGATTTTCTCGGTACCTGGAGCACTTGGACTCACTTGTTTGGGTTTGTCTGAACCGGGAAAAGGAGACAGAGATGAGATAGATGTTTTTTTGAAAAGTATCGTAACATGTAACAACACTTCAGTCTGTTTTTCCAAAGAGGGGCGAGGGGGGGTGGTATTTTCGAGGGATGACTTATTTTTTAAGATTGCATTGAGGTCCGCACAAAATACCTCCCCCTCACCCTTCAACTTTTTTCATTTATACCCCCTTTGATTTTCTCGGTTCCTGGAGTACTTGGACAGCCCATGTTTGGGTTCGTCTGAACCGGGAAAAGGAGACGAACAATCTGGCTCCTACAGATTTTTTAGCTTATACCCGCGACTTTGTTCCTGTGGAATTTAAGAAACACTGCCTTAATGGGTTCGATTCCGGAGCCGGGCAAAATTCTATAGGGTTTTCCTAAGATAATTATTTAATACTAGCTGGTACCCGCAACTTCGTTCGCGTGGAATTTGAAAACGCTGCCTTACTCGGTTCGATTCCCGGCCGGGCTAATTTCTATAAGGTTTTCCTGAAATAATTATTTAATACTAAGTTTATTAATACTAAGTTGATAGAAAATGCTATGCAATAGCTTTACCGCGGCAGTCCTCGAGTGCCACACGTCCTTTTTGTTTTAAATACAAAATACGTAATGTAAATATTGCTTTATCTTTAAAATATAGGTTGATTGGGATAAAATAGATATTTAAGTATATAATTAACCAAGTTTTCAAAATGAGTCAACTAGCCTATTATTAACTAGCGGCGTTTTAAAGTGATTCCGTTACATACATACATACCAAGCTAATAAAAGCGTGTTAAAAAGAAAAAGGTTCCACTTGTCATTGTATTACGTGAAACGCGATGATGTTTCGAATGCATCATTAATGAAACATCTAAAAGTACAGCCTGATATGTCCTC